TCCCAAGTCTAGAGGAACACCATCTTCAGCACAGCAACTCGAGGAATGCTCCGTGTACCCCAAATCGTCTCGAGATGAGAGCTGATTCCCTGGCTTATGCTCAAGACGTATGCCAACTTTCCAGAAGCACCTCAAGGGGAGGCTTCTCTCAGCAATACTTATGTTGGAGGGACCCCCAGTTTGCTGCCTCAAGTGGAATATGCAATGAGAAGCCCTAACTTGAAAGGAGGCCGGGTTTCCTTGCAGTGTCTTGAATACAGGCTTGTCTTTCATCTCAAAACCGGAAGGATTGTCTGAATCCCCTGTGGAGAACTTAGCGAAAGCCCTAGGTCCCTGCCTCATTTTGACGGATTGCCTCACATCCCGTTGACACCTCGGGAGGCACACGGAGTTCACTGCTTCAAATGTGACGATGCCTGACCCCTCCTGATCATTGATAGGAATCCCAAAATCACTGTGGCTATTGGAAAGGGTTCTTGTGTGCCCTGCCTCACCTCGAGAAGCATCCCTTTTGCCCTGCCAAGCCTCGAAGAGATTCCTGAGGTGTCCCTCATTACTAGACAGGAGTCATGACGTCACTGAATAAACACGTGTTTTCAAGGGCCATGCCCGCCATAACTCGAGAACATACCCCAGGTCCCGCAGCAACTCGAGAAAAACCATGAGACTTCCCCTAGATGCGAGATGAGGCCTGATTCCCTGCAGTCCATGCAGAGCATTCCCGTGATCCCAATCAAGCAAGTCAGCAGCTTCGAATTTCTTAATGGATCTCGAGAGAGTCCCCAGGAACACTGTCACAAGTCTAGACAGACCCTGACATCACCCCAGCAACGCAAAGCAGCTCCAAGTACCCCACATCAACACGCGTTGAGGCCCGATTCCCATGCATTGACTCCAGAACCATCCCCCGTACCCCATTAAACACCACCAGTGGCTTGACTTCCTTCAGGCAACTCGAGAGATGCCCCGAGAACACTGTCCCAAGTCTAGAGGAATACGAACTTCAGCACAGCAACTCGAGGAATGCTCCGTGTACCCCAAATCGTTTCGAGGTGAGAGCTGATTCCATGGCTTAGGCTCAAGACGTATGCCAACTTTCCAGAAGAACCTCAAGAGGAGGCTTCTCTCAGCAATAGGTATTTGGGAGGGACCCCGAGTTTGCTGCCTCAAGTGGAATATACAGCCAGAAGTACTAACTTGAAAGGAGGCCGGATTTCCTTGCAGTGGCTTGGATACAGGCTCGTCTTTCATCTCACAGCATGAAGGGATGTCTGAATCCCCTGTGGAGACCTTAGAGAAAGCTCTAGGTCCCTGCATCATTTTGACGGAATGCCTCACATCCAGCTGACACTTCGAGAGGCACGCGGAGTTCACTGCTTCAAAAGGTGATGATGCCTGACTCGTCTTGAATATTGATAGGAATCCCAAAGTCACTGTGGCTACTGGAAAGGGACATTGGTTGCCCTGCCTCACCTCGAGAAGCATACCTTTTGACCTGCCAAGCCTCGAAGAGATTCCTGAGGTGTCCCTCGTTACTAGACAGGCGTCCTTACGGCACTGAATAAACACGGGTTTTGAGGGGCCATCCCCGCCGTAACTCGAGAAGATACCCCAGGTCCCCCGCGCAACTTGAGAGAAACCGTGAGACTTCCAACTATATGCGAGATTAGCCCTGATTCCCTGCAGTGCATGCAGAGTATTCCCGTGATCCCCATCAAACAAGTCAGGAGCTTCGACTTGCTTAATGGATCTCGAGACAGTCCCCAAGAACACTGTCACAAGTCTAGACGGACCCTGAGGTCACCCCAGCAATGCAAAGCAGCTCCATGTGCCCCAAATCAACCCGAGATGTGGCCCGATTCCCCTGCATTGACTCCAGAGCCATCCCCAGTTCCCCATTAAACAAGACAACTGGCTAGACTTCCTTCAGGCAACTCCAGAGATGCCCCGCAAACACTCTCCCAAGACTAGAGGAACACCAACTTCAGCACAGCAACTCGAGGAATGCTCCGTGTACCACAAATCGTCTCGAGATGAGAGCTGAATCCCTGGCTTAGGCTCAAGACGTATGCCAACTTTCCAGAAGCACCTCAAGAGGAGGCTTCTCTCAGCAATAGGTATGTTGGAGGGACCCCGAGTTTGCTGCCTCAAGTGGAATATACAGCGAGAAGCCCTAACTTGAAAGGAGGCCGGATTTCCTTGCAGTGGCTTGAATACAGGCTCGTCTTTCATCTCACAGAATGAAGGGACGTCTGAATCCCCTGTGGAGACCTTAGAGAAAGCTATAGGTCCCTGCCTCATTTTGACGGAATGCCTCACATCCCTTTGTCACCTAGAGAGGCACGCGGAGTTCACTGCTTCAAAAGGTGACGATGCCTGACTCCTCTAAAATATTGATAGGAATCCCAAAATCCCTGTGGCTATTGGAAAGGTTCCTTGGGTGCCCTGTCTCACCTCGAGAAGGGTCCCTTGTGCCCTGCCAAGCCTCGAAGAGATTCCTGAGCTGTCCCTCGTTACTGGACAGGAGTCCTGACGTCACTGAATAAACACGAGTTTTGAAGGGCCATCCGCGCTGTAACCCGAGTACATACCCCAGGTCCCCGCCGCAAGTCGAGAAATACCATGAGACTTTCCCCTAGAGGCCAGATGAGGACCGATTCTCCTGCAGTGCATGCAGAGCAATTCCGTGATCCCCATCAAACAAGTCAGAAGCTTCGACTTGCTTAATGGATCTCGAGACAGTCACGAGGGAACACTGTCACATGTCTAGACGGATCCTGAGGTCACCCCATCAACGCAAAGCAGCACCATGTGCCCCAAATCAACTCGAGATAATGCCCGATTCCCCTGCATTGACTCCAGAGCCATCCCCCGTTCCACATTAAACACGACCAGTGGCTTGACTTCCTTCAGGCAACTCCAGAGATGCCCTGAGAACACTGTCCCAAGTCTAGAGGAACACCATCTTCAGCACAGCAACTCGAGGAATGCTCCGTGTACCCCAAATCGTCTCGAGATGAGAGCTGATTCCCTGGCTTAGGCTCAAGACGTATGCCAACTTTCCAGAAGCACCTCAAGGGGAGCCTTCTCTCAGCAATAGGAATGTTGGAGGGACCCCCAGTTTGCTGCCTCAAGTGGAATATACAGCGAGAAGCCCTAACTTCAAAGGAGGCCGGATTTCCTTGCTGTGTCTTGAATACAGGCTCGTCTTTCATCTCACAACCGGAAGGAATGTCTGAGTCCCCTGTGGAGACCTTAGAGAAAGCCCTAGGTCCCTGCCTCATATTGACGGAATGCCTCACATACCGTTGACACTTCGAGAGGCACACGGAGTTCACTGCTTCAAAATGTGACGATGCCTGACTCCTCCTGAACATTGATAGGAATCCCAAAATCACTGTGGCTACAGGACAGGGTTCTTGGGTGCCCTGCCTCACCTCGAGAAGCATCCCTTTTGCCCTGCCAAGCCTCGAAGAGATTCCTGAGATGTCTCTCGTTACTAGACAGGAGTCCTGACGTCACTGAATAAACACGTGTTTTGAAGGGCCATCCCCGCCATAACTCGAGAACATACCCCAGTTCCCGCCGCAACTCGAGTAAAACCATGAGACTTCCCCTAGATGCGAGATGAGGCCTGATTCCCTGCAGTCCATGCAGAGCATTCCCGTGATCCCCATCAAGCAAGTCAGGAGCTTCGACTTGCTTAATTCAACTCGAGAAAGTCCCCAGGAACACTGTCACAAGTCTAGACAGACCCTGAGGTCACCCCAGCAATGCAAAGCAGCTGCAAGTACCCCACATCAACTCGAGATGAGGCCCGATTCCCATGCATTGACTCCTGAGCCATCCCCCGTAACCCATTAAACACCACCAGTGGCTTGACTTCCTTCAGGGAACTAAAGAAATGCCCCGAGAACACTGTCCCAAGACTAGAGGAACACCAACTTCAGCACAGCAACTCGAGTAATGCTCCATGTAACACAAATCGTCTCGAGATGAGAGCTGAATCTCTGGCTTAGGCTCAAGACGTATGCCAACTTTCCAGAAGCACCTCAAGAGGAGGCTTCTCTCAGCAATAGGTATGTTGGAGGGACCCCGAGTTTGCTGCCTCAAGTGGAATATACAGCGAGAAGCCCTAACTTGAAAGGAGGCCGGATTTCCTTGCAGTGGCTTGAATACAGACTCGTCTTTCATCTCACAGAATGAAGGGATGTCTGAATCCCCTGTGGAGACCTTAGAGAAAGCTCTAGGTCCCTGCCTCATTTTGACGGAATGCCTCACATCCCGTTGTCACCTCGAGAGGCACGCGGAGTTCACTGCTTCAAAAGGTGATGATGCCTGACTCCTCTAAAATATTGATAGGAATCACAAAATACCTGTGGCTATTTGAAAGGTTCCTTGGGTGCCCTGCCTCACCTCGAGAAGCGTCCCTTGTGCCTGCCAAGACTCGAAGAGATTCCTGAGCTGTCCCTCGTTACTGGATAGGAGTCCTGACGTCACTGAATAAACACGAGTTTTTAAGGGCCATCCCCGCCGTAACCCGAGTACATACCCCAGGTCCCCGCCGCAAGTCGAGAAAAACCATGAGACTTTCCCCTCGTGGCGAGATGAGGCCCGATTCTCCTGCAGTGCATGCAGAGCAATTCCGTGATCCCCATCAAACAAGTCAGGACCTTCGACTTGCTTAATGGATCTCGAGACAGTCCCCAAGAATACTGTCACATATCCAGACGGATCCTGAGGTCACCCCATCAACGCAAAGCAGCACCATGTGCCCCACATCAACTCGAGATAATGCCCGATTCCCCTGCATTGAATCCAGAGCCATCCCCCGTTCCACATTAAAAACCACCAGTGGCTTGACTTCCTTCAGACAACTCCAGAGATGCCCTGAGAACACTGTCCCAAGTCTAGAGGAACACCATCTTCAGCACAGCAACTCGAGGAATGCTCCGTGTACCCCAAATCATCTCGAGATGTGAGCTGATTCCCTGGCTTAGGCTCAAGACGTATGCCAACTTTCCAGAAGCACCTCAAGGGGAGCCTTCTCTCAGCAATAGGTATGTTGGAGGGACCCCCAGTTTGCTGCCTCAAGTGGAATATGCAGCGAGAAGCCCTAACTTGAAAGGAGGCCGGATTTCCTTGCTGTGTCTTGAATACAGGCTCATCTTTCATCTCAAAACCGGAAGGAACGTCTGAATCCCCTGTGGAGACCTTAGAGAAAGCCCTAGGTCCCTGCCTCATTTTGACGGAATGCCTCACATCCCGTTGACAACTCGAGATGCACACGGAGTTCACTGCTTCAAAATATGACGATGCCTGACTCCTCCTGAACATTGATAGGAATCCCAAAATCACTGTAGCTACAGGACAGGGTTCTTGGGTGCCCTGCCTCACTTCGAGAAGCATCCCTTTTGCCCTGCCAAGCCTTGAAGAGATTCCTGAGGTGTCTCTCGTTACTAGACAGGAGTCCTGACGTCACTGAATAAACACGTGTTTTGAAGGGCCATCCCCGCCATAACTCGAGAACATACCCCAGTTCCCGCCGCAACTCGAGTAAAACCATGAGACTTCCCCTAGATGCGAGATGAGGCCTGATTCCCTGCAGTCCATGCAGAGCATTCCCGTGATCCCCATCAAGCAAGTCAGGAGCTTCGACTTGCTTAATGGATCTCGAGACAGTCCCCAAGAACACTGTTACATGTCTAGACGGATCCTGAGGTCACCCCATCAACGCAAAGTAGCACCATGTGCCCCAAATCAACTCGAGATAATGCCCGATTCCCCTGCATCGACTCCAGAGCCATCCCCCGTTCCACATTAAACACGACCAGTGGCTTGACTTCCTTCAGGCAACTCCAGAGATGCCCTGAGAACACTGTCCCAAGTCTAGAGGAACACCATCTTCAGCACAGCAACTCGAGGAATGCTCCGTGTACCCCAAATCGTCTCGAGATGAGAGCTGATTCCCTGGCTTAGGCTCAAGACGTATGCCAACTTTCCAGAAGCACCTCAAGGGGAGCCTTCTCTCAGCAATAGGAATGTTGGAGGGACCCCCAGTTTGCTGCCTCAAGTGGAATATACAGCGAGAAGCCCTAACTTGAAAGGAGGCCGGATTTCCTTGCTGTGTCTTGAATACAGGCTCGTCTTTCATCTCACAACCGGAAGGAATGTCTGAATCCCCTGTGGAGACCTTAGAGAAAGCCCTAGGTCCCTGCCTCATTTTGACGGAATGCCTCACATACCGTTGACACTTCGAGAGGCACACGGAGTTCACTGCTTCAAAATGTGACGATGCCTGACTCCTCCTGAACATTGATAGGAATCCCAAAATCACTGTGGCTACAGGACAGGGTTCTTGGGTGCCCTGCCTCACCTCGAGAAGCATCCCTTTTGCCCTGCCAAGCCTCGAAGAGATTCCTGAGGTGTCTCTCGTTACTAGACAGGAGTCCTGACGTCACTGAATAAACACGTGTTTTGAAGGGCCATCCCCGCCATAACTCGAGAACATACCCCAGTTCCCGCCGCAACTCGAGAAAAACCATGAGACTTCCCCTAGATGCGAGATGAGGCCTGATTCCCTGCAGTCCATGCAGAGCATTCCCGTGATCCCAATCAAGCAAGTCAGCAGCTTCGAATTGCTTAATGGATCTCGAGAGAGTCCCCAGGAACACTGTCACAAGTCTAGACAGACCCTGACATCACCCCAGCAACGCAAAGCAGCTCCAAGTACCCCACATCAACTCACGTTGAGGCCCGATTCCCATGCATTGACTCCAGAGCCATCCCCCGTACCCCATTAAGCACCACCAGTGGCTTGACTTCCTTCAGGCAACTCGAGAGATGCCCCGAGAACACTGTCCCAAGTCTAGAGGAATACGAACTTCAGCACAGCAACACGAGGAATGCTCCGTGTAGCCCAAATCGTTTCGAGGTGAGAGCTGATTCCATGGCTTAGGCTCAAGACGTATGCCAACTTTCCAGAAGCACCTCAAGATGAGGCTTCTCTCAGCAATAGGTATTTGGGAGGGACCCCGAGTTTGCTGCCTCAAGTGGAATATACAGCCAGAAGCCCTAACTTGAAAGGAGGCCGGATTTCCTTGCAGTGGCTTGGATACAGGCTCGTCTTTCATCTCACAGCATGAAGGGATGTCTGAATCCCCTGTGGAGACCTTAGAGAAAGCTCTAGGTCCCTGCATCATTTTGACGGAATGCCTCACATCCAGTTGACACTTCGAGAGGCACGCGGAGTTCACTGCTTCAAAAGGTGATGATGCCTGACTCGTCTGGAATATTGATAGGAATCCCAAAATCACTGTGGCTACAGGAAAGGATTCTTGTGTGCCCTGCCTCACCTCGAGAAGCATCCCTTTGCCCTGCCAAGGCTCGAAGAGATTCCTGAGGTGTCCCTCATTACTAGACAGGAGTCATGACGGCATTGAATAAACACGTGTTTTGAGGGGCCATCCCCGCCGTAACTCGAGATGATACCCCAGGTCCCCCGCGCAACTTGAGAGAAACCGTGAGACTTCCCCCTAGATGCGAGATGAGTCCTGATTCCCTGCAGTGCATGCAGAGTATTCCCGTGATCCCCATCAAACAAGTCAGGAGCTTCGACTTGCTTAATGGATCTCGAGACAGTCCCCAAGAACTCTGTCACAAGTCTAGACGCACCCTGAGGTAACCCCAGCAACGCAAAGCAGCTCCATGTGCCCCAAATCAACCCGAGATGTGGCCCGATTCCCCTGCATTGACTCCAGAGCCATCCCCAGTTCCCCATTAAACAAGACAACTGGCTAGACTTCCTTCAGGCAACTCCAGAGATGCCCCGCAAACACTCTCCCAAGACTAGAGGAACACCAACTTCAGCACAGCAACTCGAGGAATGCTCCGTGTACCACAAATCGTCTCGAGATGAGAGCTGAATCCCTGGCTTAGGCTCAAGACGTATGCCAACTTTCCAGTAGCACCTCAAGAGGAGGCTTCTCTCAGCAATAGGTATGTTGGAGGGACCCCGAGTTTGCTGCCTCAAGTGGAATATACAGCGAGAAGCCCTAACTTGAAAGGAGGCCAGATTTCCTTGCAATGGCTTGAATACAGGCTCGTCTTTCATCTCACAGAATGAAGGGATGACTGAATCTCCTGTGTAGACCTTAGAGAAGGCTATAGGTCCCTGCCTCATTTTGACGGAATGCCTCACATCCCGTTGTCACCTAGAGAGGCACGCGGAGTTCACTGCTTCAAAAGGTGACGATGCCTGACTCCTCTAAAATATTGATAGGAATCCCAAAATCCCTGTGGCTATTGGAAAGGTTCCTTGGGTGCCCTGCCTCACCTCGAGAAGCGTCCCTTGTGCCCTGCCAAGCCTCGAAGAGATTCCTGAGCTGTCCCTCGTTACTGGACAGGAGTCCTGACGTCACTGAATAAACACGAGTTTTGAAGGGCCATCCGCGCCGTAACCCGAGTACATACCCCAGGTCCCCGCCGCAAGTCGAGAAATACCATGAGACTTTCCCCTAGAGGCCAGATGAGGCCCGATTCTCCTACAGTGCATGCAGAGCAATTCCGTGATCCCCATCAAACAAGTCAGAAGCTTCGACTTGCTTAATGGATCTCGAGACAGTCACCAGGGAACACTGTCACATGTCTAGACGGATCCTGAGGTCACCCCATCAACGCAAAGCAGCACCATGTGCCCCAAATCAACTCGAGATAATGCCCGATTCCCCTGCATTGACTCCAGAGCCATCCCCCGTTCCACATTAAACACGACCAGTGGCTTGACTTCCTTCAGGCAACTCCAGAGATGCCCTGAGAACACTGTCCCAAGTCTAGAGGAACACCATCTTCAGCACAGCAACTCGAGGAATGCTCCGTGTACCCCAAATCGTCTCGAGATGAGAGCTGATTCCCTGGCTTAGGCTCAAGACGTATGCCAACTTTCCAGAAGCACCTCAAGGGGAGCCTTCTCTCAGCAATAGGAATGTTGGAGGGACCCCCAGTTTGCTGCCTCAAGTGGAATATACAGCGAGAAGCCCTAACTTCAAAGGAGGCCGGATTTCCTTGCTGTGTCTTGAATACAGGCTCGTCTTTCATCTCACAACCGGAAGGAATGTCTGAGTCCCCTGTGGAGACCTTAGAGAAAGCCCTAGGTCCCTGCCTCATATTGACGGAATGCCTCACATACCGTTGACACTTCGAGAGGCACACGGAGTTCACTGCTTCAAAATGTGACGATGCCTGACTCCTCCTGAACATTGATAGGAATCCCAAAATCACTGTGGCTACAGGACAGGGTTCTTGGGTGCCCTGCCTCACCTCGAGAAGCATCCCTTTTGCCCTGCCAAGCCTCGAAGAGATTCCTGAGATGTCTCTCGTTACTAGACAGGAGTCCTGACGTCACTGAATAAACACGTGTTTTGAAGGGCCATCCCCGCCATAACTCGAGAACATACCCCAGTTCCCGCCGCAACTCGAGTAAAACCATGAGACTTCCCCTAGATGCGAGATGAGGCCTGATTCCCTGCAGTCCATGCAGAGCATTCCCGTGATCCCCATCAAGCAAGTCAGGAGCTTCGACTTGCTTAATTCAACTCGAAAAAGTCCCCAGGAACACTGTCACAAGTCTAGACAGACCCTGAGGTCACCCCAGCAATGCAAAGCAGCTGCAAGTACCCCACATCAACTCGAGATGAGGCCCGATTCCCATGCATTGACTCCAGAGCCATCCCCAGTTCCCCATTAAACAAGACCAGTGGCTTGCCTTCCTTCAGGCAACTCCAGAGATGCCCCGAGAACACTGTGCCAAGACTAGAGGAACACCAACTTCAGCATAGCAACTCGAGTAATGCTCCGTGTACCACAAATCGTCTCGAGATGAGAGCTGAATCCCTGGCTTAGGCTCAAGACGTATGCCAACTTTCCAGAAGCACCTCAAGAGGAGGCTTCTCTCAGCAATAGGTATGTTGGAGGGACCCCGAGTTTGCTGCCTCAAGTGGAATATACAGCGAAAAGCCCTAACTTGAAAGGAGGCCGGATTTCCTTGCAGTGGCTTGAATACAGGCTCGTCTTTCATCTCACAGAATGAAGGGATGTCTGAATCCCCTATGGAGACCTTAGAGAAAGCTATAGGACCCTGCCTCATTTTGACGGAATGCCTCACATCCCGTTGTCACCTCGAGAGGCACGCGGAGTTCACTGCTTCAAAAGGTGACGAAGCCTGACTCCTCTAAAATATTTATAGGAACCCCAAAATCCCTGTGGCTATTGGAAAAGTTCCTTGGGTGCCCTGCCTCACCTCGAGAAGCGTCCCTTGTGCCCTGCCAAGCTTCGAAGAGATTCCTGAGCTGTCCCTCGTTACTGGACAGGAGTCCTGACGTCACTGAATAAACACGAGTTTTGAAGGGCCATTCCCTCCGTAAGCCGAGTACATACGCCAGGTCCCCGCCGCAAGTCGAGAAAAACCATGAGACTTTCCCCTAGAGGCGAGATGAGGCCCGATTCTCCTGCAGTGCATGCAGAGCAATTCCGTGATCCCCATCAAACAAGTCAGAAGCTTCGACTTGCTTAATGGATCTCGAGACAGTCCCCAAGAACACTGTCACATGTCTAGACGGATCCTGAGGTCACCCCATCAACGCAAAGCAGCACCATGTGCCCCAAATCAACTCGAGATAATGCCCGATTCCCCTGCATTGACTCCAGAGCAATCCCCCGTTCCACATTAAACACGACCAGTGTCTTGACTTCCTTCAGGCAACTCCAGAGATGCCCTGAGAACACTGTGCCAAGTCTAGAGGAACACCATCTTCAGCACAGCAACTCGAGGAATGCTCCGTGTACCCCAAATCATCTCGAGATGTGAGCTGATTCCCTGGCTTAGGCTCAAGACGTATGCCAACTTTCCAGCAGCACCTCAAGGGGAGCCTTCTCTCAGCAATAGGTATGTTGGAGGGACCCCCAGTTTGCTGCCTCAAGTGGAAAATGCAGCGAGAAGCCCTAACTTGAAAGGAGGCCGGATTTCCTTGCTGTGTCTTGAATACAGGCTCATCTTTCATCTCAAAACCGGAAGGAATGTCTGAATCCCCTGTGGAGACCTTAGAGAAAGCCCTAGGTCCCTGCCTCATTTTGACGGAATGCCTCACATCCCGTTGACAACTCGAGATGCACACGGAGTTCACTGCTTCAAAATATGACGATGCCTGACTCCTCCTGAACATTGATAGGAATCCCAAAATCACTGTAGCTACAGGACAGGGTTCTTGGGTGCCCTGCCTCACCTCGAGAAGCATCCCTTTTGCCCTGCCAAGCCTTGAAGAGATTCCTGAGGTGTCTCTCGTTACTAGACATGAGTCCTGACGTCACTGAATAAACACGTGTTTTGAAGGGCCATCCCCGCCATAACTCGAGAACATACCCCAGTTCCCGCCGCAACTCGAGTAAAACCATGAGACTTCCCCTAGATGCGAGATGAGGCCTGATTCCCTGCAGTCCATGCAGAGCATTCCCGTGATCCCCATCAAGCAAGTCAGGAGCTTCGACTTGCTTAATTCAACTCGAAAAAGTCCCCAGGAACACTGTCACAAGTCTAGACAGACCCTGAGGTCACCCCAGCAATGCAAAGCAGCTGCAAGTACCCCACATCAACTCGAGATGAGGCCCGATTCCCATGCATTGACTCCAGAGCCATCCCCAGTTCCCCATTAAACAAGACCAGTGGCTTGCCTTCCTTCAGGCAACTCCAGAGATGCCCCGAGAACACTGTGCCAAGACTAGAGGAACACCAACTTCAGCATAGCAACTCGAGTAATGCTCCGTGTACCACAAATCGTCTCGAGATGAGAGCTGAATCCCTGGCTTAGGCTCAAGACGTATGCCAACTTTCCAGAAGCACCTCAAGAGGAGGCTTCTCTCAGCAATAGGTATGTTGGAGGGACCCCGAGTTTGCTGCCTCAAGTGGAATATACAGCGAAAAGCCCTAACTTGAAAGGAGGCCGGATTTCCTTGCAGTGGCTTGAATACAGGCTCGTCTTTCATCTCACAGAATGAAGGGATGTCTGAATCCCCTATGGAGACCTTAGAGAAAGCTATAGGACCCTGCCTCATTTTGACGGAATGCCTCACATCCCGTTGTCACCTCGAGAGGCACGCGGAGTTCACTGCTTCAAAAGGTGACGAAGCCTGACTCCTCTAAAATATTTATAGGAACCCCAAAATCCCTGTGGCTATTGGAAAAGTTCCTTGGGTGCCCTGCCTCACCTCGAGAAGCGTCCCTTGTGCCCTGCCAAGCTTCGAAGAGATTCCTGAGCTGTCCCTCGTTACTGGACAGGAGTCCTGACGTCACTGAATAAACACGAGTTTTGAAGGGCCATTCCCTCCGTAAGCCGAGTACATACGCCAGGTCCCCGCCGCAAGTCGAGAAAAACCATGAGACTTTCCCCTAGAGGCGAGATGAGGCCCGATTCTCCTGCAGTGCATGCAGAGCAATTCCGTGATCCCCATCAAACAAGTCAGAAGCTTCGACTTGCTTAATGGATCTCGAGACAGTCCCCAAGAACACTGTCACATGTCTAGACGGATCCTGAGGTCACCCCATCAACGCAAAGCAGCACCATGTGCCCCAAATCAACTCGAGATAATGCCCGATTCCCCTGCATTGACTCCAGAGCAATCCCCCGTTCCACATTAAACACGACCAGTGTCTTGACTTCCTTCAGGCAACTCCAGAGATGCCCTGAGAACACTGTGCCAAGTCTAGAGGAACACCATCTTCAGCACAGCAACTCGAGGAATGCTCCGTGTACCCCAAATCATCTCGAGATGTGAGCTGATTCCCTGGCTTAGGCTCAAGACGTATGCCAACTTTCCAGCAGCACCTCAAGGGGAGCCTTCTCTCAGCAATAGGTATGTTGGAGGGACCCCCAGTTTGCTGCCTCAAGTGGAATATGCAGCGAGAAGCCCTAACTTGAAAGGAGGCCGGATTTCCTTGCTGTGTCTTGAATACAGGCTCATCTTTCATCTCAAAACCGGAAGGAATGTCTGAATCCCCTGTGGAGACCTTAGAGAAAGCCCTAGGTCCCTGCCTCATTTTGACGGAATGCCTCACATCCCGTTGACAACTCGAGATGCCCACGGAGTTCACTGCTTCAAAATATGACGATGCCTGACTCCTCCTGAACATTGATAGGAATCCCAAAATCACTGTAGCTACAGGACAGGGTTCTTGGGTGCCCTGCCTCACCTCGAGAAGCATCCCTTTTGCCCTGCCAAGCCTTGAAGAGATTCCTGAGGTGTCTCTCGTTACTAGACAGGAGTCCTGACGTCACTGAATAAACACGAGTTTTGAAGGGCCATCCCCTCCGTAAGCCGAGTACATACGCCAGGTCCCCGCCGCAAGTCGAGAAAAACCATGAGACTTTCCCCTAGAGGCGAGATGAGGCCCGATTCTCCTGCAGTGCATGCAGAGCAATTCCGTGATCCCCATCAAACAAGTCAGAAGCTTCGACTTGCTTAATGGATCTCGAGACAGTCACCAGGGAACACTGTCACATGTCTAGACGGATCCTGAGGTCACCCCATCAACGCAAAGCAGCACCATGTGCCCCAAATCAACTCGAGATAATGCCCGATTCCCCTGCATTGACTCCAGAGCCATCCCCCGTTCCACATTAAACACGACCAGTGGCTTGACTTCCTTCAGGCAACTCGAGAGATGACCTGAGAACACTGTCCCAAGTCTAGAGGAACACCATCTTCAGCACAGCAACTCGAGGAATGCTCCGTGTACCCCAAATCGTCACGAGATGTGAGCTGATTCCCTGGCTTAGGCTCAAGACGTATGCCAACTTTCCAGAAGCACCTCAAGGGGAGCCTTCTCTCAGCAATAGGTATGTTGGAGGGACCCCCAGTTTGCTGCCTCAAGTGGAATATGCAGCGAGAAGCCCTAACTTGAAAGGAGGCCGGATTTCCTTGCTGTGTCTTGAATACAGGCTCGTCTTTCATCTCACAACCGGAAGGAATGTCTGAATCCCCTGTGGAGACCTTAGAGAAAGCCCTAGGTCTCTGCCTCATTTTGACGGAATGCCTCACATCCCGTTGACACCTCGAGAGGCACACGGAGTTCACTGCTTCAAAATGTGACGATGCCTGACTCATCCTGAACATTGATAGGAATCCCAAAATCACTGTAGCTACAGGACAGGGTCCTTGGGTGCTCTGCCTGACCTCGAGAAGCATCCCTTTTGCCCTGCCAAGCCTCGAAGAGATTCCTGAGGTGTCTCTCGTTACTGGACAGGAGTCCTGACGTCACTGAATAAACACGTGTTTTGAAGGGCCATCCCCGCCGTAACTCGAGTACATACCCCAGTTCCCCGCCGCAACTCGAGAAAAACCATGAGACTTCCGCCTAGAGGCGAGATGAGGCCCGATTCTCCTGCAGTGCATGCAGAGAAATTCCGTGATCCCCATCAAACAAGTCAGGGGCTTCGACTTGCTTAATGGATCTCGAGACATTCCCCAGGAACACTGTCACATGTCTAGACGTACCCTGAGGTATCCCCAGCAACGCAAAGCAGCTCCATGTGCCCCAAATCAACTTGAGATGAGGTCCGATTCCCCTGCATTGACTCCAGAGCCATCTGCCGTTCCGCATTAAACACCACCAGTGGCTTGACCTCCTTCAGACAACTCCAGAGATGCCCCGAGAACACTGTCCCAAGTCTAGAGGAACACCTACTTTAGCACAGCAACTCGAGGAATGCTTCCTGTATGCCAAATCCTCTCGAGATGAGAGCTGATTCCCTGGTTTAGGCTCAAGACGTATGCCAACTTTCCAGAAGCACCTCAAGAGGAGGCTTCTCTCAGCAATAGGTATGTGGGAGGGAACCCGAGTTTGCTGCCTCAAAGGGAATATACAGCGAGAAGCACTAACTAGAAAGGAGGCCGGTTTCCTAGCAGTGTCTTGAATACAGGCTCGTCTTTCATCTCACAACCAGAAGGAATGTCTGAATCCCCTGTGGAGACCTTAGAGAAAGCCCTAGGTCCCTCCCTCATTTTGACGGAATGCCTCACATCCCGTTGACACCTCGAGAGTCACGCGGAGTTCACTGCTTCAAAAGCTGACGATGCCTGACTCCTCTTGAATATTGATAGGAATCACAAAATACCTGTGGCTATTTGAAAGGTTCCTTGGGTGCCCTGCCTCACCTCGAGAAGCGTCCCTTGTGCCTGCCAAGACTCGAAGAGATTCCTGAGCTGTCCCTCGTTACTGGACAGGAGTCCTGACGTCACTGAATAAACACGAGTTTTTAAGGGCCATCCCCGCCGTAACCCGAGTACATACCCCAGGTCCCCGCCGCAAGTCGAGAAAAACCATGAGACTTTCCCCTCGTGGCGAGATGAGGCCCGATTCTCCTGCAGTGCATGCAGAGCAATTCCGTGATCCCCATCAAACAAGTCAGGACCTTCGACTTGCTTAATGGATCTCGAGACAGTCCCCAAGAATACTGTCACATATCCAGACGGATCCTGAGGTCACCCCATCAACGCAAAGCAGCACCATGTGCCCCACATCAACTCGAGATAATGCCCGATTCCCCTGCATTGAATCCAGAGCCATCCCCCGTTCCACATTAAAAACCACCAGTGGCTTGACTTCCTTCAGACAACTCCAGAGATGCCCTGAGAACACTGTCCCAAGTCTAGAGGAACACCATCTTCAGCACAGCAACTCGAGGAATGCTCCGTGTACCCCAAATCATCTCGAGATGTGAGCTGATTCCCTGGCTTAGGCTCAAGACGTATGCCAACTTTCCAGAAGCACCTCAAGGGGAGCCTTCTCTCAGCAATAGGAATGTTGGAGGGACCCCCAGTTTGCTGCCTCAAGTGGAATATACAGCGAGAAGCCCTAACTTCAAAGGAGGCCGGATTTCCTTGCTGTGTCTTGAATACAGGCTCGTCTTTCATCTCACAACCGGAAGGAATGTCTGAGTCCCCTGTGGAGACCTTAGAGAAAGCCCTAGGTCCCTGCCTCATATTGACGGAATGCCTCACATACCGTTGACACTTCGAGAGGCACACGGAGTTCACTGCTTCAAAATGTGACGATGCCTGACTCCTCCTGAACATTGATAGGAATCCCAAAATCACTGTGGCTACAGGACAGGGTTCTTGGGTGCCCTGCCTCACCTCGAGAAGCATCCCTTTTGCCCTGCCAAGCCTCGAAGAGATTCCTGAGATGTCTCTCGTTACTAGACAGGAGTCCTGACGTCACTGAATAAACACGTGTTTTGAAGGGCCATCCCCGCCATAACTCGAGAACATACCCCAGTTCCCGCCGCAACTCGAGTAAAACCATGAGACTTCCCCTAGAGGCGAGATGAGGCCTGATTCCCTGCAGTCCATGCAGAGCATTCCCGTGATCCCCATCAAGCAAGTCAGGAGCTTCGACTTGCTTAATTCAACTCGAAAAAGTCCCCAGGAACACTGTCACAAGTCTAGACAGACCCTGAGGTCACCCCAGCAATGCAAAGCAGCTGCAAGTACCCCACATCAACTCGAGATGAGGCCCGATTCCCATGCATTGACTCCAGAGCCATCCCCAGTTCCCCATTAAACAAGACCAGTGGCTTGCCTTCCTTCAGGCAACTCCAGAGATGCCCCGAGAACACTGTGCCAAGACTAGAGGAACACCAACTTCAGCATAGCAACTCGAGTAATGCTCCGTGTACCACAAATCGTCTCGAGATGAGAGCTGAATCCCTGGCTTAGGCTCAAGACGTATGCCAACTTTCCAGAAGCACCTCAAGAGGAGGCTTCTCTCAGCAATAGGTATGTTGGAGGGACCCCGAGTTTGCTGCCTCAAGTGGAATATACAGCGAAAAGCCCTAACTTGAAAGGAGGCCGGATTTCCTTGCAGTGGCTTGAATACAGGCTCGTCTTTCATCTCACAGAATGAAGGGATGTCTGAATCCCCTATGGAGACCTTAGAGAAAGCTATAGGACCCTGCCTCATTTTGACGGAATGCCTCACATCCCGTTGTCACCTCGAGAGGCACGCGGAGTTCACTGCTTCAAAAGGTGACGAAGCCTGACTCCTCTAAAATATTTATAGGAACCCCAAAATCCCTGTGGCTATTGGAAAAGTTCCTTGGGTGCCCTGCCTCACCTCGAGAAGCGTCCCTTGTGCCCTGCCAAGCTTCGAAGAGATTCCTGAGCTGTCCCTCGTTACTGGACAGGAGTCCTGACGTCACTGAATAAACACGAGTTTTGAAGGGCCATTCCCTCCGTAAGCCGAGTACATACGCCAGGTCCCCGCCGCAAGTCGAGAAAAACCATGAGACTTTCCCCTAGAGGCGAGATGAGGCCCGATTCTCCTGCAGTGCATGCAGAGCAATTCCGTGATCCCCATCAAACAAGTCAGAAGCTTCGACTTGCTTAATGGATCTCGAGACAGTCCCCAAGAACACTGTCACATGTCTAGACGGATCCTGAGGTCACCCCATCAACGCAAAGCAGCACCATGTGCCCCAAATCAACTCGAGATAATGCCCGATTCCCCTGCATTGACTCCAGAGCAATCCCCCGTTCCACATTAAACACGACCAGTGTCTTGACTTCCTTCAGGCAACTCCAGAGATGCCCTGAGAACACTGTGCCAAGTCTAGAGGAACACCATCTTCAGCACAGCAACTCGAGGAATGCTCCGTGTACCCCAAATCATCTCGAGATGTGAGCTGATTCCCTGGCTTAGGCTCAAGACGTATGCCAACTTTCCAGCAGCACCTCAAGGGGAGCCTTCTCTCAGCAATAGGTATGTTGGAGGGACCCCCAGTTTGCTGCCTCAAGTGGAAAATGCAGCGAGAAGCCCTAACTTGAAAGGAGGCCGGATTTCCTTGCTGTGTCTTGAATACAGGCTCATCTTTCATCTCAAAACCGGAAGGAATGTCTGAATCCCCTGTGGAGACCTTAGAGAAAGCCCTAGGTCCCTGCCTCATTTTGACGGAATGCCTCACATCCCGTTGACAACTCGAGATGCACACGGAGTTCACTGCTTCAAAATATGACGATGCCTGACTCCTCCTGAACATTGATAGGAATCCCAAAATCACTGTAGCTACAGGACAGGGTTCTTGGGTGCCCTGCCTCACCTCGAGAAGCATCCCTTTTGCCCTGCCAAGCCTTGAAGAGATTCCTGAGGTGTCTCTCGTTACTAGACATGAGTCCTGACGTCACTGAATAAACACGTGTTTTGAAGGGCCATCCCCGCCATAACTCGAGAACATACCCCAGTTCCCGCCGCAACTCGAGTAAAACCATGAGACTTCCCCTAGATGCGAGATGAGGCCTGATTCCCTGCAGTCCATGCAGAGCATTCCCGTGATCCCCATCAAGCAAGTCAGGAGCTTCGACTTGCTTAATTCAACTCGAAAAAGTCCCCAGGAACACTGTCACAAGTCTAGACAGACCCTGAGGTCACCCCAGCAATGCAAAGCAGCTGCAAGTACCCCACATCAACTCGAGATGAGGCCCGATTCCCATGCATTGACTCCAGAGCCATCCCCAGTTCCCCATTAAACAAGACCAGTGGCTTGCCTTCCTTCAGGCAACTCCAGAGATGCCCCGAGAACACTGTGCCAAGACTAGAGGAACACCAACTTCAGCATAGCAACTCGAGTAATGCTCCGTGTACCACAAATCGTCTCGAGATGAGAGCTGAATCCCTGGCTTAGGCTCAAGACGTATGCCAACTTTCCAGAAGCACCTCAAGAGGAGGCTTCTCTCAGCAATAGGTATGTTGGAGGGACCCCGAGTTTGCTGCCTCAAGTGGAATATACAGCGAAAAGCCCTAACTTGAAAGGAGGCCGGATTTCCTTGCAGTGGCTTGAATACAGGCTCGTCTTTCATCTCACAGAATGAAGGGATGTCTGAATCCCCTATGGAGACCTTAGAGAAAGCTATAGGACCCTGCCTCATTTTGACGGAATGCCTCACATCCCGTTGTCACCTCGAGAGGCACGCGGAGTTCACTGCTTCAAAAGGTGACGAAGCCTGACTCCTCTAAAATATTTATAGGAACCCCAAAATCCCTGTGGCTATTGGAAAAGTTCCTTGGGTGCCCTGCCTCACCTCGAGAAGCGTCCCTTGTGCCCTGCCAAGCTTCGAAGAGATTCCTGAGCTGTCCCTCGTTACTGGACAGGAGTCCTGACGTCACTGAATAAACACGAGTTTTGAAGGGCCATTCCCTCCGTAAGCCGAGTACATACGCCAGGTCCCCGCCGCAAGTCGAGAAAAACCATGAGACTTTCCCCTAGAGGCGAGATGAGGCCCGATTCTCCTGCAGTGCATGCAGAGCAATTCCGTGATCCCCATCAAACAAGTCAGAAGCTTCGACTTGCTTAATGGATCTCGAGACAGTCCCCAAGAACACTGTCACATGTCTAGACGGATCCTGAGGTCACCCCATCAACGCAAAGCAGCACCATGTGCCCCAAATCAACTCGAGATAATGCCCGATTCCCCTGCATTGACTCCAGAGCAATCCCCCGTTCCACATTAAACACGACCAGTGTCTTGACTTCCTTCAGGCAACTCCAGAGATGCCCTGAGAACACTGTGCCAAGTCTAGAGGAACACCATCTTCAGCACAGCAACTCGAGGAATGCTCCGTGTACCCCAAATCATCTCGAGATGTGAGCTGATTCCCTGGCTTAGGCTCAAGACGTATGCCAACTTTCCAGCAGCACCTCAAGGGGAGCCTTCTCTCAGCAATAGGTATGTTGGAGGGACCCCCAGTTTGCTGCCTCAAGTGGAATATGCAGCGAGAAGCCCTAACTTGAAAGGAGGCCGGATTTCCTTGCTGTGTCTTGAATACAGGCTCATCTTTCATCTCAAAACCGGAAGGAATGTCTGAATCCCCTGTGGAGACCTTAGAGAAAGCCCTAGGTCCCTGCCTCATTTTGACGGAATGCCTCACATCCCGTTGACAACTCGAGATGCCCACGGAGTTCACTGCTTCAAAATATGACGATGCCTGACTCCTCCTGAACATTGATAGGAATCCCAAAATCACTGTAGCTACAGGACAGGGTTCTTGGGTGCCCTGCCTCACCTCGAGAAGCATCCCTTTTGCCCTGCCAAGCCTTGAAGAGATTCCTGAGGTGTCTCTCGTTACTAGACAGGAGTCCTGACGTCACTGAATAAACACGAGTTTTGAAGGGCCATCCCCTCCGTAAGCCGAGTACATACGCCAGGTCCCCGCCGCAAGTCGAGAAAAACCATGAGACTTTCCCCTAGAGGCGAGATGAGGCCCGATTCTCCTGCAGTGCATGCAGAGCAATTCCGTGATCCCCATCAAACAAGTCAGAAGCTTCGACTTGCTTAATGGATCTCGAGACAGTCACCAGGGAACACTGTCACATGTCTAGACGGATCCTGAGGTCACCCCATCAACGCAAAGCAGCACCATGTGCCCCAAATCAACTCGAGATAATGCCCGATTCCCCTGCATTGACTCCAGAGCCATCCCCCGTTCCACATTAAACACGACCAGTGGCTTGACTTCCTTCAGGCAACTCGAGAGATGACCTGAGAACACTGTCCCAAGTCTAGAGGAACACCATCTTCAGCACAGCAACTCGAGGAATGCTCCGTGTACCCCAAATCGTCACGAGATGTGAGCTGATTCCCTGGCTTAGGCTCAAGACGTATGCCAACTTTCCAGAAGCACCTCAAGGGGAGCCTTCTCTCAGCAATAGGTATGTTGGAGGGACCCCCAGTTTGCTGCCTCAAGTGGAATATGCAGCGAGAAGCCCTAACTTGAAAGGAGGCCGGATTTCCTTGCTGTGTCTTGAATACAGGCTCGTCTTTCATCTCACAACCGGAAGGAATGTCTGAATCCCCTGTGGAGACCTTAGAGAAAGCCCTAGGTCTCTGCCTCATTTTGACGGAATGCCTCACATCCCGTTGACACCTCGAGAGGCACACGGAGTTCACTGCTTCAAAATGTGACGATGCCTGACTCATCCTGAACATTGATAGGAATCCCAAAATCACTGTAGCTACAGGACAGGGTCCTTGGGTGCTCTGCCTGACCTCGAGAAGCATCCCTTTTGCCCTGCCAAGCCTCGAAGAGATTCCTGAGGTGTCTCTCGTTACTGGACAGGAGTCCTGACGTCACTGAATAAACACGTGTTTTGAAGGGCCATCCCCGCCGTAACTCGAGTACATACCCCAGTTCCCCGCCGCAACTCGAGAAAAACCATGAGACTTCCGCCTAGAGGCGAGATGAGGCCCGATTCTCCTGCAGTGCATGCAGAGAAATTCCGTGATCCCCATCAAACAAGTCAGGGGCTTCGACTTGCTTAATGGATCTCGAGACATTCCCCAGGAACACTGTCACATGTCTAGACGTACCCTGAGGTATCCCCAGCAACGCAAAGCAGCTCCATGTGCCCCAAATCAACTTGAGATGAGGTCCGATTCCCCTGCATTGACTCCAGAGCCATCTGCCGTTCCGCATTAAACACCACCAGTGGCTTGACCTCCTTCAGACAACTCCAGAGATGCCCCGAGAACACTGTCCCAAGTCTAGAGGAACACCTACTTTAGCACAGCAACTCGAGGAATGCTTCCTGTATGCCAAATCCTCTCGAGATGAGAGCTGATTCCCTGGTTTAGGCTCAAGACGTATGCCAACTTTCCAGAAGCACCTCAAGAGGAGGCTTCTCTCAGCAATAGGTATGTGGGAGGGAACCCGAGTTTGCTGCCTCAAAGGGAATATACAGCGAGAAGCACTAACTAGAAAGGAGGCCGGTTTCCTAGCAGTGTCTTGAATACAGGCTCGTCTTTCATCTCACAACCAGAAGGAATGTCTGAATCCCCTGTGGAGACCTTAGAGAAAGCCCTAGGTCCCTCCCTCATTTTGACGGAATGCCTCACATCCCGTTGACACCTCGAGAGTCACGCGGAGTTCACTGCTTCAAAAGCTGACGATGCCTGACTCCTCTTGAATATTGATAGGAATCACAAAATACCTGTGGCTATTTGAAAGGTTCCTTGGGTGCCCTGCCTCACCTCGAGAAGCGTCCCTTGTGCCTGCCAAGACTCGAAGAGATTCCTGAGCTGTCCCTCGTTACTGGACAGGAGTCCTGACGTCACTGAATAAACACGAGTTTTTAAGGGCCATCCCCGCCGTAACCCGAGTACATACCCCAGGTCCCCGCCGCAAGTCGAGAAAAACCATGAGACTTTCCCCTCGTGGCGAGATGAGGCCCGATTCTCCTGCAGTGCATGCAGAGCAATTCCGTGATCCCCATCAAACAAGTCAGGACCTTCGACTTGCTTAATGGATCTCGAGACAGTCCCCAAGAATACTGTCACATATCCAGACGGATCCTGAGGTCACCCCATCAACGCAAAGCAGCACCATGTGCCCCACATCAACTCGAGATAATGCCCGATTCCCCTGCATTGAATCCAGAGCCATCCCCCGTTCCACATTAAAAACCACCAGTGGCTTGACTTCCTTCAGACAACTCCAGAGATGCCCTGAGAACACTGTCCCAAGTCTAGAGGAACACCATCTTCAGCACAGCAACTCGAGGAATGCTCCGTGTACCCCAAATCATCTCGAGATGTGAGCTGATTCCCTGGCTTAGGCTCAAGACGTATGCCAACTTTCCAGAAGCACCTCAAGGGGAGCCTTCTCTCAGCAATAGGTATGTTGCAGGGACCCCCAGTTTGCTGCCTCAAGTGGAATATGCAGCGAGAAGCCCTAACTTGAAAGGAGGCCGGATTTCCTTGCTGTGTCTTGAATACAGGCTCATCTTTCATCTCAAAACCGGAAGGAACGTCTGAATCCCCTGTGGAGACCTTAGAGAAAGCCCTAGGTCCCTGCCTCATTTTGACGGAATGCCTCACATCCCGTTGACAACTCGAGATGCACACGGAGTTCACTGCTTCAAAATATGACGATGCCTGACTCCTCCTGAACATTGATAGGAATCCCAAAATCACTGTAGCTACAGGACAGGGTTCTTGGGTGCCCTGCCTCACCTCGAGAAGCATCCCTTTTGCCCTGCCAAGCCTTGAAGAGATTCCTGAGGTGTCTCTCGTTACTAGACAGGAGTCCTGACGTCACTGAATAAACACGTGTTTTGAAGGGCCATCCCCGCCATAACTCGAGAACATACCCCAGTTCCCGCCGCAACTCGAGTAAAACCATGAGACTTCCCCTAGATGCGAGATGAGGCCTGATTCCCTGCAGTCCATGCAGAGCATTCCCGTGATCCCCATCAAGCAAGTCAGGAGCTTCGACTTGCTTAATGGATCTCGAGACAGTCCCCAAGAACACTGTTACATGTCTAGACGGATCCTGAGGTCACCCCATCAACGCAAAGTAGCACCATGTGCCCCAAATCAACTCGAGATAATGCCCGATTCCCCTGCATCGACTCCAGAGCCATCCCCCGTTCCACATTAAACACGACCAGTGGCTTGACTTCCTTCAGGCAACTCCAGAGATGCCCTGAGAACACTGTCCCAAGTCTAGAGGAACACCATCTTCAGCACAGCAACTCGAGGAATGCTCCGTGTACCCCAAATCGTCTCGAGATGAGAGCTGATTCCCTGGCTTAGGCTCAAGACGTATGCCAACTTTCCAGAAGCACCTCAAGGGGAGCCTTCTCTCAGCAATAGGAATGTTGGAGGGACCCCCAGTTTGCTGCCTCAAGTGGAATATACAGCGAGAAGCCCTAACTTGAAAGGAGGCCGGATTTCCTTGCTGTGTCTTGAATACAGGCTCATCTTTCATCTCACAACCGGAAGGAATGTCTGAATCCCCTGTGGAGACCTTAGAGAAAGCCCTAGGTCCCTGCCTCATTTTGACGGAATGCCTCACATACCGTTGACACTTCGAGAGGCACACGGAGTTCACTGCTTCAAAATGTGACGATGCCTGACTCCTCCTGAACATTGATAGGAATCCCAAAATCACTGTGGCTACAGGACAGGGTTCTTGGGTGCCCTGCCTCACCTCGAGAAGCATCCCTTTTGCCCTGCCAAGCCTTGAAGAGATTCCTGAGGTGTCTCTCGTTACTAGACAGGAGTCCTGACGTCACTGAATAAACACGTGTTTTGAAGGGCCATCCCCGCCATAACTCGAGAACATACCCCAGTTCCCGCCGCAACTCGAGAAAAACCATGAGACTTCCCCTAGATGCGAGATGAGGCCTGATTCCCTGCAGTCCATGCAGAGCATTCCCGTGATCCCAATCAAGCAAGTCAGCAGCTTCGAATTGCTTAATGGATCTCGAGAGAGTCCCCAGGAACACTGTCACAAGTCTAGACAGACCCTGACATCACCCCAGCAACGCAAAGCAGCTCCAAGTACCCCACATCAATTCGCGTTGAGGCCCGATTCCCATGCATTGACTCCAGAGCCATCCCCCGTACCCCATTAAGCACCACCAGTGGCTTGACTTCCTTCAGGCAACTCGAGAGATGCCCCGAGAACACTGTCCCAAGTCTAGAGGAATACGAACTTCAGCACAGCAACACGAGGAATGCTCCGTGTAGCCCAAATCGTTTCGAGGTGAGAGCTGATTCCATGGCTTAGGCTCAAGACGTATGCCAACTTTCCAGAAGCACCTCAAGATGAGGCTTCTCTCAGCAATAGGTATTTGGGAGGGACCCCGAGTTTGCTGCCTCAAGTGGAATATACAGCCAGAAGCCCTAACTTGAAAGGAGGCCGGATTACCTTGCAGTGGCTTGGATACAGGCTCGTCTTTCATCTCACAGCATGAAGGGATGTCTGAATCCCCTGTGGAGACCTTAGAGAAAGCTCTAGGTCCCTGCATCATTTTGACGGAATGCCTCACATCCAGTTGACACTTCGAGAGGCACGCGGAGTTCACTGCTTCAAAAGGTGATGATGCCTGACTCGTCTGGAATATTGATAGGAATCCCAAAATCACTGTGGCTACAGGAAAGGATTCTTGTGTGCCCTGCCTCACCTCGAGAAGCATCCCTTTGCCCTGCCAAGGCTCGAAGAGATTCCTGAGGTGTCCCTCATTACTAGACAGGAGTCATGACGGCATTGAATAAACACGGGTTTTGAGGGGCCATCCCCGCCGTAACTCGAGAAGATACCCCAGGTCCCCCGCGCAACTTGAGAGAAACCCTGAGACTTCCCCCTAGATGCGAGATGAGTCCTGATTCCCTGCAGTGCATGCAGAGTATTCCCGTGATCCCCATCAAACAAGTCAGGAGCTTCGACTTGCTTAATGGATCTCGAGACAGTCCCCAAGAACACTGTCACAAGTCTAGACGGACCCTGAGGTCACCCCAGCAACGCAAAGCAGCTCCATGTGCCCCAAATCAACCCGAGATGTGGCCCGATTCCCCTGCATTGACTCCAGAGCCATCCCCAGTTCCCCATTAAACAAGACAACTGGCTAGACTTCCTTCAGGCAACTCCAGAGATGCCCCGCAAACACTCTCCCAAGACTAGAGGAACACCAACTTCAGCACAGCAACTCGAGGAATGCTCCGTGTACCACAAATCGTCTCGAGATGAGAGCTGAATCCCTGGCTTAGGCTCAAGACGTATGCCAACTTTCCAGTAGCACCTCAAGAGGAGGCTTCTCTCAGCAATAGGTATGTTGGAGGGACCCCGAGTTTGCTGCCTCAAGTGGAATATAGAGCGAGAAGCCCTAACTTGAAAGGAGGCCAGATTTCCTTGCAATGGCTTGAATACAGGCTCGTCTTTCATCTCACAGAATGAAGGGATGACTGAATCTCCTGTGGAGACCTTAGAGAAGGCTATAGGTCCCTGCCTCATTTTGACGGAATGCCTCACATCCCGTTGTCACCTAGAGAGGCACGCGGAGTTCACTGCTTCAAAAGGTGACGATGCCTGACTCCTCTAAAATATTGATAGGAATCCCAAAATCCCTGTGGCTATTGGAAAGGTTCCTTGGGTGCCCTGCCTCACCTCGAGAAGAGTCCCTTGTGCCTTGCCAAGCCTCGAAGAGATTCCTGAGCTGTCCCTCGTTACTGGACAGGAGTCCTGACGTCACTGAATAAACACGAGTTTTGAAGGGCCATCCGCGCCGTAACCCGAGTACATACCCCAGGTCCCCGCCGCAAGTCGAGAAATACCATGAGACTTTCCCCTAGAGGCCAGATGAGGCCCGATTCTCCTGCAGTGCATGCAGAGCAATTCCGTGATCCCCATCAAACAAGTCAGAAGCTTCGACTTGCTTAATGGATCTCGAGACAGTCACCAGGGAACACTGTCACATGTCTAGACGGATCCTGAGGTCACCCCATCAACGCAAAGCAGCACCATGTGCCCCAAATCAACTCGAGATAATGCCCGATTCCCCTGCATTGACTCCAGAGCCATCCCCCGTTCCACATTAAACACGACCAGTGGCTTGACTTCCTTCAGGCAACTCCAGAGATGCCCTGAGAACACTGTCCCAAGTCTAGAGGAACACCATCTTCAGCACAGCAACTCGAGGAATGCTCCGTGTACCCCAAATCGCCTCGAGATGAGAGCTGATTCCCTGGCTTAGGCTCAAGACGTATGCCAACTTTCCAGAAGCACCTCAATGGGAGACTTCTCTCAGCAATAGGAATGTTGGAGGGACCCCCAGTTTGCTGCCTCAAGTGGAATATACAGCGAGAAGCCCTAACTTCAAAGGAGGCCGGATTTCCTTGCTGTGTCTTGAATACAGGCTCGTCTTTCATCTCACAACCGGAAGGAATGTCTGAGTCCCCTGTGGAGACCTTAGAGAAAGCCCTAGGTCCCTGCCTCATATTGACGGAATGCCTCACATACCGTTGACACTTCGAGAGGCACACGGAGTTCACTGCTTCAAAATGTGACGATGCCTGACTCCTCCTGAACATTGATAGGAATCCCAAAATCACTGTGGCTACAGGACAGGGTTCTTGGGTGCCCTGCCTCACCTCGAGAAGCATCCCTTTTGCCCTGCCAAGCCTCGAAGAGATTCCTGAGCTGTCTCTCGTTACTAGACAGGAGTCCTGACGTCACTGAATAAACACGTGTTTTGAAGGGCCATCCCCGCCATAACTCGAGAACATACCCCAGTTCCCGCCGCAACTCGAGTAAAACCATGAGACTTCCCCTAGATGCGAGATGAGGCCTGATTCCCTGCAGTCCATGCAGAGCATTCCCGTGATCCCCATCAAGCAAGTCAGGAGCTTCGACTTGCTTAATTCAACTCGAGAAAGTCCCCAGGAACACTGTCACAAGTCTAGACAGACCCTGAGGTCACCCCAGCAATGCAAAGCAGCTGCAAGTACCCCACATCAACTCGAGATGAGGCCCGATTCCCATGCATTGACTCCTGAGCCATCCCCCGTAACCCATTAAACACCACCAGTGGCTTGACTTCCTTCAGGGAACTAAAGAAATGCCCCGAGAACACTGTCCCAAGACTAGAGGAACACCAACTTCAGCACAGCAACTCGAGTAATGCTCCGTGTACCACAAATCGTCTCGAGATGAGAGCTGAATCCCTGGCTTAGGCTCAAGACATATGCCAACTTTCCAGAAGCACCTCAAGAGGAGGCTTCTCTCAGCAATAGGTATGTTGGAGGGACCCCGAGTTTGCTGCCTCAAGTGGAATATACAGCGAGAAGCCCTAACTTGAAAGGAGGCCGGATTTCCTTGCAGTGGCTTGAATACAGGCTCGTCTTTCATCTCACAGAATGAAGGGATGTCTGAATCCCCTGTGGAGACCTTAGAGAAAGCTCTAGGTCCCTGCCTCATTTTGACGGAATGCCTCACATCCCGTTGTCACCTCGAGAGGCACGCGGAGTTCACTGCTTCAAAAGGTGACGATGCCTGACTCCTCTAAAATATTGATAGGAATCCCAAAATCCCTGTGGCTATTGGAAAGGTTCCTTGGGTGCCCTGCCTCACCTCGAGAAGCGTCCCTTGTGCCCTGCCAAGCCTCGAAGAGATTCCTGAGCTGTCCCTCGTTACTGGACAGGAGTCCTGACGTCACTGAATAAACACGAGTTTTGAAGGGCCATCCCCGCCGTAAGCCGAGTACATACCCCAGGTCCCCGCCGCAAGTCGAGAAAAACCATGAGACTTTCCCCTAGAGGCGAGATGAGGCCCGATTCTCCTGCAGTGCATGCAGAGCAATTCCGTGATCCCCATCACACAAGTCAGGGGCTTCGACTTGCTTAATGGATCTCGAGACAGTCACCAGGGAACTCTGTCACATGTCTAGACGGATCCTGAGGTCACCCCATCAATGCAAAGCAGCACCATGTGCCCCAAATCAACTCGAGATAATGCCCGATTCCCCTGCATTGACTCCAGAGCCATCCCCCGTTCCACATTAAACACGACCAGTGGCTTGACTTCCTTCAGGCAACTCCAGAGATGCCCTGAGAACACTGTCCCAAGTCTAGAGGAACACCATCTTCAGCACAGCAACTCGAGGAATGCTCCGTGTACCCCAAATCGTCTCGAGATGAGAGCTGATTCCCTGGCTTAGGCTCAAGACGGATGCCAACTTTCCAGAAGCACCTCAAGGGGAGCCTTCTCTCAGCAATAGGAATGTTGGAGGGACCCCCAGTTTGCTGCCTCAAGTGGAATATACAGCGAGAAGCCCTAACTTCAAAGGAGGCCGGATTTCCTTGCTGTGTCTTGAATACAGGCTCGTCTTTCATCTCACAACCGGAAGGAATGTCTGAGTCCCCTGTGGAGACCTTAGAGAAAGCCCTAGGTCCCTGCCTCATATTGACGGAATGCCTCACATACCGTTGACACTTCGAGAGGCACACGGAGTTCACTGCTTCAAAATGTGACGATGCCTGACTCCTCCTGAACATTGATAGGAATCCCAAAATCACTGTGGCTACAGGACAGGGTTCTTGGGTGCCCTGCCTCACCTCGAGAAGCATCCCTTTTGCCCTGCCAAGCCTCGAAGAGATTCCTGAGATGTCTCTCGTTACTAGACAGTAGTCCTGACGTCACTGAATAAACACGTGTTTTGAAGGGCCATCCCCGCCATAACTCGAGAACATACCCCAGTTCCCGCCGCAACTCGAGTAAAACCATGAGACTTCCCCTAGATGCGAGATGAGGCCTGATTCCCTGCAGTCCATGCAGAGCATTCCCGTGATCCCCATCAAGCAAGTCAGGAGCTTCGACTTGCTTAATTCAACTCGAGAAAGTCCCCAGGAACACTGTCACAAGTCTAGACAGACCCTGAGGTCACCCCAGCAATGCAAAGCAGCTGCAAGTACCCCACATCAACTCGAGATGAGGCCCGATTCCCATGCATTGACTCCTGAGCCATCCCCCGTAACCCATTAAACACAACCAGTGGCTTGACTTCCTTCAGGGAACTAAAGAAATGCCCCGAGAACACTGTCCCAAGACTAGAGGAACACCAACTTCAGCACAGCAACTCGAGTAATGCTCCGTGTACCACAAATCGTCTCGAGATGAGAGCTGAATCCCTGGCTTAGGCTCAAGACGTATGCCAACTTTCCAGAAGCACCTCAAGAGGAGGCTTCTCTCAGCAATAGGTATGATGGAGGGACCCCGAGTTTGCTGCCTCAAGTGGAATATACAGCGAGAAGCCCTAACTTGAAAGGAGGCCGGATTTCCTTGCAGTGGCTTGAATACAGGTTCGTCTTTCATCTCACAGAATGAAGGGATGTCTGAATCCCCTGTGGAGACCTTAGAGAAAGCTCTAGGTCCCTGCCTCATTTTGACGGAATGCCTCACATCCCGTTGTCACCTCGAGAGGCACGCGGAGTTCACTGCTTCAAAAGGTGACGATGCCTGACTCCTCTAAAATATTGATAGGAATCCCAAAATCCCTGTGGCTATTGGAAAGGTTCCTTGGGTGCCCTGCCTCACCTCGAGAAGCGTTCCTTGTGCCCTGCCAAGCCTCGAAGAGATTCCTGAGCTGTCCCTCGTTACTGGACAGGAGTCCTGACGTCACTGAATAAACACGAGTTTTGAAGGGCCATCCCCGCCGTAAGCCGAGTACATACCCCAGGTCCCCGCCGCAAGTCGAGAAAAACCATGAGACTTTCCCCTAGAGGCGAGATGAGGCCCGATTCTCCTGCAGTGCATGCAGAGCAATTCCGTGATCCCCATCAAACAAGTCAGAAGCTTCGACTTGCTTAATGGATCTCGAGACAGTCACCAGGGAACACTGTCACATGTCTAGACGGATCCTGAGGTCACCCCATCAACGCAAAGCAGCACCATGTGCCCCAAATCAACTCGAGATAATGCCCGATTCCCCTGCATTGACTCCAGAGCCATCCCCCGTTCCACATTAAACACGACCAGTGGCTTGACTTCCTTCAGGCAACTCCAGAGATGACCTGAGAACACTGTCCCAAGTCTAGAGGAACACCATCTTCAGCACAGCAACTCGAGGAATGCTCCGTGTACCCCAAATCGTCACGAGATGTGAGCTGATTCCCTGGCTTAGGCTCAAGACGTATGCCAACTTTCCAGAAGCACCTCAAGGGGAGCCTTCTCTCAGCAATAGGTATGTTGGAGGGACCCCCAGTTTGCTGCCTCAAGTGGAATATGCAGCGAGAAGCCCTAACTTGAAAGGAGGCCGGATTTCCTTGCTGTGTCTTGAATACAGGCTCGTCTTTCATCTCACAACCGGAAGGAATGTCTGAATCCCCTGTGGAGACCTTAGAGAAAGCCCTAGGTCTCTGCCTCATTTTGACGGAATGCCTCACATCCCGTTGACACCTCGAGAGGCACACGGAGTTCACTTCTTCAAAATGTGACGATGCCTGACTCATCCTGAACATTGATAGGAATCCCAAAATCACTGTAGCTACAGGACAGGGTCCTTGGGTGCTCTGCCTGACCTCGAGAGGCATCCCTTTTGCCCTGCCAAGCCTCGAAGAGATTCCTGAGGTGTCTCTCGTTACTGGACAGGAGTCCTGACGTCACTGAGTAAACACGTGTTTTGAAGGGCCATCCCCGCCGTAACTCGAGTACATACCCCAGTTCCCCGCCGCAACTCGAGAAAAACCATGAGACTTCCGCCTAGAGGCGAGATGAGGCCCGATTCTCCTGCAGTGCATGCAGAGAAATTCCGTGATCCCCATCAAACAAGTCAGGGGCTTCGACTTGCTTAATGGATCTCGAGACATTCCCCAGGAACACTGTCACATGTCTAGACGGACCCTGAGGTATCCCCAGCAACGCAAAGCAGCTCCATGTGCCCCAAATCAACTTGAGATGAGGTCCGATTCCCCTGCATTGACTCCAGAGCCATCTGCCGTTCCGCATTAAACACCACCAGTGGCTTGACCTCCTTCAGACAACTCCAGAGATGCCCCGAGAACACTGTCCCAAGTCTAGAGGAACACCTACTTTAGCACAGCAACTCGAGGAATGCTTCCTGTATGCCAAATCCTCTCGAGATGAGAGCTGATTCCCTGGTTTAGGCTCAAGACGTATGCCAACTTTCCAGAAGCACCTCAAGAGAAGGCTTCTCTCAGCAATAGGTATGTGGGAGGGAACCCGAGTTTGCTGCCTCAAAGGGAATATACAGCGAGAAGCACTAACTAGAAAGGAGGCCGGTTTCCTAGCAGTGTCTTGAATACAGGCTCGTCTTTCATCTCACAACCAGAAGGAATGTCTGAATCCCCTGTGGAGACCTTAGAGAAAGCCCTAGGTCCCTCCCTCATTTTGACGGAATGCCTCACATCCCGTGGACACCTCGAGAGTCACGCAGAGTTCACTGCTTCAAAAGCTGACGATGCCTGACTCCTCTTGAATATTGATAGGAATCACAAAATACCTGTGGCTATTTGAAAGGTTCCTTGGGTGCCCTGCCTCACCTCGAGAAGCGTCCCTTGTGCCTGCCAAGACTCGAAGAGATTCCTGAGCTGTCCCTCGTTACTGGACAGGAGTCCTGACGTCACTGAATAAACACGAGTTTTTAAGGGCCATCCCCGCCGTAACCCGAGTACATACCCCAGTTCCCCGCCGCAAGTCGAGAAAAACCATGAGACTTTCCCCTCGTGGCGAGATGAGGCCCGATTCTCCTGCAGTGCATGCAGAGCAATTCCGTGATCCCCATCAAACAAGTCAGGACCTTCGACTTGCTTAATGGATCTCGAGACAGTCCCCAAGAATACTGTCACATATCCAGACGGATCCTGAGGTCACCCCATCAACGCAAAGCAGCACCATGTTCCCCACATCAACTCGAGATAATGCCCGATTCCCCTGCATTGAATCCAGAGCCATCCCCCGTTCCACATTAAAAACCACCAGTGGCTTGACTTCCTTCAGACAACTCCAGAGATGCCCTGAGAACACTGTCCCAAGTCTAGAGGAACACCATCTTCAGCACAGCAACTCGAGGAATGCTCCGTGTACCCCAAATCATCTCGAGATGTGAGCTGATTCCCTGGCTTAGGCTCAAGACGTATGCCAACTTTCCAGAAGCACCTCAAGGGGAGCCTTCTCTCAGCAATAGGTATGTTGGAGGGACCCCCAGTTTGCTGCCTCAAGTGGAATATGCAGCGAGAAGCCCTAACTTGAAAGGAGGCCGGATTTCCTTGCTGTGTCTTGAATACAGGCTCATCTTTCATCTCAAAACCGGAAGGAACGTCTGAATCCCCTGTGGAGACCTTAGAGAAAGCCCTAGGTCCCTGCCTCATTTTGACGGAATGCCTCACATCCCGTTGACAACTCGAGATGCACACGGAGTTCACTGCTTCAAAATATGACGATGCCTGACTCCTCCTGAACATTGATAGGAATCCCAAAATCACTGTAGCTACAGGACAGGGTTCTTGGGTGCCCTGCCTCACCTCGAGAAGCATCCCTTTTGCCCTGCCAAGCCTTGAAGAGATTCCTGAGGTGTCTCTCGTTACTAGACAGGAGTCCTGACGTCACTGAATAAACACGTGTTTTGAAGGGCCATCCCCGCCATAACTCGAGAACATACCCCAGTTCCCGCCGCAACTCGAGTAAAACCATGAGACTTCCCCTAGATGCGAGATGAGGCCTGATTCCCTGCAGTCCATGCAGAGCATTCCCGTGATCCCCATCAAGCAAGTCAGGAGCTTCGACTTGCTTAATGGATCTCGAGACAGTCCCCAAGAACACTGTTACATGTCTAGACGGATCCTGAGGTCACCCCATCAACGCAAAGTAGCACCATGTGCCCCAAATCAACTCGAGATAATGCCCGATTCCCCTGCATCGACTCCAGAGCCATCCCCCGTTCCACATTAAACACGACCAGTGGCTTGACTTCCTTCAGGCAACTCCAGAGATGCCCTGAGAACACTGTCCCAAGTCTAGAGGAACACCATCTTCAGCACAGCAACTCGAGGAATGCTCCGTGTACCCCAAATCGTCTCGAGATGAGAGCTGATTCCCTGGCTTAGGCTCAAGACGTATGCCAACTTTCCAGAAGCACCTCAAGGGGAGCCTTCTCTCAGCAATAGGAATGTTGGAGGGACCCCCAGTTTGCTGCCTCAAGTGGAATATACAGCGAGAAGCCCTAACTTGAAAGGAGGCCGGATTTCCTTGCTGTGTCTTGAATACAGGCTCATCTTTCATCTCACAACCGGAAGGAATGTCTGAATCCCCTGTGGAGACCTTAGAGAAAGCCCTAGGTCCCTGCCTCATTTTGACGGAATGCCTCACATACCGTTGACACTTCGAGAGGCACACGGAGTTCACTGCTTCAAAATGTGACGATGCCTGACTCCTCCTGAACATTGATAGGAATCCCAAAATCACTGTGGCTACAGGACAGGGTTCTTGGGTGCCCTGCCTCACCTCGAGAAGCATCCCTTTTGCCCTGCCAAGCCTCGAAGAGATTCCTGAGGTGTCTCTCGTTACTAGACAGGAGTCCTGACGTCACTGAATAAACACGTGTTTTGAAGGGCCATCCCCGCCATAACTCGAGAACATACCCCAGTTCCCGCCGCAACTCGAGAAAAACCATGAGACTTCCCCTAGATGCGAGATGAGGCCTGATTCCCTGCAGTCCATGCAGAGCATTCCCGTGATCCCAATCAAGCAAGTCAGCAGCTTCGAATTGCTTAATGGATCTCGAGAGAGTCCCCAGGAACACTGTCACAAGTCTAGACAGACCCTGACATCACCCCAGCAACGCAAAGCAGCTCCAAGTACCCCACATCAACTCGCGTTGAGGCCCGATTCCCATGCATTGACTCCAGAGCCATCCCCCGTACCCCATTAAGCACCACCAGTGGCTTGACTTCCTTCAGGCAACTCGAGAGATGCCCCGAGAACACTGTCCCAAGTCTAGAGGAATACGAACTTCAGCACAGCAACACGAGGAATGCTCCGTGTAGCCCAAATCGTTTCGAGGTGAGAGCTGATTCCATGGCTTAGGCTCAAGACGTATGCCAACTTTCCAGAAGCACCTCAAGATGAGGCTTCTCTCAGCAATAGGTATTTGGGAGGGACCCCGAGTTTGCTGCCTCAAGTGGAATATACAGCCAGAAGCCCTAACTTGAAAGGAGGCCGGATTTCCTTGCAGTGGCTTGGATACAGGCTCGTCTTTCATCTCACAGCATGAAGGGATGTCTGAATCCCCTGTGGAGACCTTAGAGAAAGCTCTAGGTCCCTGCATCATTTTGACGGAATGCCTCACATCCAGTTGACACTTCGAGAGGCACGCGGAGTTCACTGCTTCAAAAGGTGATGATGCCTGACTCGTCTGGAATATTGATAGGAATCCCAAAATCACTGTGGCTACAGGAAAGGATTCTTGTGTGCCCTGCCTCACCTCGAGAAGCATCCCTTTGCCCTGCCAAGGCTCGAAGAGATTCCTGAGGTGTCCCTCATTACTAGACAGGAGTCATGACGGCATTGAATAAACACGTGTTTTGAGGGGCCATCCCCGCCGTAACTCGAGATGATACCCCAGGTCCCCCGCGCAACTTGAGAGAAACCGTGAGACTTCCCCCTAGATGCGAGATGAGTCCTGATTCCCTGCAGTGCATGCAGAGTATTCCCGTGATCCCCATCAAACAAGTCAGGAGCTTCGACTTGCTTAATGGATCTCGAGACATTCCCCAAGAACTCTGTCACAAGTCTAGACGGACCCTGAGGTAACCCCAGCAACGCAAAGCAGCTCCATGTGCCCCAAATCAACCCGAGATGTGGCCCGATTCCCCTGCATTGACTCCAGAGCCATCTCCAGTTCCCCATTAAACAAGACAACTGGCTAGACTTCCTTCAGGCAACTCCAGAGATGCCCCGCAAACACTCTCCCAAGACTAGAGGAACACCAACTTCAGCACAGCAACTCGAGGAATGCTCCGTGTACCACAAATCGTCTCGAGATGAGAGCTGAATCCCTGGCTTAGGCTCAAGACGTATGCCAACTTTCCAGTAGCACCTCAAGAGGAGGCTTCTCTCAGCAATAGGTATGTTGGAGGGACCCCGAGTTTGCTGCCTCAAGTGGAATATACAGCGAGAAGCCCTAACTTGAAAGGAGGCCAGATTTCCTTGCAATGGCTTGAATACAGGCTCGTCTTTCATCTCACAGAATGAAGGGATGACTGAATCTCCTGTGTAGACCTTAGAGAAGGCTATAGGTCCCTGCCTCATTTTGACGGAATGCCTCACATCCCGTTGTCACCTAGAGAGGCACGCGGAGTTCACTGCTTCAAAAGGTGACGATGCCTGACTCCTCTAAAATATTGATAGGAATCCCAAAATCCCTGTGGCTATTGGAAAGGTTCCTTGGGTGCCCTGCCTCACCTCGAGAAGCGTCCCTTGTGCCCTGCCAAGCCTCGAAGAGATTCCTGAGCTGTCCCTCGTTACTGGACAGGAGTCCTGACGTCACTGAATAAACACGAGTTTTGAAGGGCCATCCGCGCCGTAACCCGAGTACATACCCCAGGTCCCCGCCGCAAGTCGAGAAATACCATGAGACTTTCCCCTAGAGGCCAGATGAGGCCCGATTCTCCTACAGTGCATGCAGAGCAATTCCGTGATCCCCATCAAACAAGTCAGAAGCTTCGACTTGCTTAATGGATCTCGAGACAGTCACCAGGGAACACTGTCACATGTCTAGACGGATCCTGAGGTCACCCCATCAACGCAAAGCAGCACCATGTGCCCCAAATCAACTCGAGATAATGCCCGATTCCCCTGCATTGACTCCAGAGCCATCCCCCGTTCCACATTAAACACGACCAGTGGCTTGACTTCCTTCAGGCAACTCCAGAGATGCCCTGAGAACACTGTCCCAAGTCTAGAGGAACACCATCTTCAGCACAGCAACTCGAGGAATGCTCCGTGTACCCCAAATCGTCTCGAGATGAGAGCTGATTCCCTGGCTTAGGCTCAAGACGTATGCCAACTTTCCAGAAGCACCTCAATGGGAGACTTCTCTCAGCAATAGGAATGTTGGAGGGACCCCCAGTTTGCTGCCTCAAGTGGAATATACAGCGAGAAGCCCTAACTTCAAAGGAGGCCGGATTTCCTTGCTGTGTCTTGAATACAGGCTCGTCTTTCATCTCACAACCGGAAGGAATGTCTGAGTCCCCTGTGGAGACCTTAGAGAAAGCCCTAGGTCCCTGCCTCATATTGACGGAATGCCTCACATACCGTTGACACTTCGAGAGGCACACGGAGTTCACTGCTTCAAAATGTGACGATGCCTGACTCCTCCTGAACATTGATAGGAATCCCAAAATCACTGTGGCTACAGGACAGGGTTCTTGGGTGCCCTGCCTCACCTCGAGAAGCATCCCTTTTGCCCTGCCAAGCCTCGAAGAGATTCCTGAGATGTCTCTCGTTACTAGACAGGAGTCCTGACGTCACTGAATAAACACGTGTTTTGAAGGGCCATCCCCGCCATAACTCGAGAACATACCCCAGTTCCCGCCGCAACTCGAGTAAAACCATGAGACTTCCCCTAGATGCGAGATGAGGCCTGATTCCCTGCAGTCCATGCAGAGCATTCCCGTGATCCCCATCAAGCAAGTCAGGAGCTTCGACTTGCTTAATTTAACTCGAGAAAGTCCCCAGGAACACTGTCACAAGTCTAGACAGACCCTGAGGTCACCCCAGCAATGCAAAGCAGCTGCAAGTACCCCACATCAACTCGAGATGAGGCCCGATTCCCATGCATTGACGCCTGAGGCATCCCCCGTAACCCATTAAACACCACCAGTGGCTTGACTTCCTTCAGGGAACTAAAGAAATGCCCCGAGAACACTGTCCCAAGACTAGAGGAACACCAACTTCAGCACAGCAACTCGAGTAATGCTCCGTGTACCACAAATCGTCTCGAGATGAGAGCTGAATCCCTGGCTTAGGCTCAAGACGTATGCCAACTTTCCAGAAGCACCTCAAGAGGAGGCTTCTCTCAGCAATAGGTATGTTGGAGGGACCCCGAGTTTGCTGCCTCAAGTGGAATATACAGCGAGAAGCCCTAACTTGAAAGGAGGCCGGATTTCCTTGCAGTGGCTTGAATACAGGCTCGTCTTTCATCTCACAGAATGAAGGGATGTCTGAATCCCCTATGGAGACCTTAGAGAAAGCTATAGGTCCCTGCCTCATTTTGACGGAATGCCTCACATCCCGTTGTCACCTCGAGAGGCACGCGGAGTTCACTGCTTCAAAAGGTGACGAAGCCTGACTCCTCTAAAATATTGATAGGAATCCCAAAATCCCTGTGGCTATTGGAAAAGTTCCTTGGGTGCCCTGCCTCACCTCGAGAAGCGTCCCTTGTGCCCTGCCAAGCCTCGAAGAGATTCCTGAGCTGTCCCTCGTTACTGGACATGAGTCCTGACGTCACTGAATAAACACGAGTTTTGAAGGGCCATCCCCTCCGTAAGCCGAGTACATACGCCAGGTCCCCGCCGCAAGTCGAGAAAAAACATGAGACTTTCCCCTAGAGGCGAGATGAGGCCCGATTCTCCTGCAGTGCATGCAGAGCAATTCCGTGATCCCCATCAAACAAGTCAGAAGCTTCGACTTGATTAATGGATCTCGAGACAGTCCCCAAGAACACTGTCACATGTCTAGACGGATCCTGAGGTCACCCCATCAACGCAAAGCAGCACCATGTGCCCCAAATCAACTCGAGATAATGCCCGATTCCAATGCATTGACTCCAGAGCAATCCCCCGTTCCACATTAAACACGACCAGTGGCTTGACTTCCTTCAGGCAACTCCAGAGATGCCCTAAGAACACTGTGCCAAGTCTAGAGGAACACCATCTTCAGCACAGCAACTCGAGGAATGCTCCGTGTACCCCAAATCATCTCGAGATGTGAGCTGATTCCCTGGCTTAGGCTCAAGACGTATGCCAACTTTCCAGAAGCACCTCAAGGGGAGCCTTCTCTCAGCAATAGGTATGTTGGAGGGACCCCCAGTTTGCTGCCTCAAGTGGAATATACAGCGAGAAGCCCTAACTTGAAAGGAGGCCGGATTTCCTTGCTGTGTCTTGAATACAGGCTCATCTTTCATCTCAAAACCGGAAGGAATGTCTGAATCCCCTTTGGAGACCTTAGAGAAAGCCCTAGGTCCCTGCCTCATTTTGACGGAATGCCTCACATCCCGTTGACAACTCGAGATGCACACGGAGTTCACTGCTTCAAAATATGACGATGCCTGACTCCTCCTGAACATTGATAGGAATCCCAAAATCACTGTAGCTACAGGACAGGGTTCTTGGGTGCCCTGCCTCACCTCGAGAAGCATCCCTTTTGCCCTGCCAAGCCTTGAAGAGATTCCTGAGGTGTCTCTCGTTACTAGACAGGAGTCCTGACGTCACTGAATAAACACGTGTTTTGAAGGGCCATCCCCGCCATAACTCGAGAACATACCCCAGTTCCCGCCGCAACTCGAGTAAAACCATGAGACTTCCCCTAGATGCGAGATGAGGCCTGATTCCCTGCAGTCCATGCAGAGCATTCCCGTGATCCCCATCAAGCAAGTCAGGAGCTTCGACTTGCTTAATGGATCTCGAGAGAGTCCCCAGGAACACTGTCACAAGTCTAGACAGACCCTGACATCACCCCAGCAACGCAAAGCAGCTCCAAGTACCCCACATCAACTCGCGTTGAGGCCCGATTCCCATGCATTGACTCCAGAGCCATCCCCCGTACCCCATTAAGCACCACCAGTGGCTTGACTTCCTTCAGGCAACTCGAGAGATGCCCCGAGAACACTGTCCCAAGTCTAGAGGAATACGAACTTCAGCACAGCAACACGAGGAATGCTCCGTGTAGCCCAAATCGTTTCGAGGTGAGAGCTGATTCCATGGCTTAGGCTCAAGACGTATGCCAACTTTCCAGAAGCACCTCAAGATGAGGCTTCTCTCAGCAATAGGTATTTGGGAGGGACCCCGAGTTTGCTGCCTCAAGTGGAATATACAGCCAGAAGCCCTAACTTGAAAGGAGGCCGGATTTCCTTGCAGTGGCTTGGATACAGGCTCGTCTTTCATCTCACAGCATGAAGGGATGTCTGAATCCCCTGTGGAGACCTTAGAGAAAGCTCTAGGTCCCTGCATCATTTTGACGGAATGCCTCACATCCAGTTGACACTTCGAGAGGCACGCGGAGTTCACTGCTTCAAAAGGTGATGATGCCTGACTCGTCTGGAATATTGATAGGAATCCCAAAATCACTGTGGCTACAGGAAAGGATTCTTGTGTGCCCTGCCTCACCTCGAGAAGCATCCCTTTGCCCTGCCAAGGCTCGAAGAGATTCCTGAGGTGTCCCTCATTACTAGACAGGAGTCATGACGGCATTGAATAAACACGTGTTTTGAGGGGCCATCCCCGCCGTAACTCGAGATGATACCCCAGGTCCCCCGCGCAACTTGAGAGAAACCGTGAGACTTCCCCCTAGATGCGAGATGAGTCCTGATTCCCTGCAGTGCATGCAGAGTATTCCCGTGATCCCCATCAAACAAGTCAGGAGCTTCGACTTGCTTAATGGATCTCGAGACAGTCCCCAAGAACTCTGTCACAAGTCTAGACGGACCCTGAGGTAACCCCAGCAACGCAAAGCAGCTCCATGTGCCCCAAATCAACCCGAGATGTGGCCCGATTCCCCTGCATTGACTCCAGAGCCATCCCCAGTTCCCCATTAAACAAGACAACTGGCTAGACTTCCTTCAGGCAACTCCAGAGATGCCCCGCAAACACTCTCCCAAGACTAGAGGAACACCAACTTCAGCACAGCAACTCGAGGAATGCTCCGTGTACCACAAATCGTCTCGAGATGAGAGCTGAATCCCTGGCTTAGGCTCAAGACGTATGCCAACTTTCCAGTAGCACCTCAAGAGGAGGCTTCTCTCAGCAATAGGTATGTTGGAGGGACCCCGAGTTTGCTGCCTCAAGTGGAATATACAGCGAGAAGCCCTAACTTGAAAGGAGGCCAGATTTCCTTGCAATGGCTTGAATACAGGCTCGTCTTTCATCTCACAGAATGAAGGGATGACTGAATCTCCTGTGTAGACCTTAGAGAAGGCTATAGGTCCCTGCCTCATTTTGACGGAATGCCTCACATCCCGTTGTCACCTAGAGAGGCACGCGGAGTTCACTGCTTCAAAAGGTGACGATGCCTGACTCCTCTAAAATATTGATAGGAATCCCAAAATCCCTGTGGCTATTGGAAAGGTTCCTTGGGTGCCCTGCCTCACCTCGAGAAGCGTCCCTTGTGCCCTGCCAAGCCTCGAAGAGATTCCTGAGCTGTCCCTCGTTACTGGACAGGAGTCCTGACGTCACTGAATAAACACGAGTTTTGAAGGGCCATCCGCGCCGTAACCCGAGTACATACCCCAGGTCCCCGCCGCAAGTCGAGAAATACCATGAGACTTTCCCCTAGAGGCCAGATGAGGCCCGATTCTCCTACAGTGCATGCAGAGCAATTCCGTGATCCCCATCAAACAAGTCAGAAGCTTCGACTTGCTTAATGGATCTCGAGACAGTCACCAGGGAACACTGTCACATGTCTAGACGGATCCTGAGGTCACCCCATCAACGCAAAGCAGCACCATGTGCCCCAAATCAACTCGAGATAATGCCCGATTCCCCTGCATTGACTCCAGAGCCATCCCCCGTTCCACATTAAACACGACCAGTGGCTTGACTTCCTTCAGGCAACTCCAGAGATGCCCTGAGAACACTGTCCCAAGTCTAGAGGAACACCATCTTCAGCACAGCAACTCGAGGAATGCTCCGTGTACCCCAAATCGTCTCGAGATGAGAGCTGATTCCCTGGCTTAGGCTCAAGACGTATGCCAACTTTCCAGAAGCACCTCAATGGGAGACTTCTCTCAGCAATAGGAATGTTGGAGGGACCCCCAGTTTGCTGCCTCAAGTGGAATATACAGCGAGAAGCCCTAACTTCAAAGGAGGCCGGATTTCCTTGCTGTGTCTTGAATACAGGCTCGTCTTTCATCTCACAACCGGAAGGAATGTCTGAGTCCCCTGTGGAGACCTTAGAGAAAGCCCTAGGTCCCTGCCTCATATTGACGGAATGCCTCACATACCGTTGACACTTCGAGAGGCACACGGAGTTCACTGCTTCAAAATGTGACGATGCCTGACTCCTCCTGAACATTGATAGGAATCCCAAAATCACTGTGGCTACAGGACAGGGTTCTTGGGTGCCCTGCCTCACCTCGAGAAGCATCCCTTTTGCCCTGCCAAGCCTCGAAGAGATTCCTGAGATGTCTCTCGTTACTAGACAGGAGTCCTGACGTCACTGAATAAACACGTGTTTTGAAGGGCCATCCCCGCCATAACTCGAGAACATACCCCAGTTCCCGCCGCAACTCGAGTAAAACCATGAGACTTCCCCTAGATGCGAGATGAGGCCTGATTCCCTGCAGTCCATGCAGAGCATTCCCGTGATCCCCATCAAGCAAGTCAGGAGCTTCGACTTGCTTAATTTAACTCGAGAAAGTCCCCAGGAACACTGTCACAAGTCTAGACAGACCCTGAGGTCACCCCAGCAATGCAAAGCAGCTGCAAGTACCCCACATCAACTCGAGATGAGGCCCGATTCCCATGCATTGACGCCTGAGGCATCCCCCGTAACCCATTAAACACCACCAGTGGCTTGACTTCCTTCAGGGAACTAAAGAAATGCCCCGAGAACACTGTCCCAAGACTAGAGGAACACCAACTTCAGCACAGCAACTCGAGTAATGCTCCGTGTACCACAAATCGTCTCGAGATGAGAGCTGAATCCCTGGCTTAGGCTCAAGACGTATGCCAACTTTCCAGAAGCACCTCAAGAGGAGGCTTCTCTCAGCAATAGGTATGTTGGAGGGACCCCGAGTTTGCTGCCTCAAGTGGAATATACAGCGAGAAGCCCTAACTTGAAAGGAGGCCGGATTTCCTTGCAGTGGCTTGAATACAGGCTCGTCTTTCATCTCACAGAATGAAGGGATGTCTGAATCCCCTATGGAGACCTTAGAGAAAGCTATAGGTCCCTGCCTCATTTTGACGGAATGCCTCACATCCCGTTGTCACCTCGAGAGGCACGCGGAGTTCACTGCTTCAGAAGGTGACGAAGCCTGACTCCTCTAAAATATTGATAGGAATCCCAAAATCCCTGTGGCTATTGGAAAAGTTCCTTGGGTGCCCTGCCTCACCTCGAGAAGCGTCCCTTGTGCCCTGCCAAGCCTCGAAGAGATTCCTGAGCTGTCCCTCGTTACTGGACATGAGTCCTGACGTCACTGAATAAACACGAGTTTTGAAGGGCCATCCCCTCCGTAAGCCGAGTACATACGCCAGGTCCCCGCCGCAAGTCGAGAAAAAACATGAGACTTTCCCCTAGAGGCGAGATGAGGCCCGATTCTCCTGCAGTGCATGCAGAGCAATTCCGTGATCCCCATCAAACAAGTCAGAAGCTTCGACTTGCTTAATGGATCTCGAGACAGTCCCCAAGAACACTGTCACATGTCTAGACGGATCCTGAGGTCACCCCATCAACGCAAAGCAGCACCATGTGCCCCAAATCAACTCGAGATAATGCCCGATTCCAATGCATTGACTCCAGAGCAATCCCCCGTTCCACATTAAACACGACCAGTGGCTTGACTTCCTTCAGGCAACTCCAGAGATGCCCTAAGAACACTGTGCCAAGTCTAGAGGAACACCATCTTCAGCACAGCAACTCGAGGAATGCTCCGTGTACCCCAAATCATCTCGAGATGTGAGCTGATTCCCTGGCTTAGGCTCAAGACGTATGCCAACTTTCCAGAAGCACCTCAAGGGGAGCCTTCTCTCAGCAATAGGTATGTTGGAGGGACCCCCAGTTTGCTGCCTCAAGTGGAATATACAGCGAGAAGCCCTAACTTGAAAGGAGGCCGGATTTCCTTGCTGTGTCTTGAATACAGGCTCATCTTTCATCTCAAAACCGGAAGGAATGTCTGAATCCCCTTTGGAGACCTTAGAGAAAGCCCTAGGTCCCTGCCTCATTTTGACGGAATGCCTCACATCCCGTTGACAACTCGAGATGCACACGGAGTTCACTGCTTCAAAATATGACGATGCCTGACTCCTCCTGAACATTGATAGGAATCCCAAAATCACTGTAGCTACAGGACAGGGTTCTTGGGTGCCCTGCCTCACCTCGAGAAGCATCCCTTTTGCCCTGCCAAGCCTTGAAGAGATTCCTGAGGTGTCTCTCGTTACTAGACAGGAGTCCTGACGTCACTGAATAAACACGTGTTTTGAAGGGCCATCCCCGCCATAACTCGAGAACATACCCCAGTTCCCGCCGCAACTCGAGTAAAACCATGAGACTTCCCCTAGATGCGAGATGAGGCCTGATTCCCTGCAGTCCATGCAGAGCATTCCCGTGATCCCCATCAAGCAAGTCAGGAGCTTCGACTTGCTTAATGGATCTCGAGACAGTCCCCAAGAACACTGTTACATGTCTAGACGGATCCTGAGGTCACCCCATCAACGCAAAGTAGCACCATGTGCCCCAAATCAACTCGAGATAATGCCCGATTCCCCTGCATCGACTCCAGAGCCATCCCCCGTTCCACATTAAACACGACCAGTGGCTTGACTTCCTTCAGGCAACTCCAGAGATGCCCTGAGAACACTGTCCCAAGTCTAGAGGAACACCATCTTCAGCATAGCAACTCGAGGAATGCTCCGTGTACCCCAAATCGTCTCGAGATGAGAGCTGATTCCCTGGCTTAGGCTCAAGACGTATGCCAACTTTCCAGAAGCACCTCAAGGGGAGCCTTCTCTCAGCAATAGGAATGTTGGAGGGACCCCCAGTTTGCTGCCTCAAGTGGAATATACAGCGAGAAGCCCTAACTTGAAAGGAGGCCGGATTTCCTTGCTGTGTCTTGAATACAGGCTCGTCTTTCATCTCACAACCGGAAGGAATGTCTGAATCCCCTGTGGAGACCTTAGAGAAAGCCCTAGGTCCCTGCCTCATTTTGACGGAATGCCTCACATACCGTTGACACTTCGAGAGGCACACGGAGTTCACTGCTTCAAAATGTGACGATGCCTGACTCCTCCTGAACATTGATAGGAATCCCAAAATCACTGTGGCTACAGGACAGGGTTCTTGGGTGCCCTGCCTCACCTCGAGAAGCATCCCTTTTGCCCTGCCAAGCCTCGAAGAGATTCCTGAGGTGTCTCTCGTTACTAGACAGGAGTCCTGACGTCACTGAATAAACACGTGTTTTGAAGGGCCATCCCCGCCATAACTCGAGAACATACCCCAGTTCCCGCCGCAACTCGAGAAAAACCATGAGACTTCCCCTAGATGCGAGATGAGGCCTGATTCCCTGCAGTCCATGCAGAGCATTCCCGTGATCCCAATCAAGCAAGTCAGCAGCTTCGAATTGCTTAATGGATCTCGAGAGAGTCCCCAGGAACACTGTCACAAGTCTAGACAGACCCTGACATCACCCCAGCAACGCAAAGCAGCTCCAAGTACCCCACATCAACTCGCGTTGAGGCCCGATTCCCATGCATTGACTCCAGAGCCATCCCCCGTACCCCATTAAGCACCACCAGTGGCTTGACTTCCTTCAGGCAACTCGAGAGATGCCCCGAGAACACTGTCCCAAGTCTAGAGGAATACGAACTTCAGCACAGCAACTCGAGGAATGCTCCGTGTAGCCCAAATCGTTTCGAGGTGAGAGCTGATTCCATGGCTTAGGCTCAAGACGTATGCCAACTTTCCAGAAGCACCTCAAGATGAGGCTTCTCTCAGCAATAGGTATTTGGGAGGGACCCCGAGTTTGCTGCCTCAAGTGGAATATACAGCCAGAAGCCCTAACTTGAAAGGAGGCCGGATTTCCTTGCAGTGGCTTGGATACAGGCTCGTCTTTCATCTCACAGCATGAAGGGATGTCTGAATCCCCTGTGGAGACCTTAGAGAAAGCTCTAGGTCCCTGCATCATTTTGACGGAATGCCTCACATCCAGTTGACACTTCGAGAGGCACGCGGAGTTCACTGCTTCAAAAGGTGATGATGCCTGACTCGTCTTGAATATTGATAGGAATCCCAAAATCACTGTGGCTACTGGAAAGGGACATTGGTTGCCCTGCCTCACCTCGAGAAGCATACCTTTTGACCTGCCAAGCCTCGAAGAGATTCCTGAGGTGTCCCTCGTTACTAGACAGGAGTCCTGACGGCACTGAATAAACACGGGTTTTGAGGGGCCATCCCCGCCGTAACTCGAGAAGATACCCCAAGTCCCCCGCGCAACTTGAGAGAAACCGTGAGGCTTCCCCCTAGATGCGAGATGAGTCCTGATTCCCTGCAGTGCATGCAGAGTATTCCCGTGATCCCCATCAAACAAGTCAGGAGCTTCGACTTGCTTAATGGATCTCGAGACAGTCCCCAAGAACACTGTCACAAGTCTAGACGGACCCTGAGGTAACCCCAGCAACGCAAAGCAGCTCCATGTGCCCCAAATCAAACCGAGATGTGGCCCGATTCCCCTGCATTGACTCCAGAGCCATCCCCAGTTCCCCATTAAACAAGACAACTGGCTAGACTTCCTACAGGCAACTCCAGAGATGCCCTGAGAACACTGTCCCAAGTCTAGAGGAACACCATCTTCAGCACAGCAACTCGAGGAATGCTCCGTGTACCCCAAATCGTCTCGAGATGAGAGCTGATTCCCTGGCTTAGGCTCAAGACGGATGCCAACTTTCCAAAAGCACCTCAAGGGGAGCTTTCTATCAGCAATAGGTATGTTGGAGGGACCCCGAGTTTGCTGCCTCAAGTGGAATATACAGCGAGAAGCCCTAACTTGAATGGAGGCCGGATTTCCTTGCAGTGTCTTGTATATAGGCTCGTCTTTCATCTCACAACAGGAAGGGATGTCTGAATCCCCTGTGAAGACCTTAGAGAAAGCCCTAGGTGGCTGCCTCAATTTGACGGAATGCCTCACATCCCGTTGACACCTCGAGAGGCACGCGGAGTTCACTGCTTCAAATGTGACGATGCCTGACCCCTCCTGATCATTGATAGGAATCCCAAAATCACTGTGGCTACAGGAAAGGATTCTTGTGTGCCCTGCCTCACCTCGAGAAGCATCCCTTTGCCCTGCCAAGGCTCGAAGAGATTCCTGAGGTGTCCCTCATTACTAGACAGGAGTCATGACGGCATTGAATAAACACGGGTTTTGAGGGGCCATCCCCGCCGTAACTCGAGAAGATACCCCAGGTCCCCCGCGCAACTTGAGAGAAACCCTGAGACTTCCCCCTAGATGCGAGATGAGTCCTGATTCCCTGCAGTGCATGCAGAGTATTCCCGTGATCCCCATCAAACAAGTCAGGAGCTTCGACTTGCTTAATGGATCTCGAGACAGTCCCCAAGAACTCTGTCACAAGTCTAGACGGACCCTGAGGTCACCCCAGCAATGCAAAGCAGCTCCATGTGCCCCAAATCAACCCGACATGTGGCCCGATTCCCCTGCATTGACTCCAGAGCCATCCCCAGTTCCCCATTAAACAAGACAACTGGCTAGACTTCCTTCAGGCAACTCCAGAGATGCCCCGCAAACACTCTCCCAAGACTAGAGGAACACCAACTTCAGCACAGCAACTCGAGGAATGGTCCGTGTACCACAAATCGTCTCGAGATGAGAGCTGAATCCCTGGCTTAGGCTCAAGACGTATGCCAACTTTCCAGTAGCACCTCAAGAGGAGGCTTCTCTCAGCAATAGGTATGTTGGAGGGACCCCGAGTTTGCTGCCTCAAGTGGAATATAGAGCGAGAAGCCCTAACTTGAAAGGAGGCCAGATTTCCTTGCAATGGCTTGAATACAGGCTCGTCTTTCATCTCACAGAATGAAGGGATGACTGAATCTCCTGTGGAGACCTTAGAGAAGGCTATAGGTCCCTGCCTCATTTTGACGGAATGCCTCACATCCCGTTGTCACCTAGAGAGGCACGCGGAGTTCACTGCTTCAAAAGGTGACGATGCCTGACTCCTCTAAAATATTGATAGGAATCCCAAAATCCCTGTGGCTATTGGAAAGGTTCCTTGGGTGCCCTGCCTCACCTCGAGAAGCCTCCCTTGTGCCCTGCCAAGCCTCGAAGAGATTCCTGAGCTGTCCCTCGTTACTGGACAGGAGTCCTGACGTCACTGAATAAACACGAGTTTTGAAGGGCCATCCCCGCCGTAAGCCGAGTACATACCCCAGGTCCCCGCCGCAAGTCGAGAAATACCATGAGACTTTCCCCTAGAGGCGAGATGAGGCCCGATTCTCCTGCAGTGCATGCAGAGCAATTCCGTGATCCCCATCAAACAAGTCAGAAGCTTCGACTTGCTTAATGGATCTCGAGACAGTCACCAGGGAACACTGTCACATGTCTAGACGGATCCTGAGGTCACCCCATCAACGCAAAGCAGCACCATGTGCCCCAAATCAACTCGAGATAATGCCCGATTCCCCTGCATTGACTCCAGAGCCATCCCCCGTTCCACATTAAACACGACCAGTGGCTTGACTTCCTTCAGGCAACTCCAGAGATGCCCTGAGAACACTGTCCCAAGTCTAGAGGAACACCATCTTCAGCACAGCAACTCGAGGAATGCTCCGTGTACCCCAAATCGTCTCGAGATGAGAGCTGATTCCCTGGCTTAGGCTCAAGACGTATGCCAACTTTCCAGAAGCACCTCAAGGGGAGCCTTCTCTCAGCAATAGGAATGTTGGAGGGACCCCCAGTTTGCTGCCTCAAGTGGAATATACAGCGAGAAGCCCTAACTTGAATGGAGGCCGGATTTCCTTGCAGTGTCTTGTATATAGGCTCGTCTTTCATCTCACAACAGGAAGGGATGTCTGAATCCCCTGTGAAGACCTTAGAGAAAGCCCTAGGTGGCTGCCTCAATTTGACGGAATGCCTCACATCCCGTTGACACCTCGAGAGGCACGCGGAGTTCACTGCTTCAAATGTGACGATGCCTGACCCCTCCTGATCATTGATAGGAATCCCAAAATCACTGTGGCTACAGGAAAGGATTCTTGTGTGCCCTGCCTCACCTCGAGAAGCATCCCTTTGCCCTGCCAAGGCTCGAAGAGATTCCTGAGGTGTCCCTCATTACTAGACAGGAGTCATGACGGCATTGAATAAACACGGGTTTTGAGGGGCCATCCCCGCCGTAACTCGAGAAGATACCCCAGGTCCCCCGCGCAACTTGAGAGAAACCCTGAGACTTCCCCCTAGATGCGAGATGAGTCCTGATTCCCTGCAGTGCATGCAGAGTATTCCCGTGATCCCCATCAAACAAGTCAGGAGCTTCGACTTGCTTAATGGATCTCGAGACAGTCCCCAAGAACTCTGTCACAAGTCTAGACGGACCCTGAGGTCACCCCAGCAATGCAAAGCAGCTCCATGTGCCCCAAATCAACCCGACATGTGGCCCGATTCCCCTGCATTGACTCCAGAGCCATCCCCAGTTCCCCATTAAACAAGACAACTGGCTAGACTTCCTTCAGGCAACTCCAGAGATGCCCCGCAAACACTCTCCCAAGACTAGAGGAACACCAACTTCAGCACAGCAACTCGAGGAATGCTCCGTGTACCACAAATCGTCTCGAGATGAGAGCTGAATCCCTGGCTTAGGCTCAAGACGTATGCCAACTTTCCAGTAGCACCTCAAGAGGAGGCTTCTCTCAGCAATAGGTATGTTGGAGGGACCCCGAGTTTGCTGCCTCAAGTGGAATATAGAGCGAGAAGCCCTAACTTGAAAGGAGGCCAGATTTCCTTGCAATGGCTTGAATACAGGCTCGTCTTTCATCTCACAGAATGAAGGGATGACTGAATCTCCTGTGGAGACCTTAGAGAAGGCTATAGGTCCCTGCCTCATTTTGACGGAATGCCTCACATCCCGTTGTCACCTAGAGAGGCACGCGGAGTTCACTGCTTCAAAAGGTGACGATGCCTGACTCCTCTAAAATATTGATAGGAATCCCAAAATCCCTGTGGCTATTGGAAAGGTTCCTTGGGTGCCCTGCCTCACCTCGAGAAGCCTCCCTTGTGCCCTGCCAAGCCTCGAAGAGATTCCTGAGCTGTCCCTCGTTACTGGACAGGAGTCCTGACGTCACTGAATAAACACGAGTTTTGAAGGGCCATCCCCGCCGTAAGCCGAGTACATACCCCAGGTCCCCGCCGCAAGTCGAGAAATACCATGAGACTTTCCCCTAGAGGCGAGATGAGGCCCGATTCTCCTGCAGTGCATGCAGAGCAATTCCGTGATCCCCATCAAACAAGTCAGAAGCTTCGACTTGCTTAATGGATCTCGAGACAGTCACCAGGGAACACTGTCACATGTCTAGACGGATCCTGAGGTCACCCCATCAACGCAAAGCAGCACCATGTGCCCCAAATCAACTCGAGATAATGCCCGATTCCCCTGCATTGACTCCAGAGCCATCCCCCGTTCCACATTAAACACGACCAGTGGCTTGACTTCCTTCAGGCAACTCCAGAGATGCCCTGAGAACACTGTCCCAAGTCTAGAGGAACACCATCTTCAGCACAGCAACTCGAGGAATGCTCCGTGTACCCCAAATCGTCTCGAGATGAGAGCTGATTCCCTGGCTTAGGCTCAAGACGTATGCCAACTTTCCAGAAGCACCTCAAGGGGAGCCTTCTCTCAGCAATAGGAATGTTGGAGGGACCCCCAGTTTGCTGCCTCAAGTGGAATATACAGCGAGAAGCCCTAACTTCAAAGGAGGCCGGATTTCCTTGCTGTGTCTTGAATACAGGCTCGTCTTTCATCTCACAACCGGAAGGAATGTCTGAGTCCCCTGTGGAGACCTTAGAGAAAGCCCTAGGTCCCTGCCTCATATTGACGGAATGCCTCACATACCGTTGACACTTCGAGAGGCACACGGAGTTCACTGCTTCAAAATGTGACGATGCCTGACTCCTCCTGAACATTGATAGGAATCCCAAAATCACTGTGGCTACAGGACAGGGTTCTTGGGTGCCCTGCCTCACCTCGAGAAGCATCCCTTTTGCTCTGCCAAGCCTCGAAGAGATTCCTGAGATGTCTCTCGTTACTAGACAGGAGTCCTGACGTCACTGAATAAACACGTGTTTTGAAGGGCCATCCCCGCCATAACTCGAGAACATACCCCAGTTCCCGCCGCAACTCGAGTAAAACCATGAGACTTCCCCTAGATGCGAGATGAGGCCTGATTCCCTGCAGTCCATGCAGAGCATTCCCGTGATCCCCATCAAGCAAGTCAGGAGCTTCGACTTGCTTAATTCAACTCGAGAAAGTCCCCAGGAACACTGTCACAAGTCTAGACAGACCCTGAGGTCACCCCAGCAATGCAAAGCAGCTGCAAGTACCCCACATCAACTCGAGATGAGGCCCGATTCCCATGCATTGACTCCTGAGCCATCCCCCGTAACCCATTAAACACCACCAGTGGCTTGACTTCCTTCAGGGAACTAAAGAAATGCCCCGAGAACACTGTCCCAAGACTAGAGGAACACCAACTTCAGCACAGCAACTCGAGTAATGCTCCGTGTACCACAAATCGTCTCGAGATGAGAGCTGAATCCCTGGCTTAGGCTCAAGACGTATGCCAACTTTCCAGAAGCACCTCAAGAGGAGGCTTCTCTCAGCAATAGGTATGTTGGAGGGACCCCGAGTTTGCTGCCTCAAGTGGAATATACAGCGAGAAGCCCTAACTTGAAAGGAGGCCTGATTTCCTTGCAGTGGCTTGAATACAGGCTCGTCTTTCATCTCACAGAATGAAGGGATGTCTGAATCCCCTGTGGAGACCTTAGAGAAAGCTCTAGGTCCCTGCCTCATTTTGACGGAATGCCTCACATCCCGTTGTCACCTCGAGAGGCACGCGGAGTTCACTGCTTCAAAAGGTGACGATGCCTGACTCCTCTAAAATATTGATAGGAATCCCAAAATCCCTGTGGCTATTGGAAAGGTTCCTTGGGTGCCCTGCCTCACCTCGAGAAGCGTCCCTTGTGCCCTGCCAAGCCTCGAAGAGATTCCTGAGCTGTCCCTCGTTACTGGACAGGAGTCCTGACGTCACTGAATAAACACGAGTTTTGAAGGGCCATCCCCGCCGTAAGCCGAGTACATACCCCAGGTCCCCGCCGCAAGTGGAGAAAAACCATGAGACTTTCCCCTAGAGGCGAGATGAGGCCCGATTCTCCTGCAGTGCATGCAGAGCAATTCCGTGATCCCCATCAAACAAGTCAGAAGCTTCGACTTGCTTAATGGATCTCGAGACAGTCACCAGGGAACACTGTCACATGTCTAGACGGATCCTGAGGTCACCCCATCAACGCAAAGCAGCACCATGTGCCCCAAATCAACTCGAGATAATGCCCGATTCCCCTGCATTGACTCCAGAGCCATCCCCCGTTCCACATTAAACACGACCAGTGGCTTGACTTCCTTCAGGCAACTCGAGAGATGACCTGAGAACACTGTCCCAAGTCTAGAGGAACACCATCTTCAGCACAGCAACTCGAGGAATGCTCCGTGTACCCCAAATCGTCACGAGATGTGAGCTGATTCCCTGGCTTAGGCTCAAGACGTATGCCAACTTTCCAGAAGCACCTCAAGGGGACCCTTCTCTCAGCAATAGGTATGTTGGAGGGACCCCCAGTTTGCTGCCTCAAGTGGAATATGCAGCGAGAAGCCCTAACTTGAAAGGAGGCCGGATTTCCTTGCTGTGTCTTGAATACAGGCTCGTCTTTCATCTCACAACCGGAAGGAATGTCTGAATCCCCTGTGGAGACCTTAGAGAAAGCCCTAGGTCTCTGCCTCATTTTGACGGAATGCCTCACATCCCGTTGACACCTCGAGAGGCACACGGAGTTCACTGCTTCAAAATGTGACGATGCCTGACTCATCCTGAACATTGATAGGAATCCCAAAATCACTGTAGCTACAGGACAGGGTCCTTGGGTGCTCTGCCTGACCTCGAGAAGCATCCCTTTTGCCCTGCCAAGCCTCGAAGAGATTCCTGAGGTGTCTCTCGTTACTGGACAGGAGTCCTGACGTCACTGAATAAACACGTGTTTTGAAGGGCCATCCCCGCCGTAACTCGAGTACATACCCCAGTTCCCCGCCGCAACTCTAGAAAAACCATGAGACTTCCGCCTAGAGGCGAGATGAGGCCCGATTCTCCTGCAGTGCATGCAGAGAAATTCCGTGATCCCCATCAAACAAGTCAGGGGCTTCGACTTGCTTAATGGATCTCGAGACATTCCCCAGGAACACTGTCACATGTCTAGACGGACCCTGAGGTATCCCCAGCAACGCAAAGCAGCTCCATGTGCCCCAAATCAACTTGAGATGAGGTCCGATTCCCCTGCATTGACTCCAGAGCCATCTGCCGTTCCGCATTAAACACCACCAGTGGCTTGACCTCCTTCAGACAACTCCAGAGATGCCCCGAGAACACTGTCCCAAGTCTAGAGGAACACCTACTTTAGCACAGCAACTCGAGGAATGCTTCCTGTATGCCAAATCCTCTCGAGATGAGAGCTGATTCCCTGGTTTAGGCTCAAGACTTATGCCAACTTTCCAGAAGCACCTCAAGAGGAGGCTTCTCTCAGCAATAGGTATGTGGGAGGGAACCCGAGTTTGCTGCCTCAAAGGGAATATACAGCGAGAAGCACTAACTAGAAAGGAGGCCGGTTTCCTAGCAGTGTCTTGAATACAGGCTCGTCTTTCATCTCACAACCAGAAGGAATGTCTGAATCCCCTGTGGAGACCTTAGAGAAAGCCCTAGGTCCCTCCCTCATTTTGACGGAATGCCTCACATCCCGTTGACACCTCGAGAGTCACGCGGAGTTCACTGCTTCAAAAGCTGACGATGCCTGACTCCTCTTGAATATTGATAGGAATCACAAAATACCTGTGGCTATTTGAAAGGTTCCTTGGGTGCCCTGCCTCACCTCGAGAAGCGTCCCTTGTGCCTGCCAAGACTCGAAGAGATTCCTGAGCTGTCCCTCGTTACTGGACAGGAGTCCTGACGTCACTGAATAAACACGAGTTTTTAAGGGCCATCCCCGCCGTAACCCGAGTACATACCCCAGGTCCCCGCCGCAAGTCGAGAAAAACCATGAGACTTTCCCCTCGTGGCGAGATGAGGCCCGATTCTACTGCAGTGCATGCAGAGCAATTCCGTGATCCCCATCAAACAAGTCAGGACCTTCGACTTGCTTAATGGATCTCGAGACAGTCCCCAAGAATACTGTCACATATCCAGACGGATCCTGAGGTCACCCCATCAACGCAAGGCAGCACCATGTGCCCCAAATCAACTCGAGATAATGCCCGATTCCCCTGCATTGACTCCAGAGCCATCCCCCGTTCCACATTAAACACGACCAGTGGCTTGACTTCCTTCAGACAACTCCAGAGATGCCCTGAGAACACTGTCCCAAGTCTAGAGGAACACCATCTTCAGCACAGCAACTCGAGGAATGCTCCGTGTACCCCAAATTGTCTCGAGATGAGAGCTGATTCCCTGGCTTAGGCTCAAGACGTATGCCAACTTTCCAGAAGCACCTCAAGGGGAGCCTTCTCTCAGCAATAGGAATGTTGAAGGGACCCCCAGTTTGCTGCCTCAAGTGGAATATACAGCGAGAAGCCCTAACTTCAAAGGAGGCCGGATTTCCTTGCTGTGACTTGAATACAGGCTCGTCTTTCATCTCACAACCGGAAGGAATGTCTGAATCCCCTGTGGAGACCTTAGAGAAAGCCCTAGGTCTCTGCCTAATTATGACGGAATGCCTCACATACCGTTGACACCTCGAGAGGCACACGGAGTTCACTGCTTCAAAATGTGACGATGCCTGACTCCTCCTGAACATTGATAGGAATCCCAAAATCACTGTGGCTACAGGACAGGGATCTTGGGTGCCCTGCCTCACCTCGAGAAGCATCCCTTTTGCCCTGCCAAGCCTCGAAGAGATTCCTGAGGTGTCTCTCGTTACTAGACAGGAGTCCTGACGTCACTGAATAAACACGTGTTTTGAAGGGCCATCCCCGCCATAACTCGAGAACATACCCCAGTTCCCGCCGCAACTCGAGTAAAACCATGAGACTACCCTAGATGCGAGATGAGGCCTGATTCCCTGCAGTCCATGCAGAGCATTCCCGTGATCCCCATCAAGCAAGTCAGGAGCTTCGACTTGCTTAATTCAACTCGAAAAAGTCCCCAGGAACACTGTCACAAGTCTAGACAGACCCTGAGGTCACCCCAGCAATGCAAAGCAGCTGCAAGTACCCCACATCAACTCGAGATGAGGCCCGATTCCCATGCATTGACTCCAGAGCCATGCCCAGTTCCCCATTAAACAAGACCAGTGGCTTGCCTTCCTTCAGGCAACTCCAGAGATGCCCCGAGAACACTGTGCCAAGACTAGAGGAACACCAACTTCAGCACAGCAACTCGAGTAATGCTCCGTGTACCACAAATCGTCTCGAAATGAGAGCTGAATCCCTGGCTTAGGCTCAAGACGTATGCCAACTTTCCAGAAGCACCTCAAGAGGAGGCTTCTCTCAGCAATAGGTATGTTGGAGGGACCCCGAGTTTGCTGCCTCAAGTGGAATATACAGCGAGAAGCCCTAACTTGAAAGGAGGCCGGATTTCCTTGCAGTGGCTTGAATACAGGCTCGTCTTTCATCTCACAGAATGAAGGGATGTCTGAATCCCCTATGGAGACCTTAGAGAAAGCTATAGGTCCCTGCCTCATTTTGACGGAATGCCTCACATCCCGTTGTCACCTCGAGAGGCACGCGGAGTTCACTGCTTCAAAAGGTGACGAAGCCTGACTACTGTAAAATATTGATAGGAATCCCAAAATCCCTGTGGCTATTGGAAAAGTTCCTTGGGTGCCCTGCCTCACCTCGAGAAGCGTCCCTTGTGCCCTGCCAAGCCTCGAAGAGATTCCTGAGCTGTCCCTCATTACTGGACATGAGTCCTGACGTCACTGAATAAACACGAGTTTTGAAGGGCCATCCCCTCCGTAAGCCGAGTACATACGCCAGGTCCCCGCCGCAAGTCGAGAAAAACCATGAGACTTTCCCCTAGAGGCGAGATGAGGCCCGATTCTCCTGCAGTGCATGCAGAGCAATTCCGTGATCCCCATCAAACAAGTCAGAAGCTTCGACTTGCTTAATGGATCTCGAGACAGTCCCCAAGAACACTGTCACATGTCTAGACGGATCCTGAGGTCACCCCATCAACGCAAAGCAGCACCATGTGCCCCAAATCAACTCGAGATAATGCCCGATTCCCCTGCATTGACTCCAGAGCAATCCCCCGTTCCACATTAAACACGACCAGTGGCTTGACTTCCTTCAGGCAACTCCAGAGATGCCCTGAGAACACTGTGCCAAGTCTAGAGGAACACCATCTTCAGCACAGCAACTCGAGGAATGCTCCGTGTACCCCAAATCATCTCGAGATGTGAGCTGATTCCCTGGCTTAGGCTCAAGACGTATGCCAACTTTCCAGAAGCACCTCAAGGGGAGCCTTCTCTCAGCAATAGGTATGTTGGAGGGACCCCCAGTTTGCTGCCTCAAGTGGAATATACAGCGAGAAGCCCTAACTTGAAAGGAGGCCGGATTTCCTTGCTGTGTCTTGAATACAGGCTCATCGTTCATCTCAAAACCGGAAGGAATGTCTGAATCCCCTTTGGAGACCTTAGAGAAAGCCCTAGGTCCCTGCCTCATTTTGACGGAATGCCTCACATCCCGTTGACAACTCGAGATGCACACGGAGTTCACTGCTTCAAAATATGACGATGGCTGACTCCTCCTGAACATTGATAGGAATCCCAAAATCACTGTAGCTACAGGACAGGGTTCTTGGGTGCCCTGCCTCACCTCGAGAAGCATCCATTTTGCCCTGCCAAGCCTTGAAGAGATTCCTGAGGTGTCTCTCGTTACTAGACAGGAGTCCTGACGTCACTGAATAAACACGTGTTTTGAAGGGCCATCCCCGCCATAACTCGAGAACATACCCCAGTTCCTGCCGCAACTCGAGTAAAACCATGAGACTTCCCCTAGATGCGAGATGAGGCCTGATTCCCTGCAGTCCATGCAGAGCATTCCCGTGATCCCCATCAAGCAAGTCAGGAGCTTCGACTTGCTTAATGGATCTCGAGACAGTCCCCAAGAACACTGTTACATGTCTAGACGGATCCTGAGGTCACCCCATCAACGCAAAGTAGCACCATGTGCCCCAAATCAACTCGAAATAATGCCCGATTCCCCTGCATCGACTCCAGAGCCATCCCCCGTTCCACATTAAACACGACCAGTGGCTTGACTTCCTTCAGGCAACTCCAGAGATGCCCTGAGAACACTGTCCCAAGTCTAGAGGAACACCATCTTCAGCACAGCAACTCGAGGAATGCTCCGTGTACCCCAAATCGTCTCGAGATGAGAGCTGATTCCCTGGCTTAGGCTCAAGACGTATGCCAACTTTCCAGAAGCACCTCAAGGGGAGCCTTCTCTCAGCAATAGGAATGTTGGAGGGACCCCCAGTTTGCTGCCTCAAGTGGAATATACAGCGAGAAGCCCTAACTTCAAAGGAGGCCGGATTTCCTTGCTGTGTCTTGAATACAGGCTCGTCTTTCATCTCACAACCGGAAGGAATGTCTGAATCCCCTGTGGAGACCTTAGAGAAAGCCCTAGGTCCCTGCCTCATTTTGACGGAATGCCTCACATACCGTTGACACTTCGAGAGGCACACGGAGTTCACTGCTTCAAAATGTGACGATGCCTGACTCCTCCTGAACATTGATAGGAATCCCAAAATCACTGTGGCTACAGGACAGGGTTCTTGGGTGCCCTGCCTCACCTCGAGAAGCATCCCTTTTGCCCTGCCAAGCCTCGAAGAGATTCCTGAGGTGTCTCTCGTTACTAGACAGGAGTCCTGACGTCACTGAATAAACACGTGTTTTGAAGGGCCATCCCCGCCATAACTCGAGAACATACCCCAGTTCCCGCCGCAACTCGAGAAAAACCATGAGACTTCCCCTAGATGCGAGATGAGGCCTGATTCCCTGCAGTCCATGCAGAGCATTCCCGTGATCCCAATCAAGCAAGTCAGCAGCTTCGAATTGCTTAATGGATCTCGAGAGAGTCCCCAGGAACACTGTCACAAGTCTAGACAGACCCTGACATCACCCCAGCAACGCAAAGCAGCTCCAAGTACCCCACATCAACTCGCGTTGAGGCCCGATTCCCATGCATTGACTCCAGAGCCATCCCCCGTACCCCGTTAAGCACCACCAGTGGCTTGACTTCCTTCAGGCAACTCGAGAGATGCCCCGAGAACACTGTCCCAAGTCTAGAGGAATACGAACTTCAGAACAGCAACTCGAGGAATGCTCCGTGTAGCCCAAATCGTATCAAGGTGAGAGCTGATTCCATGGCTTAGGCTCAAGACGTATGCCAACTTTCCAGAAGCACCTCAAGATGAGGCTTCTCTCAGCAATAGGTATTTGGGAGGGACCCCGAGTTTGCTGCCTCAAGTGGAATATACAGCCAGAAGCCCTAACTTGAAAGGAGGCCGGATTTCCTTGCAGTGGCTTGGATACAGGCTCGTCTTTCATCTCACAGCATGAAGGGATGTCTGAATCCCCTGTGGAGACCTTAGAGAAAGCTCTAGGTCCCTGCATCATTTTGACGGAATGCCTCACATCCAGTTGACACTTCGAGAGGCACGCGGAGTTCACTGCTTCAAAAGGTGATGATGCCTGACTCGTCTTGAATATTGATAGGAATCCCAAAATCACTGTGGCTACTGGAAAGGGACATTGGTTGCCCTGCCTCACCTCGAGAAGCATACCTTTTGACCTGCCAAGCCTCGAAGAGATTCCTGAGGTGTCCCTCGTTACTAGACAGGAGTCCTGACGGCACTGAATAAACACGGGTTTTGAGGGGCCATCCCCGCCGTAACTCGAGAAGATACCCCAAGTCCCCCGCGCAACTTGAGAGAAACCGTGAGGCTTCCCCCTAGATGCGAGATGAGTCCTGATTCCCTGCAGTGCATGCAGAGTATTCCCGTGATCCCCAGCAAACAAGTCAGGAGCTTCGACTTGCTTAATGGATCTCGAGACAGTCCCCAAGAACACTGTCACAAGTCTAGACGGACCCTGAGGTAACCCCAGCAACGCAAAGCAGCGCCATGTGCCCCAAATCAAACCGAGATGTGGCCCGATTCCCCTGCATTGACTCCAGAGCCATCCCCAGTTCCCCATTAAACAAGACAACTGGCTAGACTTCCTACAGGCAACTCCAGAGATGCCCTGAGAACACTGTCCCAAGTCTAGAGGAACACCATCTTCAGCACAGCAACTCGAGGAATGCTCCGTGTACCCCAAATCGTCTCGAGATGAGAGCTGATTCCCTGGCTTAGGCTCAAGACGGATGCCAACTTTCCAAAAGCACCTCAAGGGGAGCTTTCTATCAGCAATAGGTATGTTGGAGGGACCCCGAGTTTGCTGCCTCAAGTGGAATATACAGCGAGAAGCCCTAACTTGAATGGAGGCCGGATTTCCTTGCAGTGTCTTGTATATAGGCTCGTCTTTCATCTCACAACAGGAAGGGATGTCTGAATCCCCTGTGAAGACCTTAGAGAAAGCCCTAGGTCCCTGCCTCAATTTGACGGAATGCCTCACATCCCGTTGACACCTCGAGAGGCACGCGGAGTTCACTGCTTCAAATGTGACGATGCCTGACCCCTCCTGATCATTGATAGGCATCCCAAAATCACTGTGGCTACAGGAAAGGATTCTTGTGTGCCCTGCCTCACCTCGAGAAGCATCCCTTTGCCCTGCCAAGGCTCGAAGAGATTCCTGAGGTGTCCCTCATTACTAGACAGGAGTCATGACGGCATTGAATAAACACGGGTTTTGAGGGGCCATCCCCGCCGTAACTCGAGATGATACCCCAGGTCCCCCGCGCAACTTGAGAGAAACCGTGAGACTTCCCCCTAGATGCGAGATGAGTCCTGATTCCCTGCAGTGCATGCAGAGTATTCCCGTGATCCCCATCAAACAAGTCAGGAGCTTCGACTTGCTTAATGGATCTCGAGACAGTCCCCAAGAACTCTGTCACAAGTCTAGACGGACCCTGAGGTCACCCCAGCAATGCAAAGCAGCTCCATGTGCCCCAAATCAACCCGAGATGTGGCCCGATTCCCCTGCATTGACTCCAGAGCCATCCCCAGTTCCCCATTAAACAAGACAACTGGCTAGACTTCCTTCAGGCAACTCCAGAGATGCCCCGCAAACACTCTCCCAAGACTAGAGGAACACCAACTTCAGCACAGCAACTCGAGGAATGCTCCGTGTACCACAAATCGTCTCGAGATGAGAGCTGAATCCCTGGCTTAGGCTCAAGACGTATGCCAACTTTCCAGTAGCACCTCAAGAGGAGGCTTCTCTCAGCAATAGGTATGTTGGAGGGACCCCGAGTTTGCTGCCTCAAGTGGAATATAGAGCGAGAAGCCCTAACTTGAAAGGAGGCCAGATTTCCTTGCAATGGCTTGAATACAGGCTCGTCTTTCATCTCACAGAATGAAGGGATGACTGAATCTCCTGTGGAGACCTTAGAGAAGGCTATAGGTCCCTGCCTCATTTTGACGGAATGCCTCACATCCCGTTGTCACCTAGAGAGGCACGCGGAGTTCACTGCTTCAAAAGGTGACGATGCCTGACTCCTCTAAAATATTGATAGGAATCCCAAAATCCCTGTGGCTATTGGAAAGGTTCCTTGGGTGCCCTGCCTCACCTCGAGAAGCGTCCCTTGTGCCCTGCCAAGCCTCGAAGAGATTCCTGAGCTGTCCCTCGTTACTGGACAGGAGTCCTGACGTCACTGAATAAACACGAGTTTTGAAGGGCCATCCCCGCCGTAACCCGAGTACATACCCCAGGTCCCCGCCGCAAGTCGAGAAATACCATGAGACTTTCCCCTAGAGGCCAGATGAGGCCCGATTCTCCTGCAGTGCATGCAGAGCAATTCCGTGATCCCCATCAAACAAGTCAGAAGCTTCGACTTGCTTAATGGATCTCGAGACAGTCACCAGGGAACACTGTCACATGTCTAGACGGATCCTGAGGTCACCCCATCAACGCAAAGCAGCACCATGTGCCCCAAATCAACTCGAGATAATGCCCGATTCCCCTGCATTGACTCCAGAGCCATTCCCCGTTCCACATTAAACACGACCAGTGGCTTGACTTCCTTCAGGCAACTCCAGAGATGCCCTGAGAACACTGTCCCAAGTCTAGAGGAACACCATCTTCAGCACAGCAACTCGAGGAATGCTCCGTGTACCCCAAATCGTCTCGAGATGAGAGCTGATTCCCTGGCTTAGGCTCAAGACGTATGCCAACTTTCCAGAAGCACCTCAAGGGGAGCCTTCTCTCAGCAATAGGAATGTTGGAGGGACCCCCAGTTTGCTGCCTCAAGTGGAATATACAGCGAGAAGCCCTAACTTCAAAGGAGGCCGGATTTCCTTGCTGTGTCTTGAATACAGGCTCGTCTTTAATCTCACAACCGGAAGGAATGTCTGAGTCCCCTGTGGAGACCTTAGAGAAAGCCCTAGGTCCCTGCCTCATATTGACGGAATGCCTCACATACCGTTGACACTTCGAGAGGCACACGGAGTTCACTGCTTCAAAATGTGACGATGCCTGACTCCTCCTGAACATTGATAGGAATCCCAAAATCACTGTGGCTACAGGACAGGGTTCTTGGGTGCCCTGCCTCACCTCGAGAAGCATCCCTTTTGCCCTGCCAAGCCTCGAAGAGATTCCTGAGATGTCTCTCGTTACTGGACAGGAGTCCTGACGTCACTGAATAAACACGTGTTTTGAAGGGCCATCCCCGCCATAACTCGAGAACATACCCCAGTTCCCGCCGCAACTCGAGTAAAACCATGAGACTTCCCCTAGATGCGAGATGAGGCCTGATTCCCTGCAGTCCATGCAGAGCATTCCCGTGATCCCCATCAAGCAAGTCAGGAGCTTCGACTTGCTTAATTCAACTCGAGAAAGTCCCCAGGAACACTGTCACAAGTCTAGACAGACCCTGAGGTCACCCCAGCAATGCAAAGCAGCTGCAAGTACCCCACATCAACTCGAGATGAGGCCCGATTCCCATGCATTGACTCCTGAGCCATCCCCCGTAACCCATGAAACACCACCAGTGGCTTGACTTCCTTCAGGGAACTAAAGAAATGCCCCGAGAACACTGTCCCAAGACTAGAGGAACACCAACTTCAGCACAGCAACTCAAGTAATGCTCCGTGTACCAAAAATCGTCTCGAGATGAGAGCTGAATCCCTGGCTTAGGCTCAAGACGTATGCCAACTTTCCAGAAGCACCTCAAGAGGAGGCTTCTCTCAGCAATAGGTATGTGGGAGGGACCCCGAGTTTGCTGCCTCAAGTGGAATATACAGCGAGAAGCCCTAACTTGAAAGGAGGCCGGATTTCCTTGCAGTGGCTTGAATACAGGCTCGTCTTTCATCTCACAGAATGAAGGGATGTCTGAATCCCCTGTGGAGACCTTAGAGAAAGCTCTAGGTCCCTGCCTCATTTTGACGGAATGCCTCACATCCCGTTGTCACCTCGAGAGGCACGCGGAGTTCACTGCTTCAAAAGGTGACGATGCCTGACTCCTCTAAAATATTGATAGGAATCCCAAAATCCCTGTGGGTATTGGAAATGTTCCTTGGGTGCCCTGCCTCACCTCGAGAAGCGTCCCTTGTGCCCTGCCAAGCCTCGAAGAGATTCCTGAGCTGTCCCTCGTTACTGGACAGGAGTCCTGACGTCACTGAATAAACACGAGTTTTGAAGGGCCATCCCCGCCGTAAGCCGAGTACATACCCCAGGTCCCCGCCGCAAGTCGAGAAAAACCATGAGACTTTCCCCTAGAGGCGAGATGAGGCCCGATTCTCCTGCAGTGCATGCAGAGCAATTCCGTGATCCCCATCAAACAAGTCAGAAGCTTCCACTTGCTTAATGGATCTCGAGACAGTCACCAGGGAACACTGTCACATGTCTAGACGGATCCTGAGGTCACCCCATCAACGCAAAGCAGCACCATGTGCCCCAAATCAACTCGAGATAATGCCCGATTCCCCTGCATTGACTCCAGAGCCATCCCCCGTTCCACATTAAACACGACCAGTGGCTTGACTTCCTTCAGGCAACTCCAGAGATGACCTGAGAACACTGTCCCAAGTCTAGAGGAAGACCATCTTCAGCACAGCAACTCGAGGAATGCTCCGTGTACCCCAAATCGTCACGAGATGTGAGCTGATTCCCTGGCTTAGGCTCAAGACGTATGCCAACTTTCCAGAAGCACCTCAAGGGGAGCCTTCTCTCAGCAATAGGTATGTTGGAGGGACCCCCAGTTTGCTGCCTCAAGTGGAATATGCAGCGAGAAGCCCTAACTTGAAAGGAGGCCGGATTTCCTTGCTGTGTCTTGAATACAGGCTCGTCTTTCATCTCACAACCGGAAGGAATGTCTGAATCCCCTGTGGAGACCTTAGAGAAAGCCCTAGGTCTCTGCCTCATTTTGACGGAATGCCTCACATCCCGTTGACACCTCGAGAGGCACACGGAGTTCACTGCTTCAAAATGTGACGATGCCTGACTCATCCTGAACATTGATAGGAATCCCAAAATCACTGTAGCTACAGGACAGGGTCCTTGGGTGCTCTGCCTGACCTCGAGAAGCATCCCTTTTGCCCTGCCAAGCCTCGAAGAGATTCCTGATGTGTCTCTCGTTACTGGACAGGAGTCCTGACGTCACTGAATAAACACGTGTTTTGAAGGGCCATCCCCGCCGTAACTCGAGTACATACCCCAGTTCCCCGCCGCAACTCGAGAAAAACCATGAGACTTCCGCCTAGAGGCGAGATGAGGCCCGATTCTCCTGCAGTGCATGCAGAGAAATTCCGTGATCCCCATCAAACAAGTCAGGGGCTTCGACTTGCTTAATGGATCTCGAGACATTCCCCAAGAACACTGTCACATGTCTAGACGGACCCTGAGGTATCCCCAGCAACGCAAAGCAGCTCCATGTGCCCCAAATCAACTTGAGATGAGGTCCGATTCCCCTGCATTGACTCCAGAGCCATCTGCCGTTCCGCATTAAACACCACCAGTGGCTTGACCTCCTTCAGACAACTCCAGAGATGCCCCGAGAACACTGTCCCAAGTCTAGAGGAACACCTACTTTAGCACAGCAACTCGAGGAATGCTTCCTGTATGCCAAATCCTCTCGAGATGAGAGCTGATTCCCTGGTTTAGGCTCAAGACGTATGCCAACTTTCCAGAAGCACCTCAAGAGAAGGCTTCTCTCAGCAATAGGTATGTGGGAGGGAACCCGAGTTTGCTGCCTCAAAGGGAATATACAGCGAGAAGCACTAACTAGAAAGGAGGCCGGTTTCCTAGCAGTGTCTTGAATACAGGCTCGTCTTTCATCTCACAACCAGAAGGAATGTCTGAATCCCCTGTGGAGACCTTAGAGAAAGCCCTAGGTCCCTCCCTCATTTTGACGGAATGCCTCACATCCCGTTGACACCTCGAGAGTCACGCGGAGTTCACTGCTTCAAAAGCTGACGATGCCTGACTCCTCTTGAATATTGATAGGAATCACAAAATACCTGTGGCTATTTGAAAGGTTCCTTGGGTGCCCTGCCTCACCTCGAGAAGCGTCGCTTGTGCCTGCCAAGACTCGAAGAGATTCCTGAGCTGTCCCTCGTTACTGGACAGGAGTCCTGACGTCACTGAATAAACACGAGTTTTTAAGGGCCATCCCCGCCGTAACCCGAGTACATACCCCAGGTCCCGGCCGCAAGTCGAGAAAAACCATGAGACTTTCCCCTAGAGGCGAGATGAGGCCCGATTCTCCTGCAGTGCATGCAGAGCAATTCCGTGATCCCCATCAAACAAGTCAGAAGCTTCGACTTGCTTAATGGATCTCGAGACAGTCACCAGGGAACACTGTCACATGTCTAGACGGATCCTGAGGTCACCCCATCAACGCAAAGCAGCACCATGTGCCCCAAATCAACTCGAGATAATGCCCGATTCCCCTGCATTGACTCCAGAGCCATCCCCCGTTCCACATTAAACACGACCAGTGGCTTGACTTCCTTCAGGCAACTCCAGAGATGACCTGAGAACACTGTCCCAAGTCTAGAGGAACACCATCTTCAGCACAGCAACTCGAGGAATGCTCCGTGTACCCCAAATCGTCACGAGATGTGAGCTGATTCCCTGGCTTAGGCTCAAGACGTATGCCAACTTTCCAGAAGCACCTCAAGGGGAGCCTTCTCTCAGCAATAGGTATGTTGGAGGGACCCCCAGTTTGCTGCCTCAAGTGGAATATGCAGCGAGAAGCCCTAACTTGAAAGGAGGCCGGATTTCCTTGCTGTGTCTTGATTACAGGCTCGTCTTTCATCTCACAACCGGAAGGAATGTCTGAATCCCCTGTGGAGACCTTAGAGAAAGCCCTAGGTCTCTGCCTCATTTTGACGGAATGCCTCACATCCCGTTGACACCTCGAGAGGCACACGGAGTTCACTGCTTCAAAATGTGACGATGCCTGACTCATCCTGAACATTGATAGGAATCCCAAAATCACTGTAGCTACAGGAGAGGGTCCTTGGGTGCTCTGCCTGACCTCGAGAAGCATCCCTTTTGCCCTGCCAAGCCTCGAAGAGATTCCTGAGGTGTCTCTCGTTACTGGACAGGAGTCCTGACGTCACTGAATAAACACGTGTTTTGAAGGGCCATCCCCGCCGTAACTCGAGTACATAGCCCAGTTCCCCGCCGCAACTCGAGAAAAACCATGAGACTTCCGCCTAGAGGCGAGATGAGGCCCGATTCTCCTGCAGTGCATGCAGAGAAATTCCGTGATCCCCATCAAACAAGTCAGGGGCTTCGACTTGCTTAATGGATCTCGAGACATTCCCCAGGAACACTGTCACATGTCTAGACGGACCCTGAGGTATCCCCAGCAACGCAAAGCAGCTCCATGTGCCCCAAATCAACTTGAGATGAGGTCCGATTCCCCTGCATTGACTCCAGAGCCATCTGCCGTTCTGCATTAAACACCACCAGTGGCTTGACCTCCTTCAGACAACTCCAGAGATGCCCCGAGAACACTGGCCCAAGTCTAGAGGAACAACTACTTTAGCACAGCAACTCGAGGAATGCTTCCTGTATGCCAAATCCTCTCGAGATGAGAGCTGATTCCCTGGTTTAGGCTCAAGACGTATGTCAACTTTCCAGAAGCACCTCAAGAGGAGGCTTCTCTCAGCAATAGGTATGTGGGAGGGAACCCGAGTTTGCTGCCTCAAAGGGAATATACAGCGAGAAGCACTAACTAGAAAGGAGGCCGGTTTCCTAGCAGTGTCTTGAATACAGGCTCGTCTTTCATCTCACAACCAGAAGGAATGTCTGAATCCCCTGTGGAGACCTTAGAGAAAGCCCTAGGTCCCTCCCTCATTTTGACGGAATGCCTCACATCCCGTTGACACCTCGAGAGTCACGCGGAGTTCACTGCTTCAAAAGCTGACGATGCCTGACTCCTCTTGAATATTGATAGGAATCACAAAATACCTGTGGCTATTTGAAAGGTTCCTTGGGTGCCCTGCCTCACCTCGAGAAGCGTCGCTTGTGCCTGCCAAGACTCGAAGAGATTCCTGAGCTGTCCCTCGTTACTGGACAGGAGTCCTGACGTCACTGAATAAACACGAGTTTTTAAGGGCCATCCCCGCCGTAACCCGAGTACATACCCCAGGTCCCTGCCGCAAGTCGAGAAAAACCATGAGACTTTCCCCTCGTGGCGAGATGAGGCCCGATTCTCCTGCAGTGCATGCAGAGCAATTCCGTGATCCCCATCAAACAAGTCAGGACCTTCGACTTGCTTAATGGATCTCGAGACAGTCCCCAAGAATACTGTCACATATCCAGACGGATCCTGAGGTCACCCCATCAACGCAAAGCAGCACCATGTGCCCCACATCAACTCGAGATAATGCCCGATTCCCCTGCATTGAATCCAGAGCCATCCCCCGTTCCACATTAAAAACCACCAGTGGCTTGACTTCCTTCAGACAACTCCAGAGATGCCCTGAGAACACTGTCCCAAGTCTAGAGGAACACCATCTTCAGCACAGCAACTCGAGGAATGCTCCGTGTACCCCAAATCATCTCGAGATGTGAGCTGATTCCCTGGCTTAGGCTCAAGACGTATGCCAACTTTCCAGAAGCACCTCAAGGGGAGCCTTCTCTCAGCAATAGGTATGTTGGAGGGACCCCCAGTTTGCTGCCTCAAGTGGAATATGCAGCGAGAAGCCCTAACTTGAAAGGAGGCCGGATTTCCTTGCTGTGTCTTGAATACAGGCTCATCTTTCATCTCAAAACCGGAAGGAATGTCTGAATCCCCTGTGGAGACCTTAGAGAAAGCCCTAGGTCCCTGCCTCATTTTGACGAAATGCCTCACATCCCGTTGACAACTCGAGATGCACACGGAGTTCACTGCTTCAAAATATGACGATGCCTGACTCCTCCTGAACATTGATAGGAATCCCAAAATCCCTGTGGCTATTGGAAAGGTTCCTTGGGTGCCCTGCCTCACCTCGAGAAGCGTCCCTTGCGCCCTGCCAAGCCTCGAAGAGATTCCTGAGCTGTCCCTCGTTACTGGACAGGAGTCCTGACGTCACTGAATAAACACGAGTTTTGAAGGGCCATCCCCGCCGTAAGCCGAGTACATACCCCAGGTCCCCGCCGCAAGTCGAGAATAACCATGAGACTTTCCCCTAGAGGCGAGATGAGGCTCGATTCTCCTGCAGTGCATGCAGAGCAATTCCGTGATCCCCATCAAACAAGTCAGAAGCTTCGACTTGCTTAATGGATCTCGAGACAGTCACCAGGGAACACTGTCACATGTCTAGACGGATCCTGAGGTCACCCCATCAACGCAAAGCAGCACCATGTGCCCCAAATCAACTCGAGATAATGCCCGATTCCCCTGCATTGACTCCAGAGCCATCCCCCGTTCCACATTAAACACGACCAGTGGCTTGACTTCCTTCAGGCAACTCCAGAGATGACCTGAGAACACTGTCCCAAGTCTAGAGGAACACCATCTTCAGCACAGCAACTCGAGGAATGCTCCGTGTACCCCAAATCGTCACGAGATGTGAGCTGATTCCCTGGCTTAGGCTCAAGACGTATGCCAACTTTCCAGAAGCACCTCAAGAGGAGGCTTCTCTCAGCAATAGGTATGTGGGAGGGAACCCGAGTTTGCTGCCTCAAAGGGAATATACAGCGAGAAGCACTAACTAGAAAGGAGGCCGGATTTCCTAGCAGTGTCTTGAATACAGGCTCGTCTTTCATCTCACAACCAGAAGGAATGTCTGAATCCCCTGTGGAGACCTTAGAGACAGCCCTAGGTCCCTCCCTCATTTTGACGGAATGCCTCACATCCCGTTGACACCTCGAGAGTCACGCGGAGTTCACTGCTTCAAAAGCTGACGATGCCTGACTCCTCTTGAATATTGATAGGAATCACAAAATACCTGTGGCTATTTGAAAGGTTCCTTGGGTGCCCTGCCTCACCTCGAGAAGCGTCCCTTGTGCTTGCCAAGACTCGAAGAGATTCCTGAGCTGTCCCTCGTTACTGGACAGGAGTCCTGACGTCACTGAATAAACACGAGTTTTTAAGGGCCATCCCCGCCGTAACCCGAGTACATACCCCAGGTCCCCGCCGCAAGTCGAGAAAAACCATGAGACTTTCCCCTAGTGGCGAGATGAGGCCCGATTCTCCTGCAGTGCATGCACAGCAATTCCGTGATCCCCATCAAACAAGTCAGGACCTTCGACTTGCTTAATGGATCTCGAGACAGTCCCCAAGAATACTGTCACATATCCAGACGGATCCTGAGGTCACCCCATCAACGCAAGGCAGCACCATGTGCCCCAAATCAACTCGAGATAATGCCCGATTCCCCTGCATTGAATCCAGAGCCATCCCCCGTTCCACATTAAAAACCACCAGTGGCTTGACTTCCTTCAGACAACTCCAGAGATGCCCTGAGAACACTGTCCCAAGTCTAGAGGAACAGCATCTTCAGCACAGCAACTCGAGGAATGCTCCGTGTACCCCAAATCATCTCGAGATGTGAGCTGATTCCCTGGCTTAGGCTCAAGACGTATGCCAACTTTCCAGAAGCACCTCAAGAGGAGGCTTCTCTCAGCAATAGGTATGTTGGAGGGACCCCGAGTTTGCTGCCTCAAGTGGAATATAGAGCGAGAAGCCCTAACTTGAAAGGAGGCCAGATTTCCTTGCAATGGCTTGAATACAGGCTCGTCTTTCATCTCACAGAATGAAGGGATTACTGAATCTCCTGTGGAGACCTTAGAGAAGGTTATAGGTCCCTGCCTCATTTTGACGGAATGCCTCACATCCCGTTGTCACCTAGAGAGGCACGCGGAGTTCACTGCTTCAAAAGGTGACGATGCCTGACTCCTCTAAAATATTGATAGGAATCCCAAAATCCCTGTGGCTATTGGAAAGGTTCCTTGGGTGCCCTGCCTCACCTCGAGAAGCGTCCCTTGTGCCCTGCCAAGCCTCGAAGAGATTCCTGAGCTGTCCCTCGTTACTGGACAGGAGTCCTGACGTCACTGAATAAACACGAGTTTTGAAGGGCCATCCGCGCCGTAACCCGAGTACATACCCCAGGTCCCCGCCGCAAGTCGAGAAATACCATGAGACTTTCCCCTAGAGGCCAGATGAGGCCCGATTCTCCTGCAGTGCATGCAGAGCAATTCCGTGATCCCCATCAAACAAGTCAGAAGCTTCGACTTGCTTAATGGATCTCGAGACAGTCACCAGGGAACACTGTCACATGTCTAGACGGATCCTGAGGTCACCCCATCAACGCAAAGCAGCACCATGTGCCCCAAATCAACTCGAGATAATGCCCGATTCCCCTGCATTGACTCCAGAGCCATCCCCCGTTCCACATTAAACACGACCAGTGGCTTGACTTCCTTCAGGCAACTCCAGAGATGCTCTGAGAACACTGTCCCAAGTCTAGAGGAACACCATCTTCAGCACAGCAACTCGAGGAATGCTCCGTGTACCCCAAATCGTCTCGAGATGAGAGCTGATTCCCTGGCTTAGGCTCAAGACGTATGCCAACTTTCCAGAAGCACCTCAAGGGGAGCCTTCTCTCAGCAATAGGAATGTTGGAAGGACCCCCAGTTTGCTGCCTCAAGTGGAATATACAGCGAGAAGCCCTAACTTCAAAGGAGGCCGGATTTCCTTGCTGTGTCTTGAATACAGGCTCGTCTTTCATCTCACAACCGGAAGGAATGTCTGAGTCCCCTGTGGAGACCTTAGAGAAAGCCCTAGGTCCCTGCCTCATATTGACGGAATGCCTCACATACCGTTGACACTTCGAGAGGCACACGGAGTTCACTGCTTCAAAATGTGACGATGCCTGACTCCTCCTGAACATTGATAGGAATCCCAAAATCACTGTGGCTACAGGACAGGGTTCTTGGGTGCCCTGCCTCACCTCGAGAAGCATCCCTTTTGCCCTGCCAAGCCTCGAAGAGATTCCTGAGATGTCTCTCGTTACTAGACAGGAGTCCTGACGTCACTGAATAAACACGTGTTTTGAAGGGCCATCCCCGCCATAACTCGAGAACATACCCCAGTTCCCGCCACAACTCGAGTAAAACCATGAGACTTCCCCTAGATGCGAGATGAGGCCTGATTCCCTGCAGTCCATGCAGAGCATTCCCGTGATCCCCATCAAGCAAGTCAGGAGCTTCGACTTGCTTAATTCAACTCGAGAAAGTCCCCAGGAACACTGTCACAAGTCTAGACAGACCCTGAGGTCACCCCAGCAATGCAAAGCAGCTGCAAGTACCCCACATCAACTCGAGATGAGGCCCGATTCCCATGCATTGACTCCTGAGCCATCCCCCGTAACCCATTAAACACCACCAGTGGCTTGACTTCCTTCAGGGAACTCCAGAAATGCCCCGAGAACACTGTCCCAAGACTAGAGGAACACCAACTTCAGCACAGCAACTCGAGTAATGCTCCGTGTACCACAAATCGTCTCGAGATGAGAGCTGAATCCCTGGCTTAGGCTCAAGACGTATGCCAACTTTCCAGAAGCACCTCAAGAGGAGGCTTCTCTCAGCAATAGGTATGTTGGAGGGACCCCGAGTTTGCTGCCTCAAGTGGAATATACAGCGAGAAGCCCTAACTTGAAAGGAGGCTGGATTTCCTTGCAGTGGCTTGAATACAGGCTCGTCTTTCATCTCACAGAATGAAGGGATGTCTGAATCCCCTGTGGAGACCTTAGAGAAAGCTCTAGGTCCCTGCCTCATTTTGACGGAATGCCTCACATCCCGTTGTCACCTCGAGAGGCACGCGGAGTTCACTGCTTCAAAAGGTGACGATGCCTGACTCCTCTAAAATATTGATAGGAATCCCAAAATCCCTGTGGCTATTGGAAAGGTTCCTTGGGTGCCCTGCCTCACCTCGAGAAGCGTCCCTTGTGCCCTGCCAAGCCTCGAAGAGATTCCTGAGCTGTCCCTCGTTACTGGACAGGAGTCCTGACGTCACTGAATAAACACGAGTTTTGAAGGGCCATCCCCGCCGTAAGCCGAGTACATACACCAGGTCCCCGCCGCAAGTCGAGAAAAACCATGAGACTTTCCCCTAGAGGCGAGATGAGGCCCGATTCTCCTGCAGTGCATGCAGAGCAATTCCGTGATCCCCATCAAACAAGTCAGAAGCTTCGACTTGCTTAATGGATCTCGAGACAGTCCCCAAGAACACTGTCACATGTCTAGACGGATCCTGAGGTCACCCCATCAACGCAAAGCAGCACCATGTGCCCCAAATCAACTCGAGATAATGCCCGATTCCCCTGCATTGACTCCAGAGCCATCCCCCGTTCCACATTAAACACGACCAGTGGCTTGACTTCCTTCAGGCAACTCCAGAGATGCCCTGAGAACACTGTCCCAAGTCTAGAGGAACACCATCTTCAGCACAGCAACTCGAGGAATGCTCCGTGTACCCCAAATCGTCACGAGATGTGAGCTGATTCCCTGGCTTAGGCTCAAGACGTATGCCAACTTTCCAGAAGCACCTCAAGGGGAGCCTTCTCTCAGCAAGAGGTATGTTGGAGGGACCCCCAGTTTGCTGCCTCAAGTGGAATATGCAGCGAGAAGCCTTAACTTGAAAGGAGGCCGGATTTCCTTGCTGTGTCTTGAATACAGGCTCGTCTTTCATCTCACAACCGGAAGGAATGTCTGAATCCCCTGTGGAGACCTTAGAGAAAGCCCTAGGTCTCTGCCTCATTTTGACGGAATGCCTCACATCCCGTTGACACCTCGAGAGGCACACGGAGTTCACTGCTTCAAAATGTGACGATGCCTGACTCATCCTGAACATTGATAGGAATCCCAAAATCACTGTAGCTACAGGACAGGGTCCTTGGGTGCTCTGCCTGACCTCGAGAAGCATCCCTTTTGCCCTGCCAAGCCTCGAAGAGATTCCTGAGGTGTCTCTCGTTACTGGAGAGGTGTCCTGACGTCACTGAATAAACACGTGTTTTGAAGGGCCATCCCCGCCGTTACTCGAGTACATACCCCAGTTCCCCGCCGCAACTCGAGAAAAACCATGAGACTTCCGCCTAGAGGCGAGATGAGGCCCGATTCTCCTGCAGTGCATGCAGAGAAATTCCGTGATCCCCATCAAACAAGTCAGGGGCTTCGACTTGCTTAATGGATCTTGAGACATTCCCCAGGAACACTGTCACATGTCTAGACGGACCCTGAGGTATCCCCAGCAACGCAAAGCAGCTCCATGTGCCCCAAATCAACTTGAGATGAGGTCCGATTCCCCTGCATTGACTCCAGAGCCATCTGCCGTTCCGCATTAAACACCACCAGTGGCTTGACCTCCTTCAGACAACTCCAGAGATGCCCCGAGAACACTGTCCCAAGACTAGAGGAACACCTACTTTAGCACAGCAACTCGAGGAATGCTTCCTGTATGCCAAATCCTCTCGAGATGAGAGCTGATTCCCTGGTTTAGGCTCAAGACGTATGCCAACTTTCCAGAAGCACCTCAAGAGGAGGCTTCTCTCAGCAATAGGTATGTGGGAGGGAACCCGAGTTTGCTGCCTCAAAGGGAATATACAGCGAGAAGCACTAACTAGAAAGGAGGCCGGTTTCCTAGCAGTGTCTTGAATACAGGCTCGTCTTTCATCTCACAACCAGAAGGAATGTCTGAATCCCCTGTGGAGACCTTAGAGAAAGCCCTAGGTCCCTCCCTCATTTTGACGGAATGCCTCACATCCCGTTGACACCTCGAGAGTCACGCGGAGTTCACTGCTTCAAAAGCTGACGATGCCTGACTCCTCTTGAATATTGATAGGAATCACAAAATACCTGTGGCTATTTGAAAGGTTCCTTGGGTGCCCTGCCTCACCTCGAGAAGCGTCGCTTGTGCCTGCCAAGACTCGAAGAGATTCCTGAGCTGTCCCTCGTTACTGGACAGGAGTCCTGACGTCACTGAATAAACACGAGTTTTTAAGGGCCATCCCCGCCGTAACCCGAGTACATACCCCAGGTCCCCGCCGCAAGTCGAGAAAAACCATGAGACTTTCCCCTCGTGGCGAGATGAGGCCCGATTCTCCTGCAGTGCATGCAGAGCAATTCCGTGATCCCCATCAAACAAGTCAGGACCTTCGACTTGCTTAATGGATCTCGAGACAGTCCCCAAGAATACTGTCACATATCCAGACGGATCCTGAGGTCACCCCATCAACGCAAAGCAGCACCATGTGCCCCACATCAACTCGAGATAATGCCCGATTCCCCTGCATTGAATCCAGAGCCATCCCCCGTTCCACATTAAAAACCACCAGTGGCTTGACTTCCTTCAGACAACTCCAGAGATACCCTGAGAACACTGTCCCAAGTCTAGAGAAACACCATCTTCAGCACAGCAACGCGAGGAATGCTCCCTGTACCCCAAATCGTCTCGAGATGAGAGCTGATCCCTGGCTTAGGCTCAAGACGTATGCCAACTTTCCAGAAGCACCTCAAGGGGAGGCTTCTCTCAGCAATAGGTATGTTGGAGGGACCCCCAGTTTGCTGCCTCAAGTGGAATATGCAGCGAGAAGCCCTAACTTGAAAGGAGGCCGGGTTTCCCTGCAGGGTCTTGAATACAGGCTCGACTTTCATCTCACAACCGGAAGGAAAGTCTGAATCCCCTGTGGAGACCTTAGCGATAGCCCTAGGTCCCTGCCTCATTTTGACGGAATGCCTCACATCCCGTTGGCACATCGAGAGGCACGCGGAGTTCACTGCTTCAAAATGTGACGATGCCTGACTCCTCCTGAACATTGATAGGAATCCCAAAATTACTGTAGCTATAGGACAGGGTCCTTGGGTGCCCTGCCTCACCTCGAGAAGCAACCCTTTTGCCCTGCCAAGCCTCGAAGAGATTCCTGAGGTGTCTCTCGTTACTAGACAGGAGTCCTGACGTCACTGAATAAACACGTGTTTTGAAGGGCCATCCCCGCCATAACTCGAGAACATACCCCAGTTCCCGCCACAACTCGAGTAAAACCATGAGACTTCCCCTAGATGCGAGATGAGGCCTGATTCCCTGCAGTCCATGCAGAGCATTCCCGTGATCCCCATCAAGTAAGTCAGGAGCTTCGACTTGCTTAATTCAACTCGAGAAAGTCCCCAGGAACACTGTCACAAGTCTAGACAGACCCTGAGGTCACCCCAGCAATGCAAAGCAGCTGCAAGTACCCCACATCAACTCGAGATGAGGCCCGATTCCCATGCATTGACTCCAGAGCCATCCCCCGTAACGCATTAAACATCACCAGTGGCTTGACTTCCTTCAGGCAACTCCAGAAATGCCCCGAGAACACTGTCCCAAGACTAGAGGAACACCAACTTCAGCACAGCAACTCGAGTAATGCTCCGTGTACCACAAATCGTCTCGAGATGAGAGCTGAATCCCTGGCTTAGGCTCAAGACGTATGCCAACTTTCCAGAAGCACCTCAAGAGGAGGCTTCTCTCAGCAATAGGTATGTTGGAGGGACCCCGAGTTTGCTGCCTCAAGTCTAATATACAGCGAGAAGCCCTAACTTGAAAGGAGGCTGGATTTCCTTGCAGTGGCTTGAATACAGGCTCGTCTTTCATCTCACAGAATGAAGGGATGTCTGAATCCCCTGTGGAGACCTTAGAGAAAGCTCTAGGTCCCTGCCTCATTTTGACGGAATGCCTCACATCCCGTTGTCACCTCGAGAGGCACGCGGAGTTCACGGCTTCAAAAAGTGACGATGCCTGACTCCTCTAAAATATTGATAGGAATCCCAAAATCCCTGTGGCTATTGGAAAGGTTCCTTGGGTGCCCTGCCTCACCTCGACAAGCGTCCCTTGTGCCCTGCCAAGCCTCGAAGAGATTCCTGAGGTGTCTCTCGTTACTAGACAGGAGTCCTGACGTCACTGAATAAACACGTGTTTTGAAGGGCCATTGCCGCCGTAACTAGAGTAATACCCCAGGTCCCCGCCGCAACTCGAGAAAAACCATGAGACTTCCGCCTAGAAGCGAGATGAGGCCCGATTCTCCTGCAGTGCATGCAGAGCAATTCCGTGATCCCCATCAAACAAGTCAGGAGCTTCGACTTGCTTAATGGATCTCGAGACATTCCCCAAGAACACTGTCACATGTCTAGACGGACCCTGAGGTATCCCCAGCAACGCAAAGCAGCTCCATGTGCCACAAATCAACTTGAGATGAGGTCCGATTCCCCTGCATTGACTCCAGAGACATCTGCCGTTCCGCATTAAACACCACCAGTGGCTTGACCTCCTTCAGACAACTCCAGAGATGCCCCGAGAACACTGTCCCAAGTCTAGAGGAAAACCTCCTTTAGCACGGCAACTCGAGGAATGCTTCCTGTATGCCAAATCTTCTCGAGTTGAGAGCTGATTCCCTGGCTTAGGCTCAAGACGTATGCCAACTTTCCAGAAGCACCTCAAGAGGAGGCTTCTCTCAGCAATAGGTATGTGGGAGGGAACCCGAGTTTGCTGCCTCAAATGGAATATACAGCGAGAAGCACTAACTAGAATGGAGGCCGGTTTCCTAGCAGTGTCTTGAATACAGGCTCGTCTTTCATCTCACAGCAGGAAGAGATGTCTGAATCCCCTGTGGAGACCTTAGAGAAAGCCCTAGGTCCCTGCCTCATTGTGACGGAATGCCTCACATCCCGTTGACACCTCGAGAGTCACGCGGAGTTCACTGCTTCAAAAGCTGACGATGCCTGACTCCTCCTGAACATTGATAGGAATCCCAAAATCACTGTACCTACAGGACAGGGTTCTTGGGTGCCCTGCCTCACCTCGAGAAGCATCCCTTTTGCCCTGCCAAGCCTCGAAGAGATTCCTGAGCTGTCCCTCCTTACTGGACAGGAGTCCTGACGTCACTGAATAAACACGAGTTTTTAAGGGCCATCCCCGCCGTAACCCGAGTACATACCCCAGGGCCCCGCCGCAAGTCGAGAAAAACCATGAGACTTTCCCCTAGTGGCGAGATGAGGCCCGATTCTCCTGCAGTGCATGCAGAGCAATTCCATGATCCCCATCAAACAAGTCAGGACCTTCGACTTGCTTAATGGATCTAGAGACAGTCCCCAAGAATACTATCACATGTCTAGATGGATCCTGAGGTCACCCCATCAACGCAAAGCAGCACCATGTGCCCCACATCAACTCGAGATAATGCCCGATTCCCCTGCATTGACTCCAGAGCCATCCCCCGTTCCAGATTAAACACCACCAGTGGCTTGACTTCCTTCAGACAACTCCAGAGATGCCCTGAGAACACTGTCCCAAGTCTAGAGGAACACCATCTTCAGCACAGCAACTCAAGGAATGCTCCGTGTACCCCAAATCGTCTCCAGATGAGAGCTGATTCCCTGGCTTATGCTCAAGACGTATGCCAACTTTCCAGAAGCACCTCAAGGGGAGGCTTCTCTCAGCAATAGATATGTTGGAGGGACCCCCATTTTGCTGCCTCAAGTGGAATATGCAACGAGAAGCCCTAACTTGAAAGGAGGCCGGGTTTCCTTGCAGTGTCTTGAATACAGGCTTGTCTTTCATCTCACAACCGGAAGGATTGTCTGAATCCCCTGTGGAGACCTTAGCGAAAGCCCTAGGTCCCTGCCTCATTTTGACGGATTGCCTCACATCCCGTTGACACCTCGGGAGGCACACGGATTTCACTGCTTCAAATGTGACGATGCCTGACCCCTCCTTATCATTGATAGGAATCCCAAAATCACTGTGGCTACAGGAAAGGGTTCTTGTGTGCCCTGCCTCACTTCGAGAAGCATCCCTTTTGCCCTGCCAAGGCTCGAAGAGATTCCTGAGGTGTCCCTAATTACTAGACAGGAGTCATGACGTCACTGACTAAACACGTGTTTTCAAGGGCCATGCCCGCCATAACTCGAGAACATACCCCAGGTCCTGCCGCAACTCGAGAAAAACCATGAGACTTCCCCTAGATGCGAGATGAGGCCTGATTCCCTGCAGTCCATGCAGAGCATTCCCGTGATCCCAATCAAGCAAGTCAGCAGCTTCGAATTGCTTAATGGATCTCGAGAGAGTCCCCAGGAACACTGCCACAAGTCTAGACAGACCCTGAGGTCACCCCAGCAATGCAAAGCAGCTGCAAGTACCCCACATCAACTCGAGATGAGGCCCGATTCCCATGCATTGACTCCAGAGCCATCCCCAGTTCCCCTTTAAACAAGACCAGTGGCTTGCCTTCCTTCAGGCAACTCCAGAGATGCCCCGAGAACACTGTGCCAAGACTAGAGGAACACCAACTTCAGCACAGCAACTCGAGTAATGCTCCGTGTACCACAAATCGTCTCGAGATGAGAGCTGATTCCCTGGCTTAGGCTCAAGACGTATGCCAACTTTCCAGAAGCACCTCAGGAGGAGGCTTCTCTCAGCAATAGGTATGTGGGATGGACCCCGAGTTTGCTGCCTCAAGTGGAATATACAGCGAGAAGCCCTAACTTGAAAGGAGGCCGGATTTCCTTGCAGTGTCTTGTATACAGGCTCGTCTTTCATCTCACAACAGGAAAGGATGTCTGAATCCCCTGTGAAGACCTTAGAGAAAGCCCTAGGTCCCTGCCTCATTGTGACGGAATGCCTCACATCCCGTTGACACCACGAGAGGCACGCGGAGTTCACTGCTTCAAAAGGTGACGATGCCTGACTCCTCTTGAATATTGATAGGAATCCCAAAATCCCTGTGGCTATTGGAAAGGTTCCTTGGGTGCCCTGCCTCACCTCGAGAAGCGTCCCTTGTGCCCCGGCAAGCCTCGAAGAGATTCCTGAGCTGTCCCTCGTTACTGGACAGGAGTCCTGACGTCACTGAATAAACACGTGTTTTGAAGGGCCATCGCCGCCGTAACTAGAGTAATACCCCAGGTCCCCGCCGCAACTCGAGAAAAACCATGAGACTTCCGCCTAGAAGCGAGATGAGGCCCGATTCTCCTGCAGTGCATGCAGAGCAATTCCGTGATCCCCATCAAACAAGTCAGGAGCTTCGACTTGCTTAATGGATCTCGAGACATTCCCCAAGAACACTGTCACATGTCTAGACGGACCCTGAGGTATCCCCAGCAACGCAAAGCAGCTCCATGTGCCACAAATCAACTTGAGATGAGGTCCGATTCCCCTGCATTGACTCCAGAGACATCTGCCGTTCCGCATTAAACACCACCAGTGGCTTGACCTCCTTCAGACAACTCCAGAGATGCCCCGAGAACACTGTCCCAAGTCTAGAGGAAAACCTCCTTTAGCACAGCAACTCGAGGAATGCTTCCTGTATGCCAAATCTTCTCGAGTTGAGAGCTGATTCCCTGGCTTAGGCTCAAGACGTATGCCAACTTTCCAGAAGCACCTCAAGAGGAGGCTTCTCTCAGCAATAGGTATGTGGGAGGGAACCCGAGTTTGCTGCCTCAAATGGAATATACAGCGAGAAGCACTAACTAGAATGGAGGCCGGTTTCCTAGCAGTGTCTTGAATACAGGCTCGTCTTTCATCTCACAGCAGGAAGAGATGTCTGAATCCCCTGTGGAGACCTTAGAGAAAGCCCTAGGTCCCTGCCTCATTGTGACGGAATGCCTCACATCCCGTTGACACCTCGAGAGTCACGCGGAGTTCACTGCTTCAAAAGCTGACGATGCCTGACTCCTCCTGAACATTGATAGGAATCCCAAAATCACTGTACCTACAGGACAGGGTTCTTGGGTGCCCTGCCTCACCTCGAGAAGCATCCCTTTTGCCCTGCCAAGCCTCGAAGAGATTCCTGAGCTGTCCCTCCTTACTGGACAGGAGTCCTGACGTCACTGAATAAACACGAGTTTTTAAGGGCCATCCCCGCCGTAACCCGAGTACATACCCCAGGGCCCCGCCGCAAGTCGAGAAAAACCATGAGACTTTCCCCTAGTGGCGAGATGAGGCCCGATTCTCCTGCAGTGCATGCAGAGCAATTCCATGATCCCCATCAAACAAGTCAGGACCTTCGACTTGCTTAATGGATCTAGAGACAGTCCCCAAGAATACTATCACATGTCTAGATGGATCCTGAGGTCACCCCATCAACGCAAAGCAGCACCATGTGCCCCACATCAACTCGAGATAATGCCCGATTCCCCTGCATTGACTCCAGAGCCATCCCCCGTTCCACATTAAAAACCACCAGTGGCTTGACTTCCTTCAGACAACTCCAGAGATGCCCTGAGAACACTGTCCCAAGTCTAGAGGAACACCATCTTCAGCACAGCAACTCAAGGAATGCTCCGTGTACCCCAAATCGTCTCCAGATGAGAGCTGATTCCCTGGCTTATGCTCAAGACGTATGCCAACTTTCCAGAAGCACCTCAAGGGGAGGCTTCTCTCAGCAATAGATATGTTGGAGGGACCCCCATTTTGCTGCCTCAAGTGGAATATGCAACGAGAAGCCCTAACTTGAAAGGAGGCCGGGTTTCCTTGCAGTGTCTTGAATACAGGCTTGTCTTTCATCTCACAACCGGAAGGATTGTCTGAATCCCCTGTGGAGACCTTAGCGAAAGCCCTAGGTCCCTGCCTCATTTTGACGGATTGCCTCACATCCCGTTGACACCTCGGGAGGCACACGGATTTCACTGCTTCAAATGTGACGATGCCTGACCCCTCCTGATCATTGATAGGAATCCCAAAATCACTGTGGCTACAGGAAAGGGTTCTTGTGTGCCCTGCCTCACTTCGAGAAGCATCCCTTTTGCCCTGCCAAGGCTCGAAGAGATTCCTGAGGTGTCCCTAATTACTAGACAGGAGTCATGACGTCACTGACTAAACACGTGTTTTCAAGGGCCATGCCCGCCATAACTCGAGAACATACCCCAGGTCCTGCCGCAACTCGAGAAAAACCATGAGACTTCCCCTAGATGCGAGATGAGGCCTGATTCCCTGCAGTCCATGCAGAGCATTCCCGTGATCCCAATCAAGCAAGTCAGCAGCTTCGAATTTCTTAATGGATCTCGAGAGAGTCCCCAGGAACATTGCCACAAGTCTAGACAGACCCTGAGGTCACCCCAGCAATGCAAAGCAGCTGCAAGTACCCCACATCAACTCGAGATGAGGCCCGATTCCCATGCATTGTCTCCAGAGCCATCCCCAGTTCCCCTTTAAACAAGACCAGTGGCTTGCCTTCCTTCAGGCAACTCCAGAGATGCCCCGAGAACACTGTGCCAAGACTAGAGGAACACCAACTTCAGCACAGCAACTCGAGTAATGCTCCGTGTACCACAAATCGTCTCGAGATGAGAGCTGAATCCCTGGCTTAGGCTCAAGACGTATGCCAACTTTCCAGAAGCACCTCAAGAGGAGGCTTCTCTCAGCAATAGGTATGTTGGATGGACCCCGAGTTTGCTGCCTCAAGTGGAATATACAGCGAGAAGCCCTAACTTGAAAGGAGGCCGGATTTCCTTGCAGTGGCTTGAATACAGGCTCGTCTTTCATCTCACAGCAGGAAGGGATGTCTGAATCCCCTGTGGAGACCTTAGAGAAAGCCCTAGGTCCCTGCCTCATTTTGACGGAATGCCTCACATCCCGTTGTCACCTCGAGAGGCACGCGGAGTTCACTGCTTCAAAAGGTGACGATGCCTGACTCCTCTAAAATATTGATAGGAATCCCAAAATCCCTGTGGCTATTGGAAAGGTTACTTGGGTGCCCTGCCTCACCTCGAGAAGCATCCCTTGTGCCCTGCCAAGCCTCGAAGAGATTCCTGAGCTGTCCCTCGTTACTGGACAGGAGTCCTGACGTCACTGAATAAACACGAGTTTTGAAGGGCCATCCCCTCCGTAAGCCGAGTACATACGCCAGGTCCCCGCCGCAGTCGAGAAAAACCATGAGACTTTCCCCTAGAGGCGAGATGAGGCCCGATTCTCCTGCAGTGCATGCAGAGCAATTCCGTGATCCCCATCAAACAAGTCAGAAGCTTCGACTTGCTTAATGGATCTCGAGACAGTCCCCAAGAACACTGTCACATGTCTAGACGGATCCTGAGGTCACCCCATCAACGCAAAGCAGCACCATGTGCCCCAAATCAACTCGAGATAATGCCCGATTCCCCTGCATTGACTCCAGAGCAATCCCCCGTTCCACATTAAACACGACCAGTGGCTTGACTTCCTTCAGGCAACTCCAGAGATGCCCTGAGAACACTGTCCCAAGTCTAGAGGAACACCATCTTCAGCACAGCAACTCGAGGAATGCTCCGTGTACCCCAAATCATCTCGAGATGTGAGCTGATTCCCTGGCTTAGGCTCAAGACGTATGCCAACTTTCCAGAAGCACCTCAAGGGGAGCCTTCTCTCAGCAATAGGTATGTTGGAGGGACCCCCAGTTTGCTGCCTCAAGTGGAATATGCAGCGAGAAGCCCTAACTTGAAAGGAGGCCGGATTTCCTTGCTGTGTCTTGAATACAGGCTCATCTTTCATCTCAAAACCGGAAGGAATGTCTGAATCCCCTGTGGAGACCTTAGAGAAAGCCCTAGGTCCCTGCCTCATTTTGACGGAATGCCTCACATCCCGTTGACAACTCGAGAGGCACACGGAGTTCACTGCTTCAAAATATGACGATGCCTGACTCCTCCTGAACATTGATAGGATTCCCAAAATCACTGTAGCTACAGGACAGGGTTCTTGGGTGCCCTGCCTCACCTCGAGAAGCATCCCTTTTGCCCTGCCAAGCCTTGAAGTGATTCCTGAGGTGTCTCTCGTTACTAGACAGGAGTCCTGACGTCACTGAATAAACACGTGTTTTGAAGGGCCATCCCCGCCATAACTCGAGAACATACCCCAGTTCCCGCCGCAACTCGAGTAAAACCATGAGACTTCCCCTAGATGCGAGATGAGGCCTGATTCCCTGCAGTCCATGCAGAGCATTCCCGTGATCCCCATCAAGCAAGTCAGGAGCTTCGACTTGCTTAATGGATCTCGAGACAGTCCCCAAGAACACTGTTACATGTCTAGACGGATCCTGAGGTCACCCCATCAACGCAAAGTAGCACCATGTGCCCCAAATCAACTCGAGATAATGCCCGATTCCCCTGCATCGACTCCAGAGCCATCCCCCATTCCACATTAAACACGACCAGTGGCTTGACTTCCTTCAGGCAACTCCAGAGATGCCCTGAGAACACTGTCCCAAGTCTAGAGGAACACCATCTTCAGCACAGCAACTCGAGGAATGCTCCGTGTACCCGAAATCGTCTCAAGATGAGAGCTGATTCCCTGGCTTATGCTCAAGACGTATGCCAACTTTCCAGAAGCACCTCAAGGGGAGCCTTCTCTCAGCAATAGGAATGTTGGAGGGACCCCCAGTTTGCTGCCTCAAGTGGAATATACAGCGAGAAGCCCTAACTTGAAAGGAGGCCGGATTTCCTTGCTGTGTCTTGAATACAGGCTCGTCTTTCATCTCACAACCGGAAGGAATGTCTGAATCCCCTGTGGAGACCTTAGAGAAAGCCCTAGGTCCCTGCCTCATTTTGACGGAATGCCTCACATACCGTTGACACTTCGAGAGGCACACGGAGTTCACTGCTTCAAAATGTGACGATGCCTGACTCCTCCTGAACATTGATAGGAATCCCAAAATCACTGTGGCTACAGGAAAGGGTTCTTGGGTGCCCTGCCTCACCTCGAGAAGCATCCCTTTTGCCCTGCCAAGGCTCGAAGAGATTCCTGAGGTGTCTCTCGTTACTAGACAGGAGTCCTGACGTCACTGAATAAACACGTGTTTTGAAGGGCCATCCCCGCCATAACTCGAGAACATACTCCAGTTCCCGCCGCAACTCGAGAAAAACCATGAGACTTCCCCTAGATGCGAGATGAGGCCTGATTCCCTGCAGTCCATGCAGAGCATTCCCGTGATCCCAATCAAGCAAGTCAGCAGCTTCGAATTGCTTAATGGATCTCGAGAGAGTCCCCAGGAACACTGTCACAAGTCTAGACAGACCCTGACATCACCCCAGCAACGCAAAGCAGCTCCAAGTACCCCACATCAACTCGCGTTGAGGCCCGATTCCCATGCATTGACTCCAGAGCCATCCCCCGTACCCCATTAAGCACCACCAGTGGCTTGAATTCCTTCAGGCAACTCGAGAGATGCCCCGAGAACACTGTCCCAAGTCTAGAGGAATACGAACTTCAGCACAGCAACTCGTGGAATGCTCCGTGTACCCCAAATCGTTTCGAGGTGAGAGCTGATTCCATGGCTTAGGCTCAAGACGTATGCCAACTTTCCAGAAGCACCTCAAGAGGAGGCTTCTCTCAGCAATAGGTATTTGGGAGGGACCCCGAGTGTGCTGCCTCAAGTGGAATATACAGCGAGAAGCCCTAACTTGAAAGGAGGCCGGATTTCCTTGCAGTGGCTTGGATACAGGCTCGTCTTTATTCTCACAGCATGAAGGGATGTCTGAATCCCCTGTGGAGACCTTAGAGAAAGCCCTAGGTCCCTGCCTCAATTTGACGGAATGCCTCACATCCCGTTGACACCTCGAGAGGCACGCGGAGTTCACTGCTTCAAATGTGACGATGCCTGACCCCTCCTGATCATTGATAGGAATCCCAAAATCACTGTGGCTACAGGAAAGGATTCTTGTGTGCCCTGCCTCACCTCGAGAAGCATCCCTTTTGCCCTGCCAAGGCTCGAAGAGATTCCTGAGCTGTCCCTCATTACTAGACAGGAGTCATGACGGCACTGAATAAACACGGGTTTTGAGGGGCCATCCCCGCCGTAACTCGAGAAGATACCCCAGGTCCCCCGCGCAACTTGAGAGAAACCGTGAGACTTCCCCCTAGATGCGAGATGAGTCCTGATTCCCTGCAGTGCATGCAGAGTATTCCCGTGATCCCCATCAAACAAGTCAGGAGCTTCGACTTGCTTAATGGATCTCGAGACAGTCCCCAAGAACTCTGTCACAAGTCTAGACGGACCCTGAGGTCACCACAGCAACGCAAAGCAGCTCCATATGCCCCAAATCAACCCGAGATGTGGCCCGATTCCCCTGCATTGACTCCAGAGCCATCCCCAGTTCCCCATTAAACAAGACAACTGGCTAGACTTCCTTCAGGCAACTCCAGAGATGCCCCGCAAACACTCTCCCAAGACTAGAGGAACACCAACTTCAGCACAGCAACTCGAGGAATGCTCCGTGTACCACAAATCGTCTCGAGATGAGAGCTGAATCCGTGGCTTAGGCTCAAGACGTATGCCAACTTTCCAGAAGCACCTCAAGAGGAGGCTTCTCTCAGCAATAGGTATGTTGGAGGGACCCCGAGTTTGCTGCCTCAAGTGGAATATACAGCGAGAAGCCCTAACTTGAAAGGAGGCCGGATTTCCTTGCAATGGCTTGAATACAGGCTCGTCTTTCATCTCACAGAATGAAGGGATGACTGAATCTCCTGTGGAGACCTTAGAGAAAGCTATAGGTCCCTGCCTCATTTTGACGGAATGCCTCACATCCCGTTGACACCTCGAGAGTCACGCGGAGTTCACTGCTTCAAAAGCTGACGATGCCTGACTCCTCCTGAACATTGATAGGAATCCCAAAATCACTGTAGCTACAGGACAGGGTTCTTGGGTGACCTGCCTCACCTCGAGAAGCATCCCTTTTGCCCTGCCAAGCCTCGAAGAGATTCCTGAGCTGTCCCTCGTTACTGGACAGGAGTCCTGACGTCACTGAATGAACACGAGTTTTGAAGGGCCATCCGCGCCGTAACCCGAGTACATACCCCAGGTCCCCGCCGCAAGTCGAGAAAAACCATGAGACTTTCCCCTAGAGGCCAGATGAGGCCCGATTCTCCTGCAGTGCATGCAGAGCAATTCCGTGATCCCCATCAAACAAGTCAGAAGCTTCGACTTGCTTAATGGATCTCGAGACAGTCACCAGGGAACACTGTCACATGTCTAGACGGATCCTGAGGTCACCCCATCAACTCAAAGCAGCACCATGTGCCCCAAATCAACTCGAGATAATGCCCGATTCCCCTGCATTGACTCCAGAGCCATCCCCCGTTCCACATTAAACACGACCAGTGGCTTGACTTCCTTCAGGCAACTCCAGAGATGCCCTGAGAACACTGTCCCAAGTCTAGAGGAACACCATCTTCAGCACAGCAACTCGAGGAATGCTCCGTGTACCCCAAATCGTCTCGAGATGAGAGCTGATTCCCTGGCTTAGGCTCAAGACGTATGCCAACTTTCCAGAAGCACCTCAAGGGGAGCCTTCTCTCAGCAATAGGAATGTTGGAGGGACCCCGAGTTTGCTGCCTCAAGTGGAATATACAGCGAGAAGCCCTAACTTCAAAGGAGGCCGGATTTCCTTGCTGTGTCTTGAATACAGGCTCGTCTTTCATCTCACAACCGGAAGGAATGTCTGAATCCCCTGTGGATACCTTAGAGAAAGCCCTAGGTCCCTGCCTCATATTGACGGAATGCCTCACATACCGTTGACACCTCGAGAGGCACACGGAGTTCACTGCTTCAAAATGTGACGATGCCTGACTCCTCCTGAACATTGATAGGAATCCCAAAATCACTGTGGCTACAGGACAGGGTTCTTGGGTGCCCTGCCTCACCTCGAGAAGCATCCCTTTTGCCCTGCCAAGCCTCGAAGAGATTCCTGAGATGTCTCTCGTTACTAGACAGGAGTCCTGACGTCACTGAATAAACACGTGTTTTGAAGGGCCATCCCCACCATAACTCGAGAACATACCCCAGTTCCCGCCGCAACTCGAGTAAAACCATGAGACTTCCCCTAGATGCGAGATGAGGCCTGATTCCCTGCAGTCCATGCAGAGCATTCCCGTGATCCCCATCAAGCAAGTCAGGAGCTTCGACTTGCTTAATTCAACTCGAGAAAGTCCCCAGGAACACTGTCACAAGTCTAGACAGACCCTGAGGTCACCCCAGCAATGCAAAGCAGCTGCAAGTACCCCACATCAACTCGAGATGAGGCCCGATTCCCATGCATTGACTCCTGAGCCATCCCCCGTAACCCATTAAACACCACCAGTGGCTTGACTTCCTTCAGGGAACTAAAGAAATGCCCCGAGAACACTGTCCCAAGACTAGAGGAACACCAACTTCAGCACAGCAACTCGAGTAATGCTCCGTGTACCACAAATCGTCTCGAGATGAGAGCTGAATCCCTGGCTTAGGCTCAAGACGTATGCCAACTTTCCAGAAGCACCTCAAGAGGAGGCTTCTCTCAGCAATAGGTATGTTGGAGGGACCCCGAGTTTGCTGCCTCAAGTGGAATATACAGCGAGAAGCCCTAACTTGAAAGGAGGCCGGATATCCTTGCAGTGGCTTGAATACAGGCTCGTCTTTCATCTCACAGAATGAAGGGATGTCTGAATCCCCTGTGGAGACCTTAGAGAAAGCTCTAGGTCCCTGCCTCATTTTGACGGAATGCCTCACATCCCGTTGTCACCTCGAGAGGCACGCGGAGTTCACTGCTTCAAAAGGTGACGATGCCTGACTCCTCTAAAATATTGATAGGAATCCCAAAATCCCTGTGGCTATTGGAAAGGTTCCTTGGGTGCCCTGCCTCACCTCGAGAAGCGTCCCTTGCGCCCTGCCAAGCCTCGAAGAGATTCCTGAGCTGTCCCTCGTTACTGGACAGGAGTCCTGACGTCACTGAATAAACACGAGTTTTGAAGGGCCATCCCCGCCGTAAGCCGAGTACATACCCCAGGTCCCCGCCGCAAGTCGAGAATAACCATGAGACTTTCCCCTAGAGGCGAGATGAGGCTCGATTCTCCTGCAGTACATGCAGAGCAATTCCGTGATCCCCATCAAACAAGTCAGAAGCTTCGACTTGCTTAATGGATCTCGAGACAGTCACCAGGGAACACTGTCACATGTCTAGACGGATCCTGAGGTCACCCCATCAACGCAAAGCAGCACCATGTGCCCCAAATCAACTCGAGATAATGCCCGATTCCCCTGCATTGACTCCAGAGCCATCCCCCGTTCCACATTAAACACGACCAGTGGCTTGACTTCCTTCAGGCAACTCCAGAGATGACCTGAGAACACTGTCCCAAGTCTAGAGGAACACCATCTTCAGCACAGCAACTCGAGGAATGCTCCGTGTACCCCAAATCGTCACGAGATGTGAGCTGATTCCCTGGCTTAGGCTCAAGACGTATGCCAACTTTCCAGAAGCACCTCAAGAGGAGGCTTCTCTCAGCAATAGGTATGTGGGAGGGAACCCGAGTTTGCTGCCTCAAAGGGAATATACAGCGAGAAGCACTAACTAGAAAGGAGGCCGGATTTCCTAGCAGTGTCTTGAATACAGGCTCGTCTTTCATCTCACAACCAGAAGGAATGTCTGAATCCCCTGTGGAGACCTTAGAGAAAGCCCTAGGTCCCTCCCTCATTTTGACGGAATGCCTCACATCCCGTTGACACCTCGAGAGTCACGCGGAGTTCACTGCTTCAAAAGCTGACGATGCCTGACTCCTCTTGAATATTGATAGGAATCACAAAATACCTGTGGCTATTTGAAAGGTTCCTTGGGTGCCCTGCCTCACCTCGAGAAGCGTCCCTTGTGCTTGCCAAGACTCGAAGAGATTCCTGAGCTGTCCCTCGTTACTGGACAGGAGTCCTGACGTCACTGAATAAACACGAGTTTTTAAGGGCCATCCCCGCCGTAACCCGAGTACATACCCCAGGTCCCCGCCGCAAGTCGAGAAAAACCATGAGACTTTCCCCTAGTGGCGAGATGAGGCCCGATTCTCCTGCAGTGCATGCACAGCAATTCCGTGATCCCCATCAAACAAGTCAGGACCTTCGACTTGCTTAATGGATCTCGAGACAGTCCCCAAGAATACTGTCACATATCCAGACGGATCCTGAGGTCACCCCATCAACGCAAGGCAGCACCATGTGCCCCAAATCAACTCGAGATAATGCCCGATTCCCCTGCATTGAATCCAGAGCCATCCCCCGTTCCACATTAAAAACCACCAGTGGCTTGACTTCCTTCAGACAACTCCAGAGATGCCCTGAGAACACTGTCCCAAGTCTAGAGGAACAGCATCTTCAGCACAGCAACTCGAGGAATGCTCCGTGTACCCCAAATCATCTCGAGATGTGAGCTGATTCCCTGGCTTAGGCTCAAGACGTATGCCAACTTTCCAGAAGCACCTCAAGGGGAGCCTTCTCTCAGCAATAGGTATGTTGGAGGGACCCCCAGTTTGCTGCCTCAAGTGGAATATGCAGCGAGAAGCCCTAACTTGAAAGGAGGCCGGATTTCCTTGCTGTGTCTTGAATACAGGCTCATCTTTCATCTCAAAACCGGAAGGAATGTCTGAATCCCCTGTGGAGACCTTAGAGAAAGCCCTAGGTCCCTGCCTCATTTTGACGGAATGCCTCACATCCCATTGACAACTCGAGATGCACACGGAGTTCACTGCTTCAAAATATGACGATGCCTGACTCCTCCTGAACATTGATAGGAATCCCAAAATCACTGTAGCTACAGGACAGGGTTCTTGGGTGCCCTGCCTCACCTCGAGAAGCATCCCTTTTGCCCTGCCAAGCCTTGAAGAGATTCCTGAGGTGTCTCTCGTTACTAGACAGGAGTCCTGACGTCACTGAATAAACACGTGTTTTGAAGGGCCATCCCCGCCATAACTCGAGAACATACCCCAGTTCCCGCCGCAACTCGAGTAAAACCATGAGACTTCCCCTAGATGCGAGATGAGGCCTGATTCCCTGCAGTCCATGCAGAGCATTCCCGTGATCCCCATCAAGCAAGTCAGGAGCTTCGACTTGCTTAATGGATCTCGAGACAGTCCCCAAGAACACTGTTACATGTCTAGACGGATCCTGAGGTCACCCCATCAACGCAAGGCAGCACCATGTGCCCCAAATCAACTCGAGATAATGCCCGATTCCCCTGCATCGACTCCAGAGCCATCCCCCGTTCCACATTAAACACGACCAGTGGCTTGACTTCCTTCAGGCAACTCCAGAGATGCCCTGAGAACACTGTCCCAAGTCTAGAGGAACACCATCTTCAGCACAGCAACTCGAGGAATGCTCCGTGTACCCCAAATCGTCTCGAGATGAGAGCTGATTCCCTGGCTTAGGCTCAAGACGTATGCCAACTTTCCAGAAGCACCTCAAGGGGAGCCTTCTCTCAGCAATAGGAATGTTGGAGGGACCCCCAGTTTGCTGCCTCAAGTGGAATATACAGCGAGAAGCCCTAACTTCAAAGGAGGCCGGATTTCCTTGCTGTGTCTTGAATACAGGCTCGTCTTTCATCTCACAACCGGAAGGAATGTCTGAATCCCCTGTGGAGACCTTAGAGAAAGCCCTAGGTCCCTGCCTCATTTTGACGGAATGCCTCACATACCGTTGACACTTCGAGAGGCACACGGAGTTCACTGCTTCAAAATGTGACGATGCCTGACTCCTCCTGAACATTGATAGGAATCCCAAAATCACTGTGGCTACAGGACAGGGTTCTTGGGTGCCCTGCCTCACCTCGAGAAGCATCCCTTTTGCCCTGCCAAGCCTCGAAGAGATTCCTGAGGTGTCTCTCGTTACTAGACAGGAGTCCTGACGTCACTGAATAAACACGTGTTTTGAAGGGCCATCCCCGCCATAACTCGAGAACATACCCCAGTTCCCGCCGCAACTCGAGAAAAACCATGAGACTTCCCCTAGATGCGAGATGAGGCCTGATTCCCTGCAGTCCATGCAGAGCATTCCCGTGATCCCAATCAAGCAAGTCAGCAGCTTCGAATTGCTTAATGGATCTCGAGAGAGTCCCCAGGAACACTGTCACAAGTCTAGACAGACCCTGACATCACCCCAGCAACGCAAAGCAGCTCCAAGTACCCCACATCAACTCGCGTTGAGGCCCGATTCCCATGCATTGACTCCAGAGCCATCCCCCGTACCTCATTAAGCACCACCAGTGGCTTGACTTCCTTCAGGCAACTCGAGAGATGCCCCGAGAACACTGTCCCAAGTCTAGAGGAATACGAACTTCAGCACAGCAACTCGAGGAATGCTCCGTGTAGCCCAAATCGTTTCGAGGTGAGAGCTGATTCCATGGCTTAGGTTCAAGACGTATGCCAACTTTCCAGAAGCACCTCAAGATGAGGCTTCTCTCAGCAATAGGTATTTGGGAGGGACCCCGAGTTTGCTGCCTCAAGTGGAATATACAGCCAGAAGCCCTAACTTGAAAGGAGGCCGGATTTCCTTGCAGTGGCTTGGATACAGGCTCGTCTTTCATCTCACAGCATGAAGGGATGTCTGAATCCCCTGTGGAGACCTTAGAGAAAGCTCTAGGTCCCTGCATCATTTTGACGGAATGCCTCACATCCAGTTGACACTTCGAGAGGCACGCGGAGTTCACTGCTTCAAAAGGTGATGATGCCTGACTCGTCTTGAATATTGATAGGAATCCCAAAATCACTGTGGCTACTGGAAAGGGACATTGGTTGCCCTGCCTCACCTCGAGAAGCATACCTTTTGACCTGCCAAGCCTCGAAGAGATTCCTGAGGTGTCCCTCGTTACTAGACAGGAGTCCTGACGGCACTGAATAAACACGGGTTTTGAGGGGCCATCCCCGCCGTAACTCGAGAAGATACCCCAAGTCCCCCGCACAACTTGAGAGAAACCGTGAGGCTTCCCCCTAGATGCGAGATGAGTCCTGATTCCCTGCAGTGCATGCAGAGTATTCCCGTGATCCCCATCAAACAAGTCAGGAGCTTCGACTTGCTTAATGGATCTCGAGACAGTCCCCAAGAACACTGTCACAAGTCTAGACGGACCCTGAGGTAACCCCAGCAACGCAAAGCAGCTCCATGTGCCCCAAATCAAACCGAGATGTGGCCCGATTCCCCTGCATTGACTCCAGAGCCATCCCCAGTTCCCCATTAAACAAGACAACTGGCTAGACTTCCTACAGGCAACTCCAGAGATGCCCTGAGAACACTGTCCCAAGTCTAGAGGAACACCATCTTCAGCACAGCAACTCGAGGAATGCTCCGTGTACCCCAAATCGTCTCGAGATGAGAGCTGATTCCCTGGCTTAGGCTCAAGACGGATGCCAACTTTCCAAAAGCACCTCAAGGGGAGCTTTCTATCAGCAATAGGTATGTTGGAGGGACCCCGAGTTTGCTGCCTCAAGTGGAATATACAGCGAGAAGCCCTAACTTGAATGGAGGCCGGATTTCCTTGCAGTGTCTTGTATATAGGCTCGTCTTTCATCTCACAACAGGAAGGGATGTCTGAATCCCCTGTGAAGACCTTAGAGAAAGCCCTAGGTCCCTGCCTCAATTTGACGGAATGCCTCACATCCCGTTGACACCTCGAGAGGCACGCGGAGTTCACTGCTTCAAATGTGACGATGCCTGACCCCTCCTGATCATTGATAGGAATCCCAAAATCACTGTGGCTACAGGAAAGGATTCTTGTGTGCCCTGCCTCACCTCGAGAAGCATCCCTTTGCCCTGCCAAGGCTCGAAGAGATTCCTGAGGTGTCCCTCATTACTAGACAGGAGTCATGACGGCATTGAATAAACACGGGTTTTGAGGGGCCATCCCCGCCGTAACTCGAGAAGATACCCCAGGTCCCCCGCGCAACTTGAGAGAAACCGTGAGACTTCCCCCTAGATGCGAGATGAGTCCTGATTCCCTGCAGTGCATGCAGAGTATTCCCGTGATCCCCATCAAACAAGTCAGGAGCTTCGACTTGCTTAATGGATCTCGAGACAGTCCCCAAGAACTCTGTCACAAGTCTAGACGGACCCTGAGGTCACCCCAGCAATGCAAAGCAGCTCCATGTGCCCCAAATCAACCCGAGATGTGGCCCGATTCCCCTGCATTGACTCCAGAGCCATCCCCAGTTCCCCATTAAACAAGACAACTGGCTAGACTTCCTTCAGGCAACTCCAGAGATGCCCCGCAAACACTCTCCCAAGACTAGAGGAACACCAACTTCAGCACAGCAACTCGAGGAATGCTCCGTGTACCACAAATCGTCTCGAGATGAGAGCTGAATCCCTGGCTTAGGCTCAAGACGTATGCCAACTTTCCAGTAGCACCTCAAGAGGAGGCTTCTCTCAGCAATAGGTATGTTGGAGGGACCCCGAGTTTGCTGCCTCAAGTGGAATATAGAGCGAGAAGCCCTAACTTGAAAGGAGGCCAGATTTCCTTGCAATGGCTTGAATACAGGCTCGTCTTTCATCTCACAGAATGAAGGGATTACTGAATCTCCTGTGGAGACCTTAGAGAAGGCTATAGGTCCCTGCCTCATTTTGACGGAATGCCTCACATCCCGTTGTCACCTAGAGAGGCACGCGGAGTTCACTGCTTCAAAAGGTGACGATGCCTGACTCCTCTAAAATATTGATAGGAATCCCAAAATCCCTGTGGCTATTGGAAAGGTTCCTTGGGTGCCCTGCCTCACCTCGAGAAGCGTCCCTTGTGCCCTGCCAAGCCTCGAAGAGATTCCTGAGCTGTCCCTCGTTACTGGACAGGAGTCCTGACGTCACTGAATAAACACGAGTTTTGAAGGGCCATCCGCGCCGTAACCCGAGTACATACCCCAGGTCCCCGCCGCAAGTCGAGAAATACCATGAGACTTTCCCCTAGAGGCCAGATGAGGCCCGATTCTCCTGCAGTGCATGCAGAGCAATTCCGTGATCCCCATCAAACAAGTCAGAAGCTTCGACTTGCTTAATGGATCTCGAGACAGTCACCAGGGAACACTGTCACATGTCTAGACGGATACTGAGGTCACCCCATCAACGCAAAGCAGCACCATGTGCCCCAAATCAACTCGAGATAATGCCCGATTCCCCTGCATTGACTCCAGAGCCATCCCCCGTTCCACATTAAACACGACCAGTGGCTTGACTTCCTTCAGGCAACTCCAGAGATGCTCTGAGAACACTGTCCCAAGTCTAGAGGAACACCATCTTCAGCACAGCAACTCGAGGAATGCTCCGTGTACCCCAAATCGTCTCGAGATGAGAGCTGATTCCCTGGCTTAGGCTCAAGACGTATGCCAACTTTCCAGAAGCACCTCAAGGGGAGCCTTCTCTCAGCAATAGGAATGTTGGAAGGACCCCCAGTTTGCTGCCTCAAGTGGAATATACAGCGAGAAGCCCTAACTTCAAAGGAGGCCGGATTTCCTTGCTGTGTCTTGAATACAGGCTCGTCTTTCATCTCACAACCGGATGGAATGTCTGAGTCCCCTGTGGAGACCTTAGAGAAAGCCCTAGGTCCCTGCCTCATATTGACGGAATGCCTCACATACCGTTGACACTTCGAGAGGCACACGGAGTTCACTGCTTCAAAATGTGACGATGCCTGACTCCTCCTGAACATTGATAGGAATCCCAAAATCACTGTGGCTACAGGACAGGGTTCTTGGGTGCCCTGCCTCACCTCGAGAAGCATCCCTTTTGCCCTGCCAAGCCTCGAAGAGATTCCTGAGATGTCTCTCGTTACTAGACAGGAGTCCTGACGTCACTGAATAAACACGTGTTTTGAAGGGCCATCCCCGCCATAACTCGAGAACATACCCCAGTTCCCGCCGCAACTCGAGTAAAACCATGAGACTTCCCCTAGATGCGAGATGAGGCCTGATTCCCTGCAGTCCATGCAGAGCATTCCCGTGATCCCCATCAAGCAAGTCAGGAGCTTCGACTTGCTTAATTCAACTCGAGAAAGTCCCCAGGAACACTGTCACAAGTCTAGACAGACCCTGAGGTCACCCCAGCAATGCAAAGCAGCTGCAAGTACCCCACATCAACTCGAGATGAGGCCCGATTCCCATGCATTGACTCCTGAGCCATCCCCCGTAACCCATTAAACACCACCAGTGGCTTGACTTCCTTCAGGGAACTCCAGAAATGCCCCGAGAACACTGTCCCAAGACTAGAGGAACACCAACTTCAGCACAGCAACTCGAGTAATGCTCCGTGTACCACAAATCGTCTCGAGATGAGAGCTGAATCCCTGGCTTAGGCTCAAGACGTATGCCAACTTTCCAGAAGCACCTCAAGAGGAGGCTTCTCTCAGCAATAGGTATGTTGGAGGGACCCCGAGTTTGCTGCCTCAAGTGGAATATACAGCGAGAAGCCCTAACTTGAAAGGAGGCTGGATTTCCTTGCAGTGGCTTGAATACAGGCTCGTCTTTCATCTCACAGAATGAAGGGATGTCTGAATCCCCTGTGGAGACCTTAGAGAAAGCTCTAGGTCCCTGCCTCATTTTGACGGAATGCCTCACATCCCGTTGTCACCTCGAGAGGCACGCGGAGTTCACTGCTTCAAAAGGTGACGATGCCTGACTCCTCTAAAATATTGATAGGAATCCCAAAATCCCTGTGGCTATTGGAAAGGTTCCTTGGGTGCCCTGCCTCACCTCGAGAAGCGTCCCTTGTGCCCTGCCAAGCCTCGAAGAGATTCCTGAGCTGTCCCTCGTTACTGGACAGGAGTCCTGACGTCACTGAATAAACACGAGTTTTGAAGGGCCATCCCCGCCGTAAGCCGAGTACATACACCAGGTCCCCGCCGCAAGTCGAGAAAAACCATGAGACTTTCCCCTAGAGGCGAGATGAGGCCCGATTCTCCTGCAGTGCATGCAGAGCAATTCCGTGATCCCCATCAAACAAGTCAGAAGCTTCGACTTGCTTAATGGATCTCGAGACAGTCCCCAAGAACACTGTCACATGTCTAGACGGATCCTGAGGTCACCCCATCAACGCAAAGCAGCACCATGTGCCCCAAATCAACTCGAGATAATGCCCGATTCCCCTGCATTGACTCCAGAGCCATCCCCCGTTCCACATTAAACACGACCAGTGGCTTGACTTCCTTCAGGCAACTCCAGAGATGCCCTGAGAACACTGTCCCAAGTCTAGAGGAACACCATCTTCAGCACAGCAACTCGAGGAATGCTCCGTGTACCCCAAATCGTCACGAGATGTGAGCTGATTCCCTGGCTTAGGCTCAAGACGTATGCCAACTTTCCAGAAGCACCTCAAGGGGAGCCTTCTCTCAGCAAGAGGTATGTTGGAGGGACCCCCAGTTTGCTGCCTCAAGTGGAATATGCAGCGAGAAGCCTTAACTTGAAAGGAGGCCGGATTTCCTTGCTGTGTCTTGAATACAGGCTCGTCTTTCATCTCACAACCGGAAGGAATGTCTGAATCCCCTGTGGAGACCTTAGAGAAAGCCCTAGGTCTCTGCCTCATTTTGACGGAATGCCTCACATCCCGTTGACACCTCGAGAGGCACACGGAGTTCACTGCTTCAAAATGTGACGATGCCTGACTCATCCTGAACATTGATAGGAATCCCAAAATCACTGTAGCTACAGGACAGGGTCCTTGGGTGCTCTGCCTGACCTCGAGAAGCATCCCTTTTGCCCTGCCAAGCCTCGAAGAGATTCCTGAGGTGTCTCTCGTTACTGGAGAGGTGTCCTGACGTCACTGAATAAACACGTGTTTTGAAGGGCCATCCCCGCCGTTACTCGAGTACATACCCCAGTTCCCCGCCGCAACTCGAGAAAAACCATGAGACTTCCGCCTAGAGGCGAGATGAGGCCCGATTCTCCTGCAGTGCATGCAGAGAAATTCCGTGATCCCCATCAAACAAGTCAGGGGCTTCGACTTGCTTAATGGATCTTGAGACATTCCCCAGGAACACTGTCACATGTCTAGACGGACCCTGAGGTATCCCCAGCAACGCAAAGCAGCTCCATGTGCCCCAAATCAACTTGAGATGAGGTCCGATTCCCCTGCATTGACTCCAGAGCCATCTGCCGTTCCGCATTAAACACCACCAGTGGCTTGACCTCCTTCAGACAACTCCAGAGATGCCCCGAGAACACTGTCCCAAGACTAGAGGAACACCTACTTTAGCACAGCAACTCGAGGAATGCTTCCTGTATGCCAAATCCTCTCGAGATGAGAGCTGATTCCCTGGTTTAGGCTCAAGACGTATGCCAACTTTCCAGAAGCACCTCAAGAGGAGGCTTCTCTCAGCAATAGGTATGTGGGAGGGAACCCGAGTTTGCTGCCTCAAAGGGAATATACAGCGAGAAGCACTAACTAGAAAGGAGGCCGGTTTCCTAGCAGTGTCTTGAATACAGGCTCGTCTTTCATCTCACAACCAGAAGGAATGTCTGAATCCCCTGTGGAGACCTTAGAGAAAGCCCTAGGTCCCTCCCTCATTTTGACGGAATGCCTCACATCCCGTTGACACCTCGAGAGTCACGCGGAGTTCACTGCTTCAAAAGCTGACGATGCCTGACTCCTCTTGAATATTGATAGGAATCACAAAATACCTGTGGCTATTTGAAAGGTTCCTTGGGTGCCCTGCCTCACCTCGAGAAGCGTCGCTTGTGCCTGCCAAGACTCGAAGAGATTCCTGAGCTGTCCCTCGTTACTGGACAGGAGTCCTGACGTCACTGAATAAACACGAGTTTTTAAGGGCCATCCCCGCCGTAACCCGAGTACATACCCCAGGTCCCCGCCGCAAGTCGAGAAAAACCATGAGACTTTCCCCTCGTGGCGAGATGAGGCCCGATTCTCCTGCAGTGCATGCAGAGCAATTCCGTGATCCCCATCAAACAAGTCAGGACCTTCGACTTGCTTAATGGATCTCGAGACAGTCCCCAAGAATACTGTCACATATCCAGACGGATCCTGAGGTCACCCCATCAACGCAAAGCAGCACCATGTGCCCCACATCAACTCGAGATAATGCCCGATTCCCCTGCATTGAATCCAGAGCCATCCCCCGTTCCACATTAAAAACCACCAGTGGCTTGACTTCCTTCAGACAACTCCAGAGATACCCTGAGAACACTGTCCCAAGTCTAGAGAAACACCATCTTCAGCACAGCAACGCGAGGAATGCTCCCTGTACCCCAAATCGTCTCGAGATGAGAGCTGATCCCTGGCTTAGGCTCAAGACGTATGCCAACTTTCCAGAAGCACCTCAAGGGGAGGCTTCTCTCAGCAATAGGTATGTTGGAGGGACCCCCAGTTTGCTGCCTCAAGTGGAATATGCAGCGAGAAGCCCTAACTTGAAAGGAGGCCGGGTTTCCCTGCAGGGTCTTGAATACAGGCTCGACTTTCATCTCACAACCGGAAGGAAAGTCTGAATCCCCTGTGGAGACCTTAGCGATAGCCCTAGGTCCCTGCCTCATTTTGACGGAATGCCTCACATCCCGTTGGCACATCGAGAGGCACGCGGAGTTCACTGCTTCAAAATGTGACGATGCCTGACTCCTCCTGAACATTGATAGGAATCCCAAAATTACTGTAGCTATAGGACAGGGTCCTTGGGTGCCCTGCCTCACCTCGAGAAGCAACCCTTTTGCCCTGCCAAGCCTCGAAGAGATTCCTGAGGTGTCTCTCGTTACTAGACAGGAGTCCTGACGTCACTGAATAAACACGTGTTTTGAAGGGCCATCCCCGCCATAACTCGAGAACATACCCCAGTTCCCGCCACAACTCGAGTAAAACCATGAGACTTCCCCTAGATGCGAGATGAGGCCTGATTCCCTGCAGTCCATGCAGAGCATTCCCGTGATCCCCATCAAGTAAGTCAGGAGCTTCGACTTGCTTAATTCAACTCGAGAAAGTCCCCAGGAACACTGTCACAAGTCTAGACAGACCCTGAGGTCACCCCAGCAATGCAAAGCAGCTGCAAGTACCCCACATCAACTCGAGATGAGGCCCGATTCCCATGCATTGACTCCAGAGCCATCCCCCGTAACGCATTAAACATCACCAGTGGCTTGACTTCCTTCAGGCAACTCCAGAAATGCCCCGAAAACACTGTCCCAAGACTAGAGGAACACCAACTTCAGCACAGCAACTCGAGTAATGCTCCATGTACCACAAATCGTCTCGAGATGAGAGCTGAATCCCTGGCTTAGGCTCAAGACGTATGCCAACTTTCCAGAAGCACCTCAAGAGGAGGCTTCTCTCAGCAATAGGTATGTTGGAGGGACCCCGAGTTTGCTGCCTCAAGTCTAATATACAGCGAGAAGCCCTAACTTGAAAGGAGGCTGGATTTCCTTGCAGTGGCTTGAATACAGGCTCGTCTTTCATCTCACAGAATGAAGGGATGTCTGAATCCCCTGTGGAGACCTTAGAGAAAGCTATAGGTCCCTGCCTCATTTTGACGGAATGCCTCACATCCCGTTGTCACCTCGAGAGGCACGCGGAGTTCACGGCTTCAAAAAGTGACGATGCCTGACTCCTCTAAAATATTGATAGGAATCCCAAAATCCCTGTGGCTATTGGAAAGGTTCCTTGGGTGCCCTGCCTCACCTCGACAAGCGTCCCTTGTGCCCTGCCAAGCCTCGAAGAGATTCCTGAGGTGTCTCTCGTTACTAGACAGGAGTCCTGACGTCACTGAATAAACACGTGTTTTGAACGGCCATCCCCGCCATAACTCGAGAACATACCCCAGTTCCCCGCCGCAACTCGAGCAAAACCATGAGACTTCCGCTTAGAGGCGAGATGAGGCCCGATTCTCCTGCAGTGCATGCAGAGCAATTCCGTGATCCCCATCAAACAAGTCAGGGGCTTCGACTTGCTTAATGGATCTCGAGACATTCCCCAAGAACACTGTCACATGTCTAGACGGACCCTGAGGTATCCCCAGCAACGCAAAGCAGCTCCATGTGCCCCAAATCAACTTGAGATGAGGTCCGATTCCCCTGCATTGACTCCAGAGCCATCTGCCGTTCCGCATTAAACACCACCAGTGGCTTGACCTCCTTCAGACAACTCCAGAGATGCCCCGAGAACACTGTCCCAAGTCTAGAGGAACACCTACTTTAGCACAGCAACTCGAGGAATGCTTCCTGTATGCCAAATCTTCTCGAGATGAGAGCTGATTCCCTGGCTTAGGCTCAAGACCTATGCCAACTTTCCAGAAGCACCTCAAGAGGAGGCTTCTCTCAGCAATAGGTATGTGGGAGGGAACCCGAGTTTGCTGCCTCAAATGGAATAAACAGCGAGAAGCACTAACTAGAAAGGAGGACGGTTTCCTAGCAGTGTCTTGGATACAGGCTCGTCTTTCATCTCACAGCAGGAAGAGATGTCTGAATCCCCTGTGGAGACCTTAGAGAAAGCCCTAGGTCCCTGCCTCATTTTGACGGAATGCCTCACATCCCGTTGACACCTCGAGAGTCACGTGGAGTTCACTGCTTCAAAAGCTGACGATGCCTGACTCCTCTTGAATATTGATAGGAATCACAAAATACCTGTGGCTATTTGAAAGGTTCCTTGGGTGCCCTGCCTCACCTCGAGAAGCGTCCCTTGTGCCTGCCAAGCCTCGAAGAGATTCCTGAGCTGTCCCTCGTTACTGGACAGGAGTCCTGACGTCACTGAATAAACACGAGTTTTTAAGGGCCATCCCCGCCGTAAACCGAGTACATACCCCAGATCCCCGCCGCAAGTCGAGAAAAACCATGAGACTTTCCCCTAAAGGCGAGATGAGGCCCGATTCACCTGCAGTGCATGCAGAGCAATTCCGTGATCCCCATCAAACAAGTCAGGACCTTCGACTTGCTTAATGGATCTCGAGACAGTCCCCAAGAATACTGTCACATGTCTAGACGGATCCTGAGGTCACCCCATCAACGCAAAGCAGCACCATGTGCCCCACATCAACTCGAGATAATGCCCGATTCCCCTGCATTGACTCCAGAGCCATCCCCCGTTCCCCATTAAACAAGAGCAGTGGCTTGACTTCCTTCAGGCAACTCCAGAGATGCCCTGAGAACACTGTCCCAAGTCTAGAGGAACACCATCTTCATCACAGCAACTCGAGGAATGCTCCGTGTACCCCAAATCATCTCGAGATGTGAGCTGATTCCCTGGCTTAGGCTCAAGACGTATGCCAACTTTCCAGAAGCACCTCAAGGGGAGCCTTCTCTCAGCAATAGGTATGTTGGAGGGACCCCCAGTTTGCTGCCTCAAGTGGAATATGCAGCGAGAAGCCCTAACTTGAAAGGAGGCCGGATTTCCTTGCTGTGTCTTGAATACAGGCTCATCTTTCATCTCAAAACCGGAAGGAATGTCTGAATCCCCTGTGGAGACCTTAGAGAAAGCCCTAGGTCCCTGCCTCATTTTGACGGAATGCCTCACATCCCGTTGACAACTCGAGAGGCACACGGAGTTCACTGCTTCAAAATATGACGATGCCTGACTCCTCCTGAACATTGATAGGATTCCCAAAATCACTGTAGCTACAGGACAGGGTTCTTGGGTGCCCTGCCTCACCTCGAGAAGCATCCCTTTTGCCCTGCCAAGCCTTGAAGTGATTCCTGAGGTGTCTCTCGTTACTAGACAGGAGTCCTGACGTCACTGAATAAACACGTGTTTTGAAGGGCCATCCCCGCCATAACTCGAGAACATACCCCAGTTCCCGCCGCAACTCGAGTAAAACCATGAGACTTCCCCTAGATGCGAGATGAGGCCTGATTCCCTGCAGTCCATGCAGAGCATTCCCGTGATCCCCATCAAGCAAGTCAGGAGCTTCGACTTGCTTAATGGATCTCGAGACAGTCCCCAAGAACACTGTTACATGTCTAGACGGATCCTGAGGTCACCCCATCAACGCAAAGTAGCACCATGTGCCCCAAATCAACTCGAGATAATGCCCGATTCCCCTGCATCGACTCCAGAGCCATCCCCCATTCCACATTAAACACGACCAGTGGCTTGACTTCCTTCAGGCAACTCCAGAGATGCCCTGAGAACACTGTCCCAAGTCTAGAGGAACACCATCTTCAGCACAGCAACTCGAGGAATGCTCCGTGTACCCGAAATCGTCTCAAGATGAGAGCTGATTCCCTGGCTTATGCTCAAGACGTATGCCAACTTTCCAGAAGCACCTCAAGGGGAGCCTTCTCTCAGCAATAGGAATGTTGGAGGGACCCCCAGTTTGCTGCCTCAAGTGGAATATACAGCGAGAAGCCCTAACTTGAAAGGAGGCCGGATTTCCTTGCTGTGTCTTGAATACAGGCTCGTCTTTCATCTCACAACCGGAAGGAATGTCTGAATCCCCTGTGGAGACCTTAGAGAAAGCCCTAGGTCCCTGCCTCATTTTGACGGAATGCCTCACATACCGTTGACACTTCGAGAGGCACACGGAGTTCACTGCTTCAAAATGTGACGATGCCTGACTCCTCCTGAACATTGATAGGAATCCCAAAATCACTGTGGCTACAGGAAAGGGTTCTTGGGTGCCCTGCCTCACCTCGAGAAGCATCCCTTTTGCCCTGCCAAGGCTCGAAGAGATTCCTGAGGTGTCTCTCGTTACTAGACAGGAGTCCTGACGTCACTGAATAAACACGTGTTTTGAAGGGCCATCCCCGCCATAACTCGAGAACATACTCCAGTTCCCGCCGCAACTCGAGAAAAACCATGAGACTTCCCCTAGATGCGAGATGAGGCCTGATTCCCTGAAGTCCATGCAGAGCATTCCCGTGATCCCAATCAAGCAAGTCAGCAGCTTCGAATTGCTTAATGGATCTCGAGAGAGTCCCCAGGAACACTGTCACAAGTCTAGACAGACCCTGACATCACCCCAGCAACGCAAAGCAGCTCCAAGTACCCCACATCAACTCGCGTTGAGGCCCGATTCCCATGCATTGACTCCAGAGCCATCCCCCGTACCCCATTAAGCACCAGTGGCTTGAATTCCTTCAGGCAACTCGAGAGATGCCCCGAGAACACTGTCCCAAGTCTAGAGGAATACGAACTTCAGCACAGCAACTCGTGGAATGCTCCGTGTACCCCAAATCGTTTCGAGGTGAGAGCTGATTCCATGGCTTAGGCTCAAGACGTATGCCAACTTTCCAGAAGCACCTCAAGAGGAGGCTTCTCTCAGCAATAGGTATTTGGGAGGGACCCCGAGTGTGCTGCCTCAAGTGGAATATACAGCGAGAAGCCCTAACTTGAAAGGAGGCCGGATTTCCTTGCAGTGGCTTGGATACAGGCTCGTCTTTATTCTCACAGCATGAAGGGATGTCTGAATCCCCTGTGGAGACCTTAGAGAAAGCCCTAGGTCCCTGCCTCAATTTGACGGAATGCCTCACATCCCGTTGACACCTCGAGAGGCACGCGGAGTTCACTGCTTCAAATGTGACGATGCCTGACCCCTCCTGATCATTGATAGGAATCCCAAAATCACTGTGGCTACAGGAAAGGATTCTTGTGTGCCCTGCCTCACCTCGAGAAGCATCCCTTTTGCCCTGCCAAGGCTCGAAGAGATTCCTGAGCTGTCCCTCATTACTAGACAGGAGTCATGACGGCACTGAATAAACACGGGTTTTGAGGGGCCATCCCCGCCGTAACTCGAGAAGATACCCCAGGTCCCCCGCGCAACTTGAGAGAAACCGTGAGACTTCCCCCTAGATGCGAGATGAGTCCTGATTCCCTGCAGTGCATGCAGAGTATTCCCGTGATCCCCATCAAACAAGTCAGGAGCTTCGACTTGCTTAATGGATCTCGAGACAGTCCCCAAGAACTCTGTCACAAGTCTAGACGGACCCTGAGGTCACCACAGCAACGCAAAGCAGCTCCATATGCCCCAAATCAACCCGAGATGTGGCCCGATTCCCCTGCATTGACTCCAGAGCCATCCCCAGTTCCCCATTAAACAAGACAACTGGCTAGACTTCCTTCAGGCAACTCCAGAGATGCCCCGCAAACACTCTCCCAAGACTAGAGGAACACCAACTTCAGCACAGCAACTCGAGGAATGCTCCGTGTACCACAAATCGTCTCGAGATGAGAGCTGAATCCGTGGCTTAGGCTCAAGACGTATGCCAACTTTCCAGAAGCACCTCAAGAGGAGGCTTCTCTCAGCAATAGGTATGTTGGAGGGACCCCGAGTTTGCTGCCTCAAGTGGAATATAGAGCGAGAAGCCCTAACTTGAAAGGAGGCCGGATTTCCTTGCAATGGCTTGAATACAGGCTCGTCTTTCATCTCACAGAATGAAGGGATGACTGAATCTCCTGTGGAGACCTTAGAGAAAGCTATAGGTCCCTGCCTCATTTTGACGGAATGCCTCACATCCCGTTGACACCTCGAGAGTCACGCGGAGTTCACTGCTTCAAAAGCTGACGATGCCTGACTCCTCCTGAACATTGATAGGAATCCCAAAATCACTGTAGCTACAGGACAGGGTTCTTGGGTGACCTGCCTCACCTCGAGAAGCATCCCTTTTGCCCTGCCAAGCCTCGAAGAGATTCCTGAGCTGTCCCTCGTTACTGGACAGGAGTCCTGACGTCACTGAATGAACACGAGTTTTGAAGGGCCATCCGCGCCGTAACCCGAGTACATACCCCAGGTCCCCGCCGCAAGTCGAGAAAAACCATGAGACTTTCCCCTAGAGGCCAGATGAGGCCCGATTCTCCTGCAGTGCATGCAGAGCAATTCCGTGATCCCCATCAAACAAGTCAGAAGCTTCGACTTGCTTAATGGATCTCGAGACAGTCACCAGGGAACACTGTCACATGTCTAGACGGATCCTGAGGTCACCCCATCAACTCAAAGCAGCACCATGTGCCCCAAATCAACTCGAGATAATGCCCGATTCCCCTGCATTGACTCCAGAGCCATCCCCCGTTCCACATTAAACACGACCAGTGGCTTGACTTCCTTCAGGCAACTCCAGAGATGCCCTGAGAACACTGTCCCAAGTCTAGAGGAACACCATCTTCAGCACAGCAACTCGAGGAATGCTCCGTGTACCCCAAATCGTCTCGAGATGAGAGCTGATTCCCTGGCTTAGGCTCAAGACGTATGCCAACTTTCCAGAAGCACCTCAAGGGGAGCCTTCTCTCAGCAATAGGAATGTTGGAGGGACCCCGAGTTTGCTGCCTCAAGTGGAATATACAGCGAGAAGCCCTAACTTCAAAGGAGGCCGGATTTCCTTGCTGTGTCTTGAATACAGGCTCGTCTTTCATCTCACAACCGGAAGGAATGTCTGAATCCCCTGTGGAGACCTTAGAGAAAGCCCTAGGTCCCTGCCTCATATTGACGGAATGCCTCACATACCGTTGACACCTCGAGAGGCACACGGAGTTCACTGCTTCAAAATGTGACGATGCCTGACTCCTCCTGAACATTGATAGGAATCCCAAAATCACTGTGGCTACAGGACAGGGTTCTTGGGTGCCCTGCCTCACCTCGAGAAGCATCCCTTTTGCCCTGCCAAGCCTCGAAGAGATTCCTGAGATGTCTCTCGTTACTAGACAGGAGTCCTGACGTCACTGAATAAACACGTGTTTTGAAGGGCCATCCCCGCCATAACTCGAGAACATACCCCAGTTCCCGCCGCAACTCGAGTAAAACCATGAGACTTCCCCTAGATGCGAGATGAGGCCTGATTCCCTGCAGTCCATGCAGAGCATTCCCGTGATCCCCATCAAGCAAGTCAGGAGCTTCGATTTGCTTAAATCAATACGAGAAAGTCCCCAGGAACACTGTCACAAGTCTAGACAGACCCTGAGGTCACCCCAGCAATGCAAAGCAGCTGCAAGTACCCCACATCCACTCGAGATGAGGCCCGATTCCCATGCATTGACTCCAGAGCCATCCCCCGTAACCCATTAAACACCACCAGTGGCTTGACTTCCTTCAGGGAACTCCAGAAATGCCCCGAGAACACTGTCCCAAGACTAGAGGAACACCAACTTCAGCACAGCAACTCGAGTAATGCTCCGTGTACCACAAATCGTCTCGAGATGAAAGCTGAATCCCTGGCTTAGGCTCAAGACGTATGCCAACTTTCCAGAAGCACCTCAAGAGGAGGCTTCTCTCAGCAATTGGTATGTTGGAGGGACCCCGAGTTTGCTGCCTCAAGTGGAATATACAGCGAGAAGCCCTAACTTGAAAGGAGGCCGGATTTCCTTGCAGTGGCTTGAATACAGG